TACTACTGCTACTACGACCACCACCATGACGACGACGGCGACTACTGCTACTACTGCCGCTACTGCTAGCCGTACTGCCAACTGCTACTACTGTTGGTACCCGAGATACCCCTATACCAAACTAGAAGCTATTGTGCGGGTTCCATATGGAAGCTTGAGCATCCAGTCCTGTGCAGTCAAGGGCAGGCGGATGCTGGAGGGATCTGCTGCCTCTTCGGCGAGAGTGAGCATTTCTCGTGGGGTGGGACCTCTTGGGATGCAGTTGAGAACAGTTGAGTAGCAATGCGTAATAGATTCTTTTGGGTCTTCGTTTGCTTGAAAACGACGGCGTGTGCTGCGAATTTCGGGCGAGGGGCACCTACCGGGGGTGCAGGCGCTGCTGCCGGATGCCTTCGCGAGCTTCTTGCTCAGGGACAAAGGCAGCGCGAAGGAGCAGCTCCAGGAGGAGCGGAGCGAAGTGTATGCATGCGTTCTTCTGTGAAGTTGGGTTTGCAGGCTTGGTTAAAAGGTTTCCGGAGGAAGGCTGGCAGATGCACCATATGCACTCTGTTCGCGAGGAATCCGGAGCTCGGCTGGTCTTTAGCAACAAGGGGGATTTCTTCCCCGACACGTTGTTGCGGGTGCTGGCGGAGAAAGCCTCAGCAAGATGCAGGGAAGATGCGGAAGCAGTTGTCCCCGTTCATTCTATTTCATTCTCCGTGGCCTTAAGGTGTTCTCCGACTCGGCAGAGGCTGTCATGTTAGCCCTAGATCTGATACTCGGTTGGAGCCCGAGGCGTGGAAAGTCTTCATCCTCTTCAGTCCATAACATTGGCCAGCTAAGGTAAGATTGGAGAGTTGGCCGAGGAGTTTTTGAGGGGATTCCACAGGTTTTGAGAAGTCTGGGAGCGGAGTCGACCTGCGCGGAGGATGAACGAAGTCGACCGCCTCCAGCTGGCTGCGAGATGCTCGGCGAGGAAGGCCGCGACTCTCTTCGACTCTCTTCGGTTTCTGCCTTGTCGGAGTGTGGTTTTTCAGAGGCGAATACATCTTCCGGCTGATTCTCCCCCGCGACCTGTGACCTTCCCAGAGCTGGTGCAGAGCCGGGCCGCAGCTGCATGGGTTTTGCCACCGAGGACGGGGCTCCTCATCGGCAACCAGGGTGCCAACATCAAGCAGCTGCGGCGGGAGAGCGGGGCAAAGGCGCCGCTTAGTGCGAGGAGTGGCGTTTGTGCACGTAGCCTCCTTTAGGTTTCCCTTTGTGCGCTCCCGGCTCTGTATCCTAGCCCGTCCGGTTTGCATTCCGTCGATGCAGCCACCTGAGTCCAACACTGGGATGGATCAAATGCCAGAGGACGACTCTAGTGTGGAGGTCATCGTAGCGACAATCACAGGCCAATCGTTTACCCTGCGTTTATGTGCGACTGCGACAGTCTGGGAGGCGAAAGCTTCCATCCAGCAAGTGCTTCCGGGATACCCCGCAGTGGAGCAAAGTCTGCTGCGAGGAACGGATATCCTACAGGATAATGCAAGGCCATTTGTGCAGATCGCTCAGTTAGGTCTGGAGCTGCTTGTTCTTCGGCAGCCGCGGATGAATCTCAGCAAGTTTGTCGCCAACAACGGCTTGCATGAGAGTGATGATCCTTCTGATCTTGACAGTCTTCTTGGCGAAGCTGGTCGAAAGGAAGAGCCGAACGTGTGTCTTGAGATCGTTTGTCATCCCAATTTTGGTCGATTTGAGGAGCGGGAGCACCGCGAAAACAAGCAGCGCTCAACTGTTTTGCTGAACCTCCTTCTTCAACCACTGTTCCCAGCATTCGAGACTTTGGTCCAGCACGAAGCCTTTGGACAGATTCCAGGAATGCTTGACGAGGCTGCAGGTGTACTCCACTCGGCGGCATCCACTGGTCTCGCAGATCACTGCCGGTGCCTTCTTCAAAGTCCGCACTTCCATGAGGCCGCATGCCGCAAGGCTTCTCTCTGCACCGCATTACATCACGCGGCGAATGCCGAGATCCTGCGCATTCTTCTGCAGTCACCGGCATTGTCAACAGCAGAGTCTCTGAACGCGCGAGATCGCTTCGGATGCACTCTTCTTCACTATGTGACAAGCGAGGAGATGTGTCAAGTAGTTCTGGGTCATCCCAACTTCACTGCAATCAACAACAGGGATGCTTCTGGTCAAACTGCTTTACATTGTGCGAAAAACCCAGGGATTTGTGCAACCTTGTTGGAACATGGTGCGGCCTCCTCGCTAAGCGTAGCAGACAGTTTGGGAAGAACCCCGCTGCATACCCTCTCGCGAAATCCAAAAGTTTTGGCCGTACTGTTCAGCAGCCGTGCTGGTGAAAACGATCGTGTCGACTTCGATATCAATGCCCTGGACAAGAGAGGCCGTTCCGCCCTTCACTATGCCACCTCTGCTGAAGCCTGCGCAGTTTTATTCCAGGCTGGCTTTGGGGCGATCAACACCTTGGACGGTTGTGGCATGTCTGCTCTGCACGCAGCCACAGCCAAGAGCATCTTGAACTTGGGAGTAGTTCGGGCTGTCATTGAGCATCCAGATTTCTCGCAACTGAATGCTGTGGCCCATGCAGACGGCTATTCTGACACTGCGCTGTCGCGTGCCGCCAGCCTGCGTAACAGCGAGCTGGTACTTGAGCTCCTTCAGCACGGTGGGCACGACTCCCAGTCCCTGCAAAAAGCAGCAGACTTTGCACAAGGCCTAACAGAGGCGGCGAGAGAGAAGCTGCTGGCAGCACTGGATGAGCAGCTGAAGGCCACAAAGGTAGAGGAGCAGACCATCTCAAGTCGATGCAACCTACTTTGATGCTGGACTAGGTTATGCGGTGCCAGAGCAGGTGCCCCTCAGTTACCCTAGGTTGAAGCTATGCTCCCGGCCTCTAGATGTTTAAGGGTATTGGTTCTGTTGAGTGATGTTCGCTTCTGAAGGAAGCGTCAATTTCTGCAGATTTGTTTGCCAGGGCTGGTGCCCTCAAGCGGCGTCAGGCACTAATTTCACAAAGTAGATCGACATGGCTCAAGCGGCTCAAGCGTGTACAGGCGAGCTCAGTTGGCGCAAACATGTCGTGGAGCAACATTACATCATCATTTCCATAGCTAAGATGTGGGTCAACAGCGATTCCGTTGTCTTGCTAAGTTCTTTGAGTTGACTGTCTGCTTCGGTTGTCTTGGCAGATTGTCATTCGGGATGACACCGTGGCGGGGCCGATCTGGCACGTCTTGCAACCGGAAGTTCTTCCGAGCGGCACCGGGAAGCTCGTTAAGATGCATTCCCCTCTTGGGTGAGGCACCGAGTCGTCACCCTGAGCGGCGTCCCGGAGAGCCTGGCGGAGGCACTGCCCAGCCCTCAGCATGTGCGTGTCGGGTGCAGTGTAATCCCGTCGTCACAGCAGCGGTTTTGTTGTTTGAGTTATTTGGTTACATGAGCAGCGCAGTGCAGCGAAAGCAAACGTGCCGTGCAGCAGTGTGTAGTCGTGCAGCAGGGGACCACGTCTGTCATCCGAGGCGTCGCATCACGGAGTACATGCATCAGGAGTCCGGCTCCGATGAGGCCTTTGCTTCCCCCTGCACTCGCTCTGATTTTTTCAATGGGTTGAGACGGCCTTCCACAAGATTGCACGCGTTGCAGCCTAAAGCTTGCCTGGGGGTGTCAGGCCCACCAGGCGTGCCGGAGCAAATCAGCATTGTTTCCTGCCTTGATGCAGTTCCAGCAATACCTGCGGGTCATCAACTTCAATGATGCTGGAGCTCATGAAGGCGTCTGAGATGACCCTCACTCATCCAGTCATCTAGTCGCGCCCCGTGAATTGATGCAGCGTTGAAGGTTGCAGCGAGCCTTTTTAAGGTCTTGCGCATCTACTGGTACCAGCACATGTCAGTACTAGTAGCAAGTGCGCTGTCCCTGTTTCAGGATCTGGAGGTCAGTGGAATTCCGATGGGCAAGGCATAGAAGTGCTGGATTCGATACTGGTGACCGTTGTAGCCAGCAGCTCAGCAGCCAGCGAGAAAGCTGCAGGCAAGGGTGGCTACCGGCAGCCGCCCCCCGCTGTCCGCATGGAGTCAAAGGCAAGGACGGTTTCTGAATCTTTCGTGGCACGGTGACGATAGCCCTTTTGGCTGTGGGGTTTCAGGCTTTCACCCAGGCGCCCGAAGGCTTGCATCTGCTGGGGGAGGACCTCCGGACACCGCGCTGCAAGGGCGTCGCTTTCCCCGTCGTGAGTTTTTAAGGACTTGGCCATGCTACCACGTGGTGCTGCAGAGCTTGGTGCTCGATTGTTTCAAACTTCAGATGCTATTCCTTAAGCTGGGAACGCTGGAGGCACCTGTGGACTCAGGATGTCTTACTCTGTGTCCTGTGTGCTGCCAGTGGGGGCCCGAGGGGCCGAAAGTGAAGGATGTAGACTCATGACTTGGTCGCGCAGTCCCAGAGTCCCAGAGCAACTAGCCTGCACTAAGGCACAGCTGGTTCCTGCTTTGATTGGCAAGGCAGGTGAACTTGTCAGGCCAGACGCGCAGTCATGCCTCAGAGTGTTTGCAGCTGACTGGTCTTCTGGAGAGGAGCATCCAGGATAGGACTGGCGCCAAGATCGACATCTCTCGCGATTCCATCCCCGGCAAAGACGGTCTGAGGACGCCAGAGGGGCGCCAGAGCACGACTCGAGTCCTAGCTACATATCGAATCGCGCAGGAAGATGGAGTGCATCGGGCCATTGCTCAGCATTTATTCCGCCCACACGCTGATGATGCAGCGGCTGCAGGAGAGCAAAGGGGCCTGCAAGACTCCAACAACTTCTTTGCTAATTAGCCATGGACTTCCCGCACTGCAAGGAGGTCGAGCAGACGCCACCGCCGGCCAGGAGTCTGCCAAGCTGTCTTGGTGCAGAGAGCATGGAGCAGGGCAATATGGGCAACCGAATTCATCCAGGAGACCTGAAAGAGCAGAGCCCCATCGAAGCTGGAGTGGACACCGCGGCGAAGCGAAGGACTCCAGTTTGAAGTTGTGTGAGACCCCGTGGCTTGCACGCCGTCTCAGACAAGGATGGCTATCCGAGCGATACTCGGACGGAGCGTCAAAAGGACACCTACGGAATCCTAGGGACCTAGGATGCCTGCGAAAAGATGCCGGTACAATGGGACAGTGGGTCTTTTCAGGAGCTTGAGGCCATGGTGGCTGATCTGGAAAAGAAGTGCCTTGAATGAACAGTCGAGTCGTAGAGCTGATGGCCGTGATCTGTGGGTTGACGGGATGTGACACAATTCCAGAAGGCCCAGCAGGTCACACCTCGCACCATGACATGCCTTACCCACCCATTACACCCTGGAGTGGCTGAGAAGCCGCTGATAAGCGGGCCTTGAAACGATGTGGGGCATGCAAGAGCACGAGCAAAGCGGAGCTGCGGGTCCAAGTCTAGGTGCACGTGCAAGCACAAGGGGTACCAAAGCGAGCTTGCTGGCTGGCGGGTAGCCTTACCGGCTGAACGGCTCAAAACCCTCTGTTCGAGCAGAAGGATTGTGCAGACATGTGCAGAAGCAAAGCTGATGGAGCACTTCCTCAACCGGGGTCCATCACCGTTGCTGAACATAGTAACATAGAAGCTTTTCCGACTCCTAACACCAGGCGTCGGGACACAGGGCCTGGGACGTCCACGACAGTTCCTGGCAGATAGCACGTCCCTGATCTCCCCCTACCCCCGCCCTCTCCAAATCCGAGTGTGTTTCCCTTTGTTTGACACATGGCGCCACTGCACAGATCAGGCTGTCTGAAGCTAAAGCTATGTCGTGAACACCCTCTTCGGCGTGCCGTGCATGGCTCGGTTTCGCTGCAGGATGGCAGGCGTGGCTGCGAGTGTGTTCCTTCGATTTCGAGTCTTATTTGAGGAGGCAGCTGGTCGTGCCGACTGCGGCGAGAGAAAAGGAGGATGCGGTGTTGTTGCATTTTGTCACTGCTCTTTGTTGGTTAATACACGGCGATAGCCCTTCAAGCCATGACAGATCAGAATTCTGGCTTTCCTGGCCTGAAGCTCTCAAGCCTGAGAAGTCCTGTCGTGTGTCACGCCGTTTGCGTGCACTCGGCAGAATGGTGTGGGAGCACCGCATGTCAGTTTGCATGCCAAATTCAAGAACTGGCACGACAAGCCCGTCTGCACATGTTAAGCTGGCAAAAGCGTGTCCTGCAATCAGAGCACGGTTCCGCGGTAGAGGTGGGGGTATGGGGGGCTTGCGCTTTGAAAAAAGGATGTGTTATAAGCTTTATAAGCCACAACAGGTCTGTTTCGTAAACTTGGTCCATCCTCGGAGCCCACGTGAGCATGGAGCTGGAGCCGACGGGGTCGGAGGAGCCCTATGACCAGGCCCAGGCGTGGCAAACCGCACGAAGTTCCGAAGTGTTCGCCTGCGCCTCTGGGGGCATTTTGAGAGGCTCCAGTGCAGACAGAGGTGTCTCCACCACCGGATGCTGGTGACGAGCTGGGCGAGCTGGAGGCACTAGAGCATGAAGCAAATGAAGCTGCAGGCGCTTCAGGTCTCTTGACCGAGCCTGCTGCTCCGGAAGAGACTAAGCTTCCGCCTCGCGTCTGCATCACTTTTGTTTTGGTGGTAGCGTGGTGAAGGCTGGCAGCTCAGTGTAGCATCTCTGGGTAGGTTGAATGGCCAGATTGTTGTCTATTGTGCTGCAATTAGCAGCTCACAGTGCCAGGAGCACCCAAAGCCTAATCGTTTCATCTCCCAATGAGAAGACTCGACTTGATTGCATACGGGAATCTCAGGTTGGCTCCAGAGGTAGCGGCAGCGGAACCTCCAGTAGCAGAAGGCAGCGAGCTGGCGACAGAAGCAGAGACAGCAGAGTTGCCGTCTGCAGGGCCGGAGTCGGGCGCAGCGGCGACCGAAACTGAAGTGACTCCTCCAGTGGCTGCAGATCCGAGTGCAGAATCAACTAGCCAGAGTGTGACAGCTCCGCCTGCGGCAAGTGGCAACTCGGCCCAAGCCGTGAGCATGGATGAAACAGCGGCAACCACTGCAGAAGCAGATAAAGAACCAACAGCTGCTGTGGCCGATCTGACGATGCCGGAAACAGCGGCTGAAACATCGCTGGCTGAACCGACGAGACAAGAAGAGGCAGCAGAGCCTCCTGGCACAGCACTGGCTGAATCGACGATGCCAGAGGCGGGAGCAGCGACAGCTGAAGCCGCTGTGGCTGAATCGACGATGCCAGAGGTAAGACAAGAAAGCGCCGAAGCAGCCACGGCTGAACCGACTCTGCCAGAAGCAGCCGAGGAAACAGCAGCTGAACAATCGATGATGCCAGAAGCAGCTGCTGAACCAGCTCCGGCAGAATCGACGATGCGCGAAGCCACAGACCCACCAGAGTTTGGAGCACCCTCGTCTCCGAGCGGTGTTGCATCTGCTGCACCATCCACTCCTAACAGTGGGAGTGGGGAGCCAAAGCCGACAAAGGCTGAACAGCGAGCCAAACATGCTCCCTCAAGAGGAGCGCCCTCGCCCTCCCAGCTGCAAAGAGCCGGCAGTGCACCACCAGCTCGAGGCTATCAAGTAGCACAGGCGTACAAACACTCCATCGATCTGCCCCCTCGGTGGAGCATGCGCCCCAAAACACAATTTGGCTCACCTTTCAAGTCATCAAAGCAGGCAGACGAAGGTGGCATGGCACCTGACATGAGCTCCAAATACAACGAGATCAGGCCGCGAGCACCAGCCTACAGCATGATTCCCAGAAGCTCTGGAATCACCAAGACGTCCGACCAGCCGGGACCCGGCGAGTATGCGCAGCCCAGCACGCTGTACGGTTCGCACCCGCAGTTGCCAGTCCCAGGACGGATATGCAAGTCCACCCAGCGGCGGACAGGCCCCACAGATCAGTTGGGGGAGATGAAGAACAACCCGAGCCCGCACGACTATGACACCATGTGCTCCGGGCCGGACAAAGGTCACAAGTTTGGCCGTGTGGATCAGGCATCTGCGCCTAAGTTCACCATGCGCCCAAAAGTTGCCTTCGGCTCGCAGTTCAAAAGTGCCAAGCAGGCAGAAGAAGGTGGCATGTCGGGGGATATGAGCTCCAAATACAACGAGATCAGGCCGCGAGCACCAGCCTACAGCATGATTCCCAGAAGCTCTGGAATCACCAAGACGTCAGACCAGCCGGGACCGGGACAGTACTTGTTGCCAAGCACGTGGCTTAGCGGCAGTCAGCAAATAGAGGTAGGTTGGTAGGTAGGTAGGTAGGTAGGTAGGTAGGTAGGTAGGTAGGTCGGTGGGTGGGTGGGTGGGTGGGTGGGTGGGTGGGTAGGTTGGTTGGTAGGTAGGTAGGTAGGTAGGTAGGTAGGTAGTAGGTAGGTGGGTGGGTGGGTAGGTGGGTAGGTGGGTAGGTGGGTAGGTGGGTAGGTGGGTAGGTGGGTAGGTGGGTGGGTAGGTCGGTAGGAGGTAGGTAGGTAGGCAGGCAGGCAGGTAGGTAGGTAGGTAGGTAGGGTATTGGGGTGGTTTTGGATGGTTTAGTGGGCGTGGGTGTGTGTAAGGGAGGGGAAGGTCAGTGGGCAGGTTGTTGAGGCGCGCACATGCTTAGGGCTAGGGGCATCACCATTCGTTTGTCAGTGTCGCGGTGGTGGTGGTGGTGGTGGTGGTGGTTGCTGCTGTTGCTGTCGGTTGTTGCTGGGATTGTGAATCTTGCTCTCGTGGGCAGTCTTGGAGCCGACGGGGTCAGGTGGGTATGCAGGTGGGTCTCGGACCAGCATCGTGACGTGGGGTCGTGAGCTGCTGTGAGGCTGTACGGAAGCCACCCTCAGTTGAAAGTGCCTGGCCGCGTGGCCAAGACGACATCAGCAGCTTGGTTGCTGTTCCGTCCATGCACGCGAGAGTCGGTAGAGCCCAAGGCGAAAGCAATGCAGCATGCCACTTTCGGAGGGTTGACTTGGCTTCGTGCTCACCAGGACAGGTTTCCGCCTCCCAAGGTCTGCAACTTAGCCTCTGACAGCTCTCTGCAGTTGTGAGAAGCTCGAAATTACAGCACTTCGCCGAGGAGGACAACACACCTCTCTGACCGGAGGGGACTTCGCAGTGACAGCTCTGGTATTGGATTGGCTTCTGCCTGGTGTCGAGTTCCATTGGCGTAGCCTAAGCCTCTAGCCAACACTAGTTGCACACGCATACTAGCCGCTAGCCAACAGTTACATCTTGCAAGGCCAATCTACTGTCGTGGAGGCTTGTGTTGTAGCAAGAGACTAATGAACCTGGATGCTAGCACGAACTCTCAGTGTTTTTCCTTCTGCATCCAGAGCGGCCAAGACACCCAGAAAACTGGCTGTCTTTGCCGATCGTGTGCATCGAGATGTCATGAAAGGCAGCAGCAGCGGACAAAGGAGAGGACTCTAGCGTCATTGGTTGAAGCCGGTAGTTGCAGCGATGCACTATGCTGTTGGGCATGTTCAAGCTGCATCCTGCGGTGGCTTCGCACAGCTGCCAGCATCGCAAAGAAGTAAGAGCCTGGGCAAAGACCTCCTGGGGTGGTACCAGCCGAGGAAATCGGCGAGGAGAGAGCCAGAACCTTTCGACTTCGTCAAGCGTCGTCAAAGCCGAAAGCCTTTCTGGAGGCCAAGTGTATGGACCTGAAGCCTCTCTGTCATGACTGTGCCAGGGCCTTTGAGGGTGGCGGGTTGGTACAAAGTTTGAATGCCAAAGGGAGCCTGCAGCCCCAGGTCAATCGGTGAGATGACCAGTCATCACCCCAGAGAAACTCCGAAACTGCACCTGAGCCTTGTCATCTTGATTTTTCAGTCAAGAAAACTGAGGCAGGCTCCTTGAGATGCCCCGGGCAGCTTCCCCAGACTCGGATGCAGGTGGAGCAGGATGCAGGTGGTCGACGTCTTCGAAAGAGAGTGCTGCACCTGCACCTGAGGGCACCAAGATGCTTGGCTCCACGATCCCAACATCCTTCGCAGGGGCCGCCCCGGGCGGTGGGGGCGGTACTCAGGTGCCCCGTGCATAAATGTGGGAAGAGACAAGGCGGTTCTCGGTTGGCCCATGGTTTCCGAGGTGCAAATGCCGCCGGTGATGCCTCTGCCACCGCCACCCTCGGCAGCTGCTGCACAGTCACTGTCTTGGATTAGCATCGATGCTTCTGAGCCTCTTTCCAGGAGTTCAAGTCTCAAGTAGGTCTTCTCTGTGCAACTTTCACGCCAGTAAGGCAAGTCGAAGACTTGCATGAAACATGTTCAGCTTCTTTTCTTCTTCTGGTGCTCAAGGGACTCTTTTGCTTGCAGACGGTTTGAATCTCCTTGGCAGGACGGAGGGTCTTCAGGTCCTTTGACAGGCACGCCATGACCATGGCATCGTGTGGCCGGCGAGGGCCAAATGTCAACCGAAATAGGGCGACCACTGCATGAAATTGTCATGTTGCGTGCGTACGAAACAAGGAACCTTAGATCATCTTAGATCCATGGAGTCTGCCTCCCCTCGGTTGCTTTGCCGACAGGAACAGGTTGCGGACTGCGGGCTTGTACCGGCACTTGCGTAGCGTGGTGTTAAACTGCACACTGCAGACTTGCTGTGGAAACTGCCCGACTTTTTGCAAATCGCCCGTTCCCATAAGAAGCTGCAGTCCGTTTTGCGACTACCCAGGTGGGCTCAGCATGCTTACACTGCGAGCACGCAGGCATGGGCAATTCCCGCGGTTCGATTTCGACCTCGACTCGTCCAGGCAGCAGCAGCCAAAGCCGCAGCAGCCAAGGCAGCCGAGGTGGCAGCGGCACAGGCCGCAGCTGCGCAGGCGCCTGCATTCTACACGTACATCCACGTACATACAACTACTCGTTGGCAGAGGAAGGCGTGCGTTTTTTTTTTTGTTCGGCAGCTTGCAATTTCCTGCCGTATGTCCATTCCTCAAACTCAGTCCACTGGCTCCAAGTATGCGTTTGCCCTGTGCAGTAGCGATTGGCAGCTGCGCAGGCAGCGAGATGAGTTGTCCAAACCTGCGAGAAACAGTACACGCTTAGATCCGGTCATTCTATCCACATCGAGAGCCATCCGTCGGACGTCCATTGCTGCTGTGGGTGCAGGCTGCGGCCACTCAGGCGCAGGTGGCGCAGGTCAGCGCGCAGCAAGCTCCGGTCTCAAAAGAGCCTTAAGCGTCAGAGACGCAGAGGCAGAAATGGCAGAAAAGCGCCGGCGGAGAGAGCAAGCTGAGAGCCGAGGCGGCGGCCGCGCAGGTGGCGCAGTCCCTGGGCCAGGGACCTTGGCCCTTAGCCGACTCGCAGCTTCCGCTCTTTTGATTTTGCTTTGCCCGAAAGGCTACAACGTGGCTCCCGTCGGTGTTCCCACAGCAGCTGCATACGGGGACCCCGGCCCTGGCCTGTGCGCACGCCGCACGCCGCCAGAGCGCTGCTTAAAGCCTTTGCAGGATCTGCCGTCTGCGGCACCGCCATATGGCCTTAGCTCTCCGAACCCCATGCCGGCAACCCTATCTTCAGTGCACCCGCAGCCGCCTCGTCTGATTTCAGCTCCGTCAGATCAGTCAGGTTTGTGACCGTGAGTGCAAACGCTTCAGGCTGTTGATCTTGCCGGCTGCTCTTGCAGCATCTTGCTTCGAAGGAGCACGATCTTCGCGCTGCAGCAGACATGTCATGCCGGAATGCACTACGTCTGAAAGCCTCTGAAAGCATAGCTGCTCTGACAGCAGGAGCACGACCTGGGTCCAAACCATCGCCGGGGGAGGCTGGGGAGAGGGAGTCGGCCCATGCCTTGCAGCTTCTGATATTCTGATCCTGCCTTGCGGCCTTGCGCCTCGGCAGTTCCTGCCATCTGTTCCGGCGGACTTCATCAGCAGCGAAAGCTCAAAGATGTGCTTTCGGCAAGAGCAGTTCTCGAGCTCGGACGAGACGGACACTGCAATGTGAAGCTCGAGGAAAGGGTGCGACTCGGGCTGTGAAAGCAGAATGATGAGACGCGCCAACCGGCGCATCAGATCTCAGTGAAAACAACAGAGCCATGCATGTGGGGACGTTGCAGTTCCTTCCGCAGGTCCTGGTCGCGCATGCAGTCACTAAGTAGTCCTTTGTAGCATGGCGCATCAGTGGAGGGGAATGCCATGGCTCGGTTCTCGTGTCCAGTTGGCAGAGGCCGCACTTCAAGCTTTGCATGTCACTTTGAGCATGTGCTGCATGCAACCCGCCGACCGACAACGCAGGTTTGGGAGCGTCGGACATGGGATGCGCTGCCCTCTGAAGCTCGCCCGTCTTTCTGGCAGGAAGGCCTGCGGTCCGGGTGCCGAGGCTTTGTCGTGATCAATCGTATTGATATTCAAGCGGAGCGTGGCTGCGGAGGCTACGAACTCGATCCTCAATGCGTTTGTGCGAGCTGGAGACTGGCAAGAGGCAAATTGGCAAAGCTTCCCAATGGCAATCAATGGCAAAACCGTGTTTGCCGCAGGCATTTCAGCTCCTCCAGGCACGAGGGAAAGCAGGGCCTGAATTGTGGACGATGCAGTGCTGGGCACCAGGATGCCGGGCGCAATGCTGATGCCAGGACCACAGAATGGGCTTGCATTGCATTGCAAGAGCCGGACGATAGGATGAGGGCTATGGAGAAGTCTTGGAGTCTTGGAACAGGTCGTCCACTTCACCTTGGGACTGCGCTCCTGTGTTGGTGCCTTACACAGGCAGATGCAGCAAGCAGAGTGGCAGTGCAGGATATGTTCAGCAAGGCCGCATGCCTGCAGCTCCTGTTGGTTGAGGTTTCGGCAGCTGCCTGGCAGGCCGCGTTGTCCACGCTGCCTTGGCTTGCCCGCCTGCGAGTCAGCTTGGAGCTCGGAACGAAGCAAGTTCAGAGATGAATGAACGGTGGGTCACAGAGGCCCGGACCAGCACCTTTTCGGCTCGGCGTTGACTGTTTGTGGCAGAGCCGCTCGTTGGAGGGAAGCACCTTGGCTCAACCAGGCCTTTGTCTGAAAAGTTGGTGGGCTTGTTCACCTCTGTGGCATCAGCGAGGCTACCCGTATTTTCCTGTCGGAGCTACAGCTATAGTCATTTGCACCGCACATCCTGACAGCGATCCAGTCAGACCACGTTTTTGCAGAAGGAGCCCCTCCGCGAGCACTGCTACAATCAAGTATGTTGGTAATCCGTCGGTCTAGCTCCACACCCCTGCAGGCTTTAACCCAGCTCTAAACCGAGGTCGTGTCTGTTTTTGCAACTTGGACCGGTGCATTTTCACTCTCGCAGCATTTGTCTTGCCCAGGCATTGGCTATTCTTTCGCTCAACTCCGAGCCATCACTGGCCGCCGTCCCGAGAGTTGCAAAAGACTTGAAGAAGGAAGAGAATCTAACAAGTTCAAGGTAGCGCACTCTGCAGCAATGACTGCCTGTGAGAAGGTGGGCCGTTTGCTACTGTAGCTGTCGACGCACTATGCAACCGCGGCTAGACAAGTCGGCCACCTCAGGCGGGCAAGTGGCAGATGGTTCTCGGCATGCTTTACCACCTGCCAATACTACGGCTGCAGCCGGACTGTGCATGCATCTTGTGACTTGTGCTTTGCCGTCTCCTCAGACATTTGCTTCTTGACAGTTGCAGGATCACATCACGTTCACTTCATGCATAGGTCCTGGCCAGTCTTTAGCGTGCTTGGCAAGTCGAAGTTGGAAGCCTCGGATGCTTCAGGTGCCGTTGAGAAGCTGGGCTTGTGGCGAGTTGCGGTTTGGTTGCTGGAGGACAAAGCTGCCGAGCACATTGCTACTGCAGACGTTGTACCACGCGGCCACTTATGTAATTTTCGGACAGGACATCGGGCGCCTCGCCCTGCAGGCCTGATCAGACCAGAGCCTGTGTGTGACAAAAGGGGGTGTTTTCAAGGGGCCTGCTAGCAGCTCAATCGCCAGGACAAACACGAGAACAAACCATGCGCGAAATTTTTTGCAGGCTGACCTTGTCAACATGTCCGGCGTGCTGAGTGCCCTGGGAAAAGGTCACAGGTGCCATAGCTTAGAATTTGCATCTGCTGCATTTTGCCCACTCAGTACGCATCAGTCCCATGCAGCTTGCAACGTGATGTAAACGCTTCTGAGAACAACAAACGCGCACACACACAGAAACAACAAACACGCAGGTGGAAGAGAGCACTTGCTCTCCTCTCCAGCATGACTTTGCAGCTGCTCGAGCCCCAGGCTTGCTACCCTCTGCGTCCGTGCCTTCGAGCTGGCTTTCCAAGGCTTCGGCCGTCCACAGTCAGCTATTCCGCAACCATCACCGCGTGCGAGAAAGGCACGGAAAGATATCGAACTGCGCTCGTGAGCTGCCTGTGCACCCTTACAACCCCAGAAGAGCAGGACGAGCATGGGAACATGCTCTGCTTCTGTTTCGAGAGACCCGAAGACAGGTGGGGTCAGGAAAGCAGTTACTCGTAGCCTCGTACTTGTAGATGTGGCACTTTGTAAACCCAGCAAGCCCTTCATCGGTAAGAGGTGGGGAGGAAGATCCCGGTGGACGTTGCAATGCTGACTTCACTGATGGCAGCCTGTGATGTTGGTGGTCGCCCGGAACTCGGCTAAGACAGCACGTACTCTTGCCTCGTAGAATTTGCAGCGCCTTTGTACAGGCTGGCAAGATGCACTAGGCCTACTGGCCACTGCCCGGGCCAACAGGCTTCACTAAGTGACAAGCATGAGAAATAGTTTCGACGCTGACCTCACGGATAGAAAGATAAACGTGCCCGTGCCCCGCATGTCCCTCGTCCGTCCCACCGGCCTTGCTTGCTTTGCCCCTCAGCGATTTTCTAGGCACTCTGTCACACACGTCGATGTTCGAAACCTTAATCTTTACGGTGTTACGAGTCTGTAATCATATAGCACTGCTGGAACATGATCTGAACGCACATCCAAGTATTTTCCAGGACAGGAGCTGTTGGGGCTTGTATTCGCGTGACACCAGGCATCTTGTGGTCGCCTAGCACCATGGCGTGTTAGAAATTTGGGGTATTGTGTTCACACATTCATGCAGATGCTGGTACCTGAAGCAAGTGAACATGACAACGCTATACTTGATACTATTGTTATCCATAAACATACCCTAGCCTACCATAAGCTCTAGCTAGTCGTACACACTGCATTAGCGCTTGGTTGTTGGCGCCTTGAACTGCGCGAAACTGTAGTGTCGGAACATGTTTGCTCTGCGGGACTCGTTACCTTGAATGGTGCATTTTGTGCGTTGTCCAATGGTTTCGAACACATTTTGAAGCAGGCATTAACCGACAACTTTGTGTTGATGTCACAATCTGGTACGACATACGCAGGCAAGTGACAACCATGATCAGAACAGTCAGGAGTTTATCACACTCTGTCATTAGTCTGGACGAGCGGCTTAGCTTACAGAGGATCAGTTCACCTAGCCCGAAGTACCCTTGAAGTACGACAGACCATAAAATGCCTAGTTTCATCGTATGGCAGACATATATGAACTCAGCGCGAAATGACGCATTGAGATCGAGAATCCTGTGCTCCAAAATCAGCAAGGAAGAAATCACAAGCATTGGTAATGTGCACAGAGGCCCAGAACCCTAAGACACCCTTGCATAGTAAAGCCTATACCACATGCACCAAACGCGTCGTAAAACGCTTGAGCACGCAAGTGATTTTTCAGACGTCCCAGTAAAGCTTGGAGCCTATAGTGGCCTAGGACCCTTTTCGGGAACGGAACAGGTTCATGCAAGATCATGCAAGCCTCTCGACGGCAATCAAGATATTCTCCCCCCCCCTCTCCCTCATCCGCAAAGTTCGAAAAGCAGTAACCTCAAGTCCGAAAGCGAAATGTTTCTGTGAACACAGAAAAACCCAAGCCTCAACTCCGAAAGCAGAACCTTCCCGCGAAGTCCGACAGCAAGAACTGAACAAAGCCACACACCACGAAAAAGGCCGGACAGAAACCCGCGATCTAGGTACGACGACGAGGACGAGGGCTACTACTACTACTACTACTACTACTACTACTACTTCTACTACGAGGACGACGACGTCTAACACAAAGTAAGTTCGAGAGGAGAGCGCAAGACCAACGAAGTCCCGAAAGCGAAGTGCAAGCTCCGAATGGTGTCAAAGATGATGCAAAGACTACGTCCCGACACCGAGCAATTGTAACATCATACTAGTGCCATTAGCCAAACAATTAACCATTAATGTTCACAGTGATGATAGTGGCAGACATGGTAATTTTAGTGCTATGCCCCCCGCATCGGCTTGCCGGAGAGCAGCACTGTGACACAACTCATCGATGTGTGTAATGTGAAAGAGCAGCGGACGCAAAGGGGAGACCCTTGCGAAGCCCTGGCTACTCCGGCTCATGCTTTCTCCATGCTTTGCCTCCCCGGCCCCCCCGGACGCAAACAGGGTGTCATGGCGTTGTTGGGCTGGGAGGAGGATCAGGTGGAGCCTAGTATACCCCCCAAAACGCCTGGAGGCATGTGGTTTCCGCGGATGAATATGTGAACGCTTAAGCTTCCGCTATATAGTATTTGCTACCATGATGATGGTTTACTAGTAGCGACAGGCTATAGAACTGATAAGGGGTACCACTAGTAATGTGGTACTGCGAAACGCCAGATTTGTGATGAACGTGCTCATAGTAGGGATACTAACTAATCACTAATCATATAGTGCAACGTGACGGTTGCTGCCGATGACCATAAAATCGCAAGAGTCTTCTAGAGGCCAGGATGCAGTAACTAACACGATGACGATGGCGGTAACCGAAGCGTTGAAATTGCAGCGGCTGACTAACAAATGTGCATAAACCTATGAAGTGTAGTATTCTGGAGTTTACCAGGTTAATTTTTGGGTGCAACAGGCATGTTTGTCGATTGGCATTTGTCATCACATGCTGTGCACTCTTCTTCTCGCAGGTCGGGATATGAAAGTTGTGATCGCAAGCAAGACTTCAAGGCGTGGATCTCCGGTAGTTGTCTGTGGCGCTGTATTGGTGTTTCGGGGCTGTAAGAAATTGCTACTTTCGGCTTCCCTGAAATTGGGCTTTCAGCTTCCTTGTGTTGCATTCGCGGGTCGCGTGGCGGGGTCACGAAAAGCCTTGCTTGGAAGGCCATGGAAGAGCTGCAGAGCACTTGTCTCAGTGCATGCAACCGTGGCCCCCTCGGTGCTCCGTCGCGGTCGCGGTGATGTTCTTTCAGCTGCCGGGCCCTAGGGCCGAAGCCAAGCCAGGCTCATTGCAGTGGGAAGCTGCTCTCGCCATACTGCAATCTGATGCCTGCACCTCACAGTGGACCTGCAACCCTCTGACTCTGGCCCTAAGACGCTTCCTCCGTCTAGGTCCGAATCACATGTACTGTGCCGGCAATGTCGATGAACTGACTTGTTTCACAACTCTGCGCCTTGCCTTGGAGTCGATGAGGTTTGCGATTTTACTGGCCTCAACTGTGCTATCCAAGCGTGCGCCGGGGCGTCAAGGCTGCGCCGGATCATTTGCTCAATAATGTATAAAAGGTTGCCAAGGTGTTTCCGCATGTCACTCACTGTCTCGTGTTCACATCGACTGCAGCGGGACAAAGCTATGACTTGTTGTCGTAGTAACTGCATGTGGCTGGTTGACCCCCAGGTGGTCCTTGGCTGTTTCGATGGTAGAAGGCGCCGGGAATTCTTCTTGCAGGGCAGAGCAAGCATGCCAAGCATGTGAAACGAGGCTGCCATCACACGGCGACACTGTCCGCTGAGAGCTAAGAATCTGCGGACATCGTGTTGAGAATCCTTCCTAGCAATGGATGCACAGCATTCCGACACCAAACTGAGCTCGAAGCGGCGCTGCATGTTGCTTCAGGGATGGCACAGGAGTGCGGAGCCAAGGTTGTCTTGGGAGCCTGCGTGGCGTGTCGGAGTCCAAGCTGCAGCCCGTTCGGGGCAGCTGTCTCGCAAACGAAACACCGGGTCGAGAGCAAGGTCAAGAGCTCCCCATTGCTGCCGGAGTTTGCAACCTGCATCCTCCTCAGACACATTCAGCCGAAGGCGCTTGCTCAGCCAAGAGCAATGTAATCGGACACGAACTTGTGCAAAGGCTGCGTAAGTCCCGCAACAACTCGGAAGAGGCCCGATTGCAGTGTATTTTTCGATGTTCACTAGACCAACGCGACGAACGCTTCTCGCTCTGTCGGGGTCAAAGACCAGCTCGCTCCCAGCATGCACTCTTACGAATTGCAGGCAGAGACTTCCATGGAGGCTTCCCATCTGCACGGTGCTCTGACGCCGCTGGTCGGCATGTGGCCGAGCTGTCGGAAGTAACTAGTAACAGTGCGGGACTGAGTGCAACGTGAGGTCTTGGTCTCGACATTTATCCCACGCCGCAGAGGCACAGCGGTGAAAGCAGATGCGTTTTGTTTTTGCAGGATCTCGGAGCTTCCATGTTCAGGTTGGTGGAAAGCCGCACGCATCTCTGGGCAACGCCGGCACCTTACCGAGCCAGTGCCCTGCGGCCCAGGCACGCAGTCTTGCGCAGGTATCTTCATCCATGGCTCGCGGAATGCTTGACATGCACCAGTTGCGGGCTGTATGTGGCGACCGATGATGCAGACTGCCTTTATTCTACGTGCTTCCGGCCAGCTCCCCGACCGTCGCCGACGGGTACATTCTTCGTTTCGCTGCTTAACAGCTTAGCATCTGAGGCCGTTGTATGCCATTCAAGACAGAGTGTCTTGCTTGTGATCGGCTCCGGCTCGCACCTTCGGAAGTGACATGCGCTGGCACAAGCAGTTCCATCCCAGCACGGCAAAGCATCTCGTGGTACCGGGCTTGATTAGCTCCTCAAGCCCGACGTGGTCTTGATGCTGTTCTCCGAGATCAGTTTCCCTGCAGCGCACCTCGCGCTCGCGCTAGAAGCGAGGGTCCCTCTGTGAACTGTGGCAACATTTTGCAGTCTCGGGGGCTGGAAAGTGCTGGCACTTAGGGTTGTGTGTAATGGTGGCTCCTCAAAGTGCGGAGTGGTGTCGGGAATCTATCAGAATGATATCAGCTACTGGTTTGAACTTCGGTAGGACTGACTGACAGGCGACAGGAAGGGTTCAGCGTGGCTGCATGGCTTTCAATGCAGCGCCGAGGGAACAACGGAACGTTAGTAGATAATGCCTTTGCATTCATCAAGTAACTGTTCAGGCTAGTCATGATATTCCCGTGAGGAGTCGAAGAGCTCCTGACAGCGCAAACGGACCAGAATTCTTCGCCACCGTCATCAAGTCCATCGACAAGGGCGAGTGTCTATAGCAATGGCCAAGTCAATGACCTTCTGCGGTGACACTTGATACATCTGTAAAAGGATTGTGCTATGGTTTCGGTGAGCATGACTTCGGCAGATGCTGTGAGTGTGTGAAGAAACTTCCCACCCCTGCTGTGGAATCTTAAACAGTCCTTGAAGCTTCTTGGCTTGCAGAAACGAGCAGTGTAGACAAGTGGACGAACTTGTTTGCTCGAAACCATGGAAGCAGAACAGTGACTTGTAAGCGTGAACGAGCATGCAGGCTTCTGAGCAAGCTCACAATACCACCAGCCGCATTGTTACGAGTTTGCCCGTGCGTCATCCCAGCCATCTGAGCTGCGGCAGTCGCTTACCTGCAAGAGTATATCAAACATCACATTCACGGATCTCTGTCTTCTCGCAAAACAGAAGACCATCAGCACATTGCCTAGTGTGCAACTACTTAGACGTGTGTCTCGAAATCCTGGAAGTGGGCTTGGTTTCATGCCTGTTCGAGAGAGCCTCTCCGCCGGACGGTCTGGGGGCAAGCATGTAAGCTCCCGTTTAATGCCAGAGCCGTGATTGCGAGACACGTGTTTGCCAATCTGGCCTTGTGCCGCGGTTTCCTCTCGAAGCGCAGTAATCCTTGTGCATCCCTGGCTGGCACTAGAAGTTGGCATGCCGAGACCCGAGGCAGCGCTGCCTCGAATAAAGCAACTGTTTCAGGGGGAACGTCCGAGATCGTCCAAGCACGTATCGGGCACCATGGTTCCAGCACCAAGGCTCAGCCACCAAACATATTTGAGAGGCCTTCAAGGTTCAGCTGCAAATCTTCGTCAAGCACCAAACTTGAGTCACTGTCCACTGCACGGTGCCTCGAGGTCCTTTCTCATGGTTTGCAGCAGTCATAGACTTCCCAATGTGAAATCGGATCGGGTCAGAGACATGCAGGAACGAGCGTGGACTGATTGTCTGTTCATTTTGTCACGGCGTGCCAGCCCTGAGAGGGTTGGTACGTGAGGCATTGTCTGGTGCAGGGAGAAGGATTGCTGGAAACTCGCCCTTACAAGTGGCAGAGTTGGTGATGCGGTACGCGGCTTGCGTCAGCGGGTGGGCTAGATTACTCTTTTCCTGTGGCCTTCTGCAGACTCCAGCCGCATTGCACGGCACTTCTCAAGATCAAGAGCGCTCCTGCTGAGGTGTCTACAGCATGGCGAAACGTTCTCAGTTGCAGACATACGGAAAGGCTGCTTTAGGTGAGCGCCATGGACTAAAGGCCAACGAGGTTCTGTGGCGAGACGGTTCAGTCAGAGTTGGAGGCGAATACAAGAGACTTGCCGCAGGCGCCAGTGTTCCGGGAACAGTTCCAGTGCAGGCCATCCTTGCAAGCGGCCACCGGCAAGTGGCAGCCCGGATTGCGCTGTATTGCAGCGAGCTGGTGGAGGCCGCGAGGGAGTTTCTGGCACCCTCACATATGCTGACATGCCGTTCACGTACATATGTAATCGATCAACCGGCCTCACGTCGTTATACATCTTCAACAGGAGCAACCTTCACCATCGGTGGGCTTTACCACATTTGCTTCCGGTGGCCTTTGCGCAAGATCTGGGGGTCGTCTACTTGCTTGAAGTTTAAAAATCATGTTCAGCGGGCGGTTTTGTAGCACGGTTCAGCTAGTCGCTCTGCATGTTTTGATGGCATCTCCGATCTTTGAGCAATCGTTAAGCTTTTCCGTCATGCTGAAACATAGCTACTCGTAGCGGTAGGGAGGCCAAAAGGCGATGCCCATACTCATGAACCTTCAGATGTTGTGCATATGTGCGGAGTCTTGCATACGCCTCGTGCTCTAAAATATGTCAGGTGCTGCAGTGTGCTTGTGTCTTGAATTGATTTAGGCGCCGGAGTGCAAAGTCTTGTTTGGGTGCTGGTGGTTTGTCACGCCACGCAAGCGCAGCGTGACACCGGGCGGTATGAAGCGTAGCGAAATAAGCTTCATAGCACGAGGTGGAATGATTGGGATGACGTGCCATGCGAATAAGCGCATCATGCAGCTTCAACGTTTACCCGTGGTCTCTAGGACTCCAGGAGTTTAGGTCAAGTGATGTCAGATCACGATGATAGGACCAGACCAGATGGTGCCGGATAACAATTGTCATCCGACCCGCTGGGACTTGTTGCTGTGACTTGTTCGTTGAAACAGCTCTGGGTGGGAATGAGACGCCAGGTGATGCACGATGCATTGTGCTAAAATCCGCTGCAGATGTGCCGTTCGACATCTCGTGCGGTGATGTGCAACGAGGTGATTCATATTGTTCTTCGTAGTCCTGGCTTGAATTCTTTATACAGTTTATACAGTGTTACTCAGTGTGGTTCAATGCTATTATGTGTGCCATGAGTTCTGATGTGTGCTGATATGGCGGCAGCTGTCATGGCATGCATGAAAGGGCCTTGGCTCACAATCTGCAGAAGTCAACTACGAAGTTTTAATGCATGGAACTACCCAAGTTCGAGGTTTTGGCAACTAGAGATGCGACGAAGCATCACATGTGGAGCAGGTCTTCCCTTTTCGGTATCTGTTTGTGATGTGATGAAGGTTAATATATAGTGGGGTGAGACGTGGTGAGGGTCAGTGGGTGGACAGACATATAGATCAAATGCTTGAGCCGGCCCGCAGCATGTCGCATTTGACTTCTGCGCCGTGCTGACTTGCAGGCCGCCCGAGAGGACGAACGGCAGCAGCTTCGCGACAGGTACGAGGGTGCGAGTCGCTGCGAGTGGACCCTTCCTGCGCAGCAGCACGACGGCCGCAGGCAATTAGCAGCCGGCGCTGATGGACGTTCAGCCGGACAGACGGGTGACGTCACAGGCCCTGTTGCAAGCAAGTGCAGTGTAGGTCTCCGTCACGCCGACTGTGCTCGGACTTCATTTGCTTTGCATCAGGCTTACGTCCTTCGCCAGAGGCAGCATGTCTTTGCTTTGAGCTTGCGACAAGCAGAAAAAGCGCGGCGCAGAGGCTTCGCAGAAGTTGGAGCAGCAGCCCACGTTGGATCAATTCCATACGGACCGTTCCATCCTGAGAACCACAGCGAAGTCTTTCGTGGAACGATCGGATGGGTGTCCTCAGGCGCAACTGACAGAGACTGCGAGTGGATCCTGCGCACGGCATTTTCCATCAGAAACAAGGCAGTGCCGATCCAGATTCAGATGGAAACTCACCTCCAAGCAATGCGCCGGCAGGTGATCCAGCGGGGGAGAGTCGAGGCTCTGGCGGATGGTTTGATGTGAAGCTAAGGGTCTTTTTTCATCGACATGGCCCCAGAAGCCTTAAAAGGACGCGCACGCAACTGGCGAATCCCGAGGCATCCCAAAAAGCTTGCCCTTATACAGATGCCACAGCGGAATGATGCAGGCGTACTGTTGCAACGGAATAGTGCTGCATGGTTAAGAAACGGAGATGTCACATGTTGTCCTTTGTTCAACACCACTCGAAGCGCTCTGAACAGCCCCGTATCCGCCCGCACCCGAGGAACGACAGAATCACTTTGCACGCTTGTTTCTTTCATCCTTTTCGTCCTGGAAGGGCGCTGCGGATGCTGGGGAGGCCGCTACGTATCTCACGATGCTTGGGGCAAACGGCAAGATGCAAGCCGTTTCGCCCGTTCGGGCCACGGAAGCTGCACACATCATTCATTCAGGCGCAGGCTACCCGCAGCCGCGCTGTCTCAATGCAACTCGTCCTTCGAGTGTGTTTCATTTCTGCGACAGTCTAAAAGCAGGCTTTCATGTCGTGTTGTGTAAGGCATTGTACGGAGTACAACTGCGTATGTACCTGTACCATAATTGTAACAGTGACGGCATGCATGTATCTGCGCAAGATACTACTGCCCGAATGTATTGAGGAAAGACGACAGTTTGATGTTGGCAGGTGCAAATTGCAGGTATCCCCAAAATGAGGGAATTGGCCAGTTCGCGGTTCAATCGGGGTAAGCACGTCTCTCTGCACCCAGTTTGTCTGTCTGCGTATCTATCTATCTGCTTGTCATCTGCCCTTTTATCTACCCTGGCTCTCCCTCTCCCCTCTCCCTCCCTCTAGCTCTCTCTCTCTCTGCCTCTCGCTCTCCCTCTGTCTTCTCTCTGGATATATCTATCGGTAGTACAAGGGAATAAATGTACACTGTCTAGAAATGCATCGAGATCAAAGGGTGTTCATCGCTTTGGGGCTCCAGTTTCGGGATGGCTTCGGAGCCTGGTCTCGTGCCATCCCCTGGCTCAACCTGCAAACAGGGGTTCAACATGCACAGGTCGGTTTTCGGGGTTCAACCTGCACGGGTGATTCCTGGCTTAACCGGCACAGATCGGTTTTCGAGATGCAAACGGCTGGGGGCGTGGCAGAATAGTAAAACACTAAATAGTAAGCAGTAAAATAGCCAATAGTGAAGCAGTAAATGGTACAAGTACAGTAATGAAATAGTAAAATAGTAAATTAGCAAAATCCTGGCTCAACCGGCACATGTGGATTTTCGAGATGCAAACGGCTGGGAGCGTTTTAGAAGAGTGAAACAAACATATTAGACAGTAAAGACGACAGTACAAACAGGACAACAGTACAGTAGTGAAATCGTGAATAATGAAATAGTAAATAGTAAGCAATAAATAGCAACAAATAGTAAAACAGTAACTAGTACAGTAGTAAAGTCGTGAAATACTAGAATACTATACAGTAAATAGTCATAATGAAACAGCACAACAGTACAGTAGTGAAATAGTAAAACAGTAAAACCCTGGCTCAATCGGTGCCGTTTGATTTTCGAGATGCAAAGGTAGTAAATAGTTCACAGTTAAATAGTAAATAGTAAAACAGATAATAGTACAATCGTACTAGTGAAATACCAAAATAGTAAACTAGCAAAATAATAAAATCCTGGCTCAGCCGGCACAGTTCGGCTTTCGAGGTGCAATCGGCTGGGGGCGTGGTGGAATTGCAAAATAGTACAATAGAAAAACAATAAAACAGGAAAATCCTCGCTCAACCGGCACAGGTCCGTTTTCGAGATGCAAAACGTATTGGCTCAACCTGCACAGGTCGGTTTTCGTATTGGCTCGACCGGGACAGGTGGGTTTTCGAGATGCAAACTGCTTGCTGCCATGCAATTCGGGCGCCAGCTTTGCATCTCGAAAACCCAACCTTGCATGTCGAACGCCACAGTCCCCTATGACCTGTGCCTAGGAGTAAAAAGCAGCAGCCGGCAGTCCTGGATCCTAATCTCGTCGAGCCTGGTGCCTGGACGTGACGCCACACAGTGCAATCTCACAAAGAGTCCAGTTTTTGTGCACAATCCCTGTAGCATTGATTTATAAATATCTGGGGAGCTCGGCTCAGAGCTGTGTACATAGCCACTGCACAAGGGGTCCAGTTCCTCCCCTGGTCGCATGGCCTTGGAACTCATGCAGCTACCGGCCGGCCCTGACGCTTGCCTAATTAAGCCAAGCCAACATCTGTTGGTTCGAAGCCGGATTTCCTTCCTTTTGACACCGGGGTTTTTGCACTCGCTGAGCTCTTTGACTTCAGCTGCTTTGTGGTTCAGGCGCGGGCCGTGCAAGTCTTCAAGTCTGGCAACCTGACGCAGCAGGACACCGGCCTGGCAATGAGGGGTGCTAAATCGGCAGGTTTTGGGCACGGGGGTGAGCATTTGTCCATAAATCCAGCTCGTCGTGAACAGACTGGAGGTTCTGGACTTTAATGCGTCGCGTCCGCTGTCGTTTCAATACACCGCTGGGACATGTATCAGGTGCTTTGCTCGTCAGGGTGGCCCTGTTTTGCGCGGGTCCTTTTCAAAGAACCCTGTCCAGATCGCACGTTGGCTTCCTCCTGTCAAGCTGGTTGCTTTTCGTCGAATCAGCCCTTGCTGCCGGCAAGTGGTCAGCGACCTGCTGGCGCACCTCGGCCCTCACACAGCCATACACGGGTCTCCCTGAGCAGAGTTTTGATGGAACATGGAGTCTCCTATACAGCATCAGTTAAGTCAGGTCCGATGAAGCCCTCCGAAATGCGTCTGGGCTCAAAAAGAAGTTTGGAAGTCGTGAGGTGGTATCTGCTAATGTGCTAATGTACTGCTTGATGCTTCCACAGCTCGTCAGGATGTGCAAGCGGCACTGCAGGAGGTTTTACATCACAAGGATAACCGAGTTTGGGTGGGAATCCGGGTGCGAAATCACAGCACAGACGCGGGGTCTTTTGCAGTGGACCGGCGTCAGATTACTTTGGCCAATCCATCCTCAAGTACAGCCTTGGCAAGCTCCACATCATTCGTGTTCAATCGGGTTTTCGACCACAGGGCACATCAGATGGATGTGTGGAGCAGCATCCAGGCCCCTCTGATGCGATGCGTCCTGCGCCGCGAACACGCGTGCTTGTTTGCCTATGGGCAAACTGGGTCTGGCAAGACCTATACCATGTTTGGAGATCCAGCCTCGCCGTCGGAGACTGGTCTGGCCTTCCGCACCCTGACACACAGAACGCATGCCGAATGGTTTACTACTCATTTGCTAGTCCCTTTCAGGATGTTTCAGGCTCTGTCTGGGTTTTGTGTTTCACAAGCCCAGGAATTACAGAGAGCTTGAAGCAGCTTCTTCAATCGACGACATGCGTGGAAGATCGTCCGTCGCTGGAGTTCAGTTTTCTGGAAGTGTACAACGAACGGGTCCATGCTTCCCGGCTTCTGTTCAAAAGCTCTTTGGCCTTTTCAAGCTACTTGTACAAGATTGTTGCAGGGTTGCGCCCAGGACCTTCTCGCCAACTCGAAAGTGTGCGTGCTGGCAGGCATCTTTGGCTGTCAAACAGTTGAGTTGAAGGTTGCGGTAGGTACGGTACGTTTTGCTTGAGCACGAGCCTCTGCAGCTGCCAGGTGAGAGGGAAGAGCTGGCACCTGGAAGCACATACCACGCCGCCAAGCTCGGAGACGAGCACGTGGTTGTGCGTGGTCTGACAAGACGGACGCATCTCGGTGCAAGAATGCTGCAGATGATACAGCTTTGGATCGCCATGTGTCGAGAGGAAGACAAGTGTAGACCTGCTGTAATGGGCAGCACGACATGAAACTGCCGTGTCGGGGCTGTCAATAACATGGTTGCTCCTTGTTGTCGGGAGGTGTGGTGTGCATGACCTCACGGAGAAGGCTGGATGTCGAAAATGATGACGACCAGTACTACTACTACTACTAGGAAAAAAAACTACTACGACTACTACTACTACTACTACTACTACTACTGCTGCTACTACTACTACTACTACTACTACTACTACCTACTACTACTACCTACTACTACTACCTACTACTACTACCTACCTACTACTACTACTACTACTACTACTACTACTACTACTACTACTACTACTACTAACTACCTACTACTACTACTACTACTACTACTACTACTACGATTCCCACTCCTACTTGCTCTACTACCACCACCACCACCACCACCACCACCACCACCACCACCACCACTGTGCTGCTGATGGTCCCAAACAATGCCCCAAACGATACCTAAAACATCGATAAGAGGCTTGTTGTCAGCCATGTGGATTAACATTGCAGCAGGGGCAGCACATGTGATGCCTTTGGACAGCTCTGTATGCTTCCCAGACTGCTACCAGCACTACATTCAGTTGACAATCAGTCGCAGATGCAGCTTCGTGTGTAAAACCTGTAAACCGCGAAGGGAGCCACCCTAAAACACCGGGAGCAATACTATTGCATTTCTCTCAAGTCAAGTTTGAACAGGTTTTGTCAACAGCCGCACCATTTCACTCCTAAGCTCAGAAGGTTGATGTCGTGACCGTGTTCCCTGCCAAGCTAGAAGAAGATGTTCCCTGGCTTGGCCCCGCAGATCAGCGAGTGGTTGCTGGAGGGCGCGGCCGCTCGAATCGTCGGCCGAACTGCCTTCAATCCACGCTCCAGCCGCAGCCACGCTGTTTCCTGGAACAACAGTCTGCTCGGATCGAAACTCATAACGGCCACGCTGGCGCTTACCTTTCCATGCGATGCAAGGCTTCTGCACCTAAGGTGGCTACGATCCATGTCTGCTGGCAACCAGGTCCTGCCACATCTGCGAAAGGAGGGACCTGGGAACTAGCTTCGGAGATCTCTGCATGTTTTGGAGTTCGCTTGCCTGATGTGCAGAGGGCGGGAAACTCGACTGCACGTTGTGGACCTCGCCGGGAGCGAGCGGCTGGATTCTCAAGCTTCAGCTCTTGTCACGGCTTTGGCTGAGTCCTTCATGTTGTTCGAGGTCCGGACAGTATGCAATCGACGGCGAGCAGCTGCGAGAAGGCTCGAAAGCACTCAGGGCTCTAGGACTCTGCGCACCAGCTCATAGTCTTCCGTGCAGAACTCTGTTAAGTCCGATGTCAGAGGATGGGACGCTTGTAATTCTTGCAGCTTATGGCATTGCCTCTTCATGTTGTCTTGAGGAGCCCACATCAATCTCAGCCTCTCCACTCTAGGCCGCGTGGTGGGTGCGCTGGCACGCTTCTGGCTCAGACTTGTCGTAGACCTTGAGAGCTACTTGAGAGAGGATGCGAAGTCACCTATCTAAGGCGGCCAGGGAGAGCATGTCCCCTACAGAGACTCATCGCTGACGTGGCTTCTGAGCGATGCCATCACCGGCTGCCATGCCAGGGCTTTCATGACAGGGCTTCCGACAACGGCTTGGGCTTCGGTTTGTCGACAGTCGTAGGAGACGCAATGCCCGAAATCGAGTCACAAGCCGGCAGATGACGCCAGAATGTGTGAGGATTGCAACCGTGCAGCCCGAGCATGCCGCCGAGACTCTGAGCACTCTGCGCTATGCACAAGCGCAACCCGGCTCGACAATCAGCACTACTGACAGGCAGAAGCTGTGACAGAAGCTTCAGTGGGAGCAGTATCTGGAGTGAGGGAAACAGATGCCAGGTACTCGAGCCTGCAATCGGACTTGAGCACCAAGATCCCCCGCTTGCGCGCGCAAGTACGATCACTCCTTTGCCAAGCAGACATGGCCCAGCATCCTGACTAAGACAGGTACAGAATCGGAGCCTTGTGACGATGTTGATGCCCTTCCTCATTCCATGCTGTAGTGCCGTTGTAAGGCGAGAGGTGGACATGATGTGTAGTCTGATCAACGACAATGCCAGGCAGGGGTTGCCGTGTACACAGATCTCGAGAAATCCTGGCACGCCTCTTCCCAGTTTCAGCTTTGAAAGGATTGGGAAGATGAACCAGTGGAGTCGCGAAACGCTGAAGAGTCGAGTCGTCCAGATTCGGCGGCATGGGGAGGAGTGCCTTGGAATAAGAAGCTCAGCCAACCAGGGGTTCGGAATCATGCAGCGCTTTTGTTCAGACTGAAGGGATGTCGGCCGGGAGAGCATGGTCCACCTCGAAGGTTAGCATCCAGAACAGCGCACAACTTGACTCTTCAAATGCTGTGGGGTGGAACATAGTGCCCTGCAACATGCAGAACCTGCACAGTCGTCATCTGAAGTGACACTCATCCAAGTGCAGCGCCAAAGGCTCTTCAGACTGCATCCGTACCTGAAGTGGACGGACGTGCACGACACGAAGGCATACGGCTGGGTCTTTGAGAAAAATCTTGAGGATGCCTTCTCCTGGACCCTATCAGATCGAGCTGCCAGACCTGTTACTAGTGCCCACATGCCGCAAGGAGCCATGGTCCAAGCCTCCCTCAAACATTGCCATGTAGCTGGACTCTGTGTGCACCCCTCTCCCAGCGGGTTGACAGAAGCCAAGCCTCAAAGACTGCAGACGATTCAAGGGGCTGCCGGACCATACCACAGAATCACGGAGCCACAGAGCGCCTGCCAGGCAAAGTTGGCTCAGATCGGGCTGGTCGAAGAGGTCTGTGAACGCCTTAGTCGCCTCCTGCGCCTGTCGCAACTTGACCTGGCGTGACGTCGTCAAAGAAAGATCAAGCATCAGGTGCCGTTCCGCCTGTCAGAGAAGCTGACTGTGCAAACGACGGTCGCCGGATTCACTTCCGAGAGAGTTCCTAGGACCGCTTTGGGAAGCTTTCAGGAACAAATCCAGGCGCATGCCACGCCCAGGCTCGGCCAATGTTTGCGCCTGCGTGAGGGTCGTCTTCACAGGACGGGCTAGGGCCTCCATCGAAATCCGATATGTGAAGTGAAAACCCTGCAGCAACTTGAAGCTGGGTGGAGCTGTTAAGGTCGGTGGCACTCTTGCGTTTTGCAAGGAAAGCACGGCCACCAGTCGACACGCTTGTGGTTCCCAGAGGACAGTAGGGCAGTAGGCTGCAGCCACAAAGCAGTGTGATCTGTGACTATACAGGTAATATTTCGCGCTCTCTCTCTCTCTCTCTCTGTGTCTCTCTCTCTCTCTCTCTCTCCGACTCACACCTGACTCCCCACTCCGGCCCACTCCTCACTCTTCACTCCCACTCACACTCACTCTCTAATCCCACTCACTCACTCCAGTTCCCCTTACTCCGGACTCCCCGTCACTCCGGACTCCCCACTCCCGCTCACTCCTCCACTCCCACTCACTCCTCACTCTCCACTCCAAATCACTCCTCATTCCACGCTCACTCCTCTCTCTCCGCTCCCACGCACTTGTAACTGCGTGTCTCGAAGCCGCGACGCAGTGCTTGCGAAGTTTTAGATGTCCAACTTGGAATTGCCGATGCTCATGTGCCAACCTGGTGGTATCACTTGAGGACGTTCTGGAGGATGTTTCTCCACCAGCACAGCTTCAGGAATCGCTACGAGAATCTGAAAAAGCCGATGCTGTTGCTTGCCCTGAGCAGCTGGATAGCCATGGAGAACTGTGCTAGATGAAATGCGAAAGAGCCGCAGTTGGGATCCGGTCTTCGGCCCTGTGATGTGCAATGTGCCCGTGTGTGTGCGTGTGTGTGCGTGTGTGTGTGTGTGTCTGTGTGTGTGTGTGTGTGTTTGTGCGCTTGTTTGTCTGTCTGTGGCATGTCAAGCACCCTTTACTGTACATGCTGGAGGCTTTGCAGCAAAAAGCTGCCCAGCTGAAGACTGCGCAGAAGGCTTTTGCCTCCCAAATGCAGCAGTGGACGAGCTAAGCTTTCAAGCGACATGCGACTTTGTGGATGACTGGGCTGGTGCACCTGCTGCTGGACGAGCTTTTATCCCTGCGGCCATTGCATTGGTTCATGGGACGGCTACAAGCGACACTATGCATGATGCTGTGCTTAGGGGCGTTTCGTCGAAAGGATACGCTGATTGCATGTCCTTCCCAGGCACAGAGAGGTGTCGAAACAGCATAGCTCCGCAGATAATAGCAAGATTCCAAGGAACGACAGCTTCTCGACATCTCCCAGTTATTTAGATAGGTCTGCAGCCTGAGATGTACAGTGCCCCAGGTCCATTCCGTAAAAAGCCATGGCCACATGCTTGCAGTGCAGCATCGAGACACGATCCATCCCAAGATTGAAGAAGTGCCAAGCCTAGGCGGATCAGCTTCTTCAGGCGCATGGTGCAATGTGCGATCAGGCTCTGGCAGGACATAGATGCACCCTCTTCTCGATGTCTTCCCGGCCTCGCACAGACTCTAACAGGGACCTGTCGCATGGAGGAGACCTTGCTGGATGACACGCCTAGTGCCAACCTCTGTCGCTGAGATCTGAAGGGAACTGACCCAAGATGTTGGGCACGAGAGAGAGGCTTGTGAAACTTCCTGCAGGCTTGTCTCGAAGTGCCGGTGCCCGAGAGCCCGAGAAGCTCGCAGATTGTCGCGGCTCTGCGACAGAGGGTTTCCTGTGAGGCGACCGTCTGTCCGGGCGTGCTCCAGTCGAAGGCCGGTGCGTTCTCGCGGAAGCAAAACGCTGCAGAGTGCAGTGCCGTCTTAAGGCCGCGAAACTCTCCGCCAGGAGTGCTGAGAGCGGGGCGTTGTGTTCCTCTGATCTCACCTCTGGCGAGGATAGATGAGAGCGAAAGCCCACATGCTGCAGCCTGCGGCCTAAAGGATCGTAGCATCGGAAACCAGAGCGCTGCCGAGCTCCCGTCTCAGGCAGGCGGACAAAGCCCGTACCGACATCTCATCTCGCAAACTTCCCAGTCAAACACAGCACCGAGCAGTCGAGTGCAGTGAGATCATGTTACTGGCAGAGAGCTCAGGTCCAGCTCCATGCTCTCTGCGAAAAACCTTGAGCTTGAAGCAGAGCCTACCGGCGACAGGCCGTTGAGTTAATCGCTCTACTCTACTGACTCCACTGCACTGGGGCATGACTTCAAGCAGGACAGTCGCGTCATCGGGGAAGGCTGGGAGAGATGCAGCACACGATGCATTACAGGCTGCGGCCGATAAACCAGAGAAGAGGATTCTTTCTTGTCGCTTCTCTCCCCTGCAGCCTGCGACGCCAAAGAGCCGAAGAGAGCTCCATGAGGAGCCTTCAGCCTGCTGAGCTAGAGAGGGGTGGAAGGGGAACGGCGGGGGCGATGCTTCTTGCGCACCATCCCGTTCTTTGGGCTACACACGGCCTGGCACCGTCACAGCAATGGACTGTGCAACGCCTTGAGGATTTGGGGCGAGAGCTGGAGCAGCTTGCTAAGGATCTGCGCAACGCGTAGTGCTCAGTTTTTCCCCAAAGCTGCCGGGCCAGTGGGATGACGAAGGTGCAGTTGTCGCATGCCCCAGGCCCAGATCATCAAGTCCTACTGAGCGCAGGATTCTGAGGGGGCTCGCTGCGGCAGTGTCTTTGTGATACGCTCAAGCCTTAGCAGCTTTTCCTCGCTTCAGAAATCCTAAGCTTTCGTCTTTATCCGGGGCTCGGCAGGCTTGACCGCCGCACATGCTGCAGCCTCCTTCGTGCACCCTTGCAGCTAATGAACAGGCTTCGTGCACCTCGGATGATGCCGACAGGGTAAAACACATTTGAACCAGAGTCGCTCCCTCTTCCCCCAACCCTCTGAACAGCTGCCGCAGTAAACCTTTGAGGTGCGCCAGACCTCCAAAAGCTGCTTCATGCCACCACCACGACCCGAGCCATCCATGACCTTCGACACAGCAGTTGGCTTGGAACTGTCCAGGAGCACAGAACCTCATACCAAAGGCAACGCCCTTTTCTTTCCCCTTGCACCCTCTCGAATCTGCTCAGGTTCGACTCTGACATCAGTAGGCTTCGGAGCAGTTCGGGTCCCCAACCCATCCCTGGTTCCGGGATGCCGGCTGAGAATCTAGATCTAGTGATCGCCAGACTCTGCCTGACCCGATGAGCAGCGTGCGTGCTTGGGCACAGACAATGTTGGAGCATGTTTGAACGCCGATTCATCGGAGAGTCATTAGGGCTTAATCGCCGCAAACTGCACACTACCTCTGTGCAACAGTCATGAAACTGGTGCATGCGCTTTCACTCGTGCTTGCATACAAATGATGTTTCTTATGCATTCTGGCATTCGTAAGAGAATTTTACCCTGGCAGATTCCGAAGGCGCTTGATTGCAGCCGCCGTGCGTAGCTGGCTTTATGCGCTTGTCGGCGCCGGCCATGGCGTCCTTTGGTGCTATACCGTGTATGTCGATATATACACTGTATCATTGATGGTCTCACCCACGGCCGAGCCCTGCAGAGCGACTCTAACCTGTCTCGGAAGATGGGGAGCAGACGAGCCCATTCCCCGAGTACCTCCCAGAAAAGCCCTTGAATGCCGTTCATTGATGTTCCGGCAGCTCAGGAGTGTGATCTGATGTCTTGCACTTGTACGTAACCCTTCCGCCGCATGGCATTGGACATGCTGTCAGAGATCTGCTTGCCAGCTGTCCGGCATGGCCAGTACACGAAGTGTACATTGCGTTTATTCAGCGCCTATGTTGGGACTTGCAGCACTGGCTGCTGGACATTGCCAACAGACGCTTTGTGAGCTTGGGCAGAAAGCTGCAGTTTCGAGACTCTCAGAATTCACAGCACGTCGATGGTGTTTTATGCGCTGAAGCACTTCAGCTTCTGATCTAGTCCGATCCTGTTGTGTCGGCTCGTGGCTAGAGAGTAGCTAGAATACGAATCAGCCCACACAGAAGGGGACTCGGACACCCGCGCTTGCAAGACTCTGACATAGAGGAGCCACCGGTAACCTCGTGAATTCCGTGCTGCCCTCTGCCGGAAGATCGCAGGGATGCAGGGCCAGACGAGGACAGCCCAGTGCCAGAGTGTTTTCAGAACTGTTCTCTGAGACTCTGGGTATAGAGGACCAGCACGGTCAACTCCTCCGTCTCGACCTTGTCCATGGCAAAAGCCAAATCCGACACCTGGCCGCAAAGTCTTCCGCTGTTAGGTGCATGTTCGTTCCAGGATTTGATTTGGCGGTGTTGTGCAAGCCCCGGGCTCGATTGCCGAGGAAGAGGCATGTTGTTTTTTTCTCGAGCTCCAGGAAAAAAAGAGGCATTTTGCCTTGTACAGCCGCAGGGGCCGTCATGGAGGACTCCCGTGTCGCTGGCTGCATGTGGGAGTAGTGCTGGTGCTGGAAGGGGCTGCGTCCGAAGGGATTGCGCGGAGGCCGTGAGCCTGCACATGGTTCCCGCCGACATTTGTTCGGTCCGTTTTCCATTTCCCCCTCCGCTGTGAAATCCTGACAGGGATCTGGGGGAAGTGGGCCCGTGGGGGTGTAGTCCCGAATCCCTCCAAAGAATTCCGCCATGTCCGCGTCCATCCTTATGTCCTGTTTTCACGAGTACTTGGTGGTACGCACACATAAAAGAGATTTGCCACAGGGAGGTGCATTTAAGGAGATGCGCCCTCCAGTCCTTGATCTTCCGATGGCAATAATGACACGTAGTACACGGGGTGGCCCGCTGCTCAATGATCCGGCGGGTGGTGCTATACGTAATTGAAATAAAGCTCCGTGGGTGTTTCTGTAGCGAAGCTTGACTTTCTGCGATGCAATCCACTGAGCACATAGGGTACAATGATGTTGCATGTGTTCGGTGTACAAAGAGTGCTGAATGAAGCTGTTGATTCCCTGCTCAACCAGTGCTTGTATGTGATGTTGTTGTATCAGCGGCGTCTGTGAGCATAACTGTGTTCGATCACTGAGAACAGGCTGAGCACCGCGATCTTCAGAGCACTGAGCCTGAGTGGCTGTTTGCATTGTGTCGGTCGCGTTAGGTACTTCCTGCGCTTCTTTGTGTTGCGTAATCATCTGCTCCGACACAGAAAGAGCTGGGCATGCATGATGGTTAATGTGCCACTCGAGTGTTTGCCATCTGCTGAACTTTTTCAGACACCCGGAGCACTGCGGGAGTCCCGCGACTGAGTGCTTGGTTCGATCGAAGACCTTGGCCGGGGCATCCACCAGTTTGTGCTTGCGTCTTGCATTTATCTTCAGCGCTGCTGTGGTAGGAAATTGTTCAAGACATACTGGGCACGCCCATACTTCACGCCCCTCGTCCGAGTCCGGTGCAGTGGAGAGCTGTTCTTGTTGTAAACATTGGGTGATGGCCTGATTGTGATCATGATCAATGAGCCAATCCCCAAAACGGCGATTCGTGATTCATTGGCATGGGCCTTGCTAAGCAATTCGTGTGCCGTCTGGACCTCGTATTGCTGAGACAATTCGGCATGAGTGGTGCCCGTGATGAAGGCTTGGTCCGAGGTGATGGCCCTGATGTGCTTCATGATGGCGCTGAATGAACTGAATCTGCCCAGGCTGTAAGCACAGGCAGTGAAGAGCGTACATCATAGTAGATAGCACACAACTGCGCCGCCAAAGTCGGAGTTTGTAAGTGGTAGACACCCTCCTGGCATGCAGGATGGACGCCAATGCCCAGCGACGGTTATGAGCCTTATTCACCCGGTGCTTGACAGACTGCCACTCAAACTGGTCGTAGGATATGATCAGCCCTAAGTATTCGGCTTTGTCCACCAGAGGGATCCAAGTGGATGGATCTCCTGGGGATAGTAGCAGCCGACGGGCTCCACCTTGTTTTCGCACATAGAGTTTGTGGATCTTATGTTTGATGTTCGCTGTAACCGAGAGAATGGACTGTGTCTTGTCCCGGTTGATTGTTATCCCCAGACGCCTGAACACAGCGAATGTCCACTTAAGTTCCTGGATGGCATGCTCAAACTGAGGAACCGTCTGGAAGGTGTCGTCTGCATACAGCGTAGCATGCTCTGAGCACCAGGAACGTCGCATACGGAGATCGAGTGCCCGACAAAGTAAGGCCGTGAAGGCCGACCATAGCACCGGGCTGCCGATGCATCCCTGGCGCAGGCCCCAACTGGGCCAGAGCTCCTTCTCGAGATTTTTGTGCTGAAAGATGTACTTAACCTGACCCAACCATTGCAGGAGTACCTCCTGTATCGAGGGATCCAACTGAGCAATTTCGAGCGCTTCCCGAATAGTGCTCCAAGAAACAAGATCAAAGCCAGCAGTGAGGTCCATACAGACCTGAAGCCCGCCACTGCTCGAAATCCTGTGGACACCTTGGTACTGCTGGTGTATGTTGAGGCCATGTTTAGCAGCTTGTTCACGTACCGAACTACAGTGATGCAGGACTCGCTTGAGTGCAGTGAAGGTGTTCCTGTCCGGAACATATGCGCACTGTGGCCAGTAATAAACTAGTTCATGGATCTGATCTTTGGCCTTGGTGATGAGGATCTTCATGAGTCCCTTGCCGACCGGGTGTTGGAGGCCGATTGGCCTCCAATCTAGCGGCTTGTCATTCTTGCCTTTGGGTTTGGGCAAGAGCGCAACGGTGGCGTTAGCCCAGTCCTGTTCGATGTGAAGTTGTTCTCGGCTCCATTGGTCGTTGACATGCTGGGTGATGAACGGAGCAACTTCCATAGAACAAGCTCGCCACAGTACGGATGGGGCCGCATCTTTCGGAACGCCTTTGCCAACAGGTAGGCATTCAAACTGGTGCCAACCTTCCGCAACCGTGACCTGTACCGGGGCTTGTGTCCTAGCCTGGCTTGTGCACGGGGGGCTGCGAGCACCATATCTCTCCCCGAAGGCCCGATGATCCAAACCAATTCCGCTTCAGGGGCCATAATGCGTCCTTCCTTGTAAAGCTGCAATGGCTCGCGTTTGATTTTTGGGGCCAAGGTCTGCACCACCTTCCATACTTGATGCATGTCTCCTCGTTGAGCGGCCTGCTGGGCCCGGTCCAAAGACTAGCCGAGCATGGGGCTCAAGGAAGCCGTGGCAGCAGCGCTTTCGCAAGGGATCGCGGCCACGCAGCTGGATGAGCTGAGCCCGACGCAGACGGAGGGCTGTGCGGACACCGTTCCGGAGGCGGCCTCGCCCTTCTCGGCTCCGGCGAAGAAGAGCCGGAAGTCCTCGTTAGCATTCTCCCCAGCGAAAACCGATCCATACCCTGGCGGACGGGGCTTTAGGAGCTGCTCTGAAGAAACAGATTGGCCCTCAGGACTTCAACGACTCAGCGATCCAGAGACACCACGAGCGTCCCTGGAGCAGGTGCAGGTGGACTACAAGCTCACAGACATGCCTGAGGAGGTGCAGGCTCGCGTGCTTTCTCTGCACTCGGTCATCCTGCAGCTGGCTTACGACATGCAGGAAATTGAGTGTCAGAAGGAAACCCAGAGCCATTTAACCGGAGATTTTTGGGTACCGGTCGTGGTGCAAGGCACCGTCCAACAATACCATGAGACCAAGCAGAAGAGGACTACTAGGGTTTACGAGACGCAGAAAGTCCGGTGCGAGAGAAACCTCGTCCTGCGCCTTGCAGACTGGAGACTGCTGCTGTATCCTTGCCTGACCTTGGCAGAGCACACCCTGGCACAGCACCCAAATAGCCCTGGCACGGCGCCCGTCAGGCACATTGGCGCAGCAGCACTTGGGCGAAACCCATCCAGGCGCCCTGGCAGCACCCAAGTAGCCTTGCCACAGGGTCGTGAGGTGCCACAGGCAGAGGGCAGAAAGAAGCGGGACTGGACCAGGTGGCGAAAGACGGAGAGGGCCAATCCTTTGAACGTGGAGCAGCTCTTCGCATGAAACATCTCCGACACTGGACCCTTCCTTCCGGCATTACCCGAGCTGCGAGACGAAGACGAGCAATGGCGCTACAGCTACCTCACTGCAGAGACGACGTTTCCAGTGGCTTTCTACCATACCGCCGAGAAGATCGCGAACCCATGACCTGAAGAATGACTTGCGCCATGAGCTTCATCTATGGTTGAGTCGTTACATGCGTGACATGGGCAAGAGACTGCTAGATAGAGCTTGCAACTAGGATCCATGAGGAATTCCCCGTGACAGAGCTCCTGAGTAGCTCCGCTGCGTCTTCGAAGACCGTGGGAGTGGTGCACCTGCCGCCAACCACGCACGTCCTCAAGCCGGGCAGCAGCTCCTTCAATCTTCGTGAAAGGACAGTTCTCCATCCTTTGCAAAGACGCTTCCTGCACTACAAAAACTACCTGCTCCATTCCTGCGACGCCCAGGTGGACCATCTGCCAGCAGTCATCCTAACGCGATGCTCCGGCCAGCCTTGCTCCTTGAGAGATTCTTGCATCGCTACCTTCATCACTTTCATCCAGCCTGGGCTGTGCAGGGGCCCGACATCACTTCTAAGGAGATATATGGCCTGGCTGCCCAGGAGACGATCCTTTGCCAGATGCACTTTCTCTCTGTGCGTACAGCAGAAAAGCCTCTCAAGGGGCTGAACTGGTTTGACAAAAAGGAGCCAGATCGCCACGCTGAATGTCCCCAAGACGGAGGTCGTCCATGACACCAAACTGAGCTTGGATCTGTAGAATTTGTCTTTACGTGTCCTCCAAGGACTTGTATGTTTTAGGCCTTAGGCATTTGCAGCCTGGCTGCCCATACGACTCAGAGCGTTTTTCTGCTCCTGCCTGGACAAAGTGCTGAGCCAACGTCCGGTTTTTTCTTGCCCAGCCGCTCAAGGCCTGGACGGACGCATGGAATTCCACCACAAGCCCAGTCTTAGGCCGTCAAAAATAAAGGACTTCTGCAGCCAGCAGGGACGTCGACTGGCCGCATGTAATGCCAGCGTCGATTTTGCCCCCGTCTGTTGGATCTGAGGATTGCCAGGAGGTCCACTTGCAAGGCCTTAGACCACAATTCCAGAATTGGGGGAAAGCACGGCCACAGCGTTTCGATGCTGGGCAGGGGTCGAGCTCTCTCAGGCCGTCCGGTGGGACTGTCGATGGTTTCCTTTCTGCACAGCGAAATTTGGATGTTGCTCTGACTCAAGTCGGTGCGTAGAAGTTGATCGTGCTGGCTTGCATGCAGAGCTGATGAGAAGCTGCTTTCATGTGCTCATTGCAGTGCCATAGCATTTATTCAAAATATTCTTTTGCCATCACGGACACTACAACAACCTTGTCCCCAGCACTTCGCCGAACCATGGTCCTTTGCCTTCAGTCTGACAAACGAAAGCGGCTGGTGAAGGCGGCCCCGCGGTAGCTTCGCATCAGCTGCTTTCCATGGATGACGGTTAAGTCTCCGACTCCACGCTTGCAGCTGTCGCAAAGACCTGCCTAAACCCCGGTCATACCTCCATTGCCCGGCAGGCCAAGCTGGTTCATGTAGTTCGACATGGCGAGGCCCAATGGAGTGCACTGCTTCGGCCACTACATGCTTTGCAGAGCTCGAGGCACAACACAACGTCAAAGACAAGTACCTGCTCCCTGTGCTGCACAGTCCCTGAAGCATCTTGAGCCGGCCTAAACTGGCGTAAATGCCTGCTGCATCGGAGGCTGAAAAACGACACGAAGCTAACGAAGCGTGGACGTCGCCAGGCTGAGTGCTCGGAGAGTGGAATCGATCTTGCCGAGTGTATGGATCTGTATCGTTTTTTCGCTTCTATGCAGGCGAAGTCCCTGCACACTTTGCTGCCCAAGCTCAAGGCAGAGGCCTTCCGTACCGGAAGATTGGTGAACAAAAACACGCCATCCGATAATCTACAATTCAGATGTGGGGACGCCTCGTAGGCTCGCATGGCTCCGTTTGCCTTTTCCCTTGCTGTTTTCCGCAAAGGTTGCGATAACTTCGGCCGTGCTCCGCGCTTTGCAGACGACGCGCTGCATGGGCCGCGAGCTCATCGATCAACCAGCATGCGTTGAGAAAAAAAATTACAACGAGCTTCAGCCAAGCTCGCTCTGAGCGGCCGCCTACCACAGGAGTCGAGTGCAGCAGTTTGCAAGCAAGTAGTTGGTTGACATGAGCTCGTCTGACTTCAGGCTTCTCGGGCAAAACCGTGGTGGTCCCAGAGGCACCGGATCTGAGCTGGCCCACAAACCTCGGGAGCCTGCTTCAGTTTGGCAGCATTTGCTGTTTTTGGGAGGCACGGGAGGTGGCCGGATGGCCTGCCAATGCTCCCATCGACACGAAGCGCGCTCTAGCTGGCGATTTGGAGACACTCAGCCAACAATTCTGGTTTCGCCACATGTTCCACCCATTTTACAGCACTGTACTAGGGTCTCAGTTTGCCACTTGCCTGCGAAAGCTTGAAAACTGAATATGCTGACTCGGGGAGTCGACCATGCCCTGGATTCCAGTCGCTGTTGAGGTCCCAGTTTGGCTGCTACGATTGGTCATTAGCGGTGAAAGGCGCCGGAGTGTTGGAATGCAGTCATCGGGCACTGTCACGATCAAGCGCAGGCTGCGCACCCAACGGCCACAGTGCTCAAGGATGGGAGCGTCTTGTGCAGATCAAGGAAGGGCCAAGCTGCGGTGTCCGTCGCTGTCCGGAGGGCCAGGGCTGGGTTGAGAGCTGCAGAGGATCGCGCACGTCGGTTGACGAAACTCATCGAGCGGAGAAAGGAATCCAGCATTTTGCTCGCGCATCTCTCAGCTTACATACGCGTAGTGGCAGCAGAGGCAGTTTCACGCAGAATCACAGTGTGCAGCTTGTTCGCCTGTTGCAAGGTGTCTCACGGTGAATTTCTGCAGCATCTGACGAGTGACAAGTACATGCAGAACTGCCTACTGGCTGCAAGTGTAGGTCCTCTGTACTGAGACTGGGAATCCAACGCCCGCAGAGACGAACCCAGGTGAAGTGCGGACCTACGCAGTGCGCGGGGGGAAGTGGCGACGCCTACGAAGCAGTAAATGCACAGTATGAACAAGTGGCAAGGACTCCAGGCAGCTAATATTTGCTGGAATGGAGTCCTGCTTCCTTGGTTGAGCTGATTTGCCTCAGCCTTCAATCCCTGTACTTGCCGCTTCTTTGCAACGCGGCGTTCGCTGGTCCAGGCATCGAAGTTGTAGTCGGAGTCACTTCTTTTTGGTTGCCACCTGGACTTGCGACAATCATTTGCCAGCATCCCCAGCTTCCTCATGGGAAGGGAGTGCAGGTACGAATTCATTGGCCAAAGGGGCGTCCCACTGCCGTTTAAAGGCCGGATGCCTTCGGTCTACGCCATTTTTGACAAAGCACCATTGCCCCCCAGTCCCGTGCTCACATCATCGGGCTTTGGTGGGCAACGACACCCAAGTGGCAAGAAATGCCCTCAACCGTCTCGTGGTGTTTTTCAATTCTGGTTTCTACCACATCTAGGCAAGCCTCTCACACACACTTCTGCAAGCCTTTAGTGTGCGCACCATAATGACGCATATACTGGAGTGCAAATGTTTCCGACGTACATTCCAGCAGCTGGTCGAGGGGCGTTCCTTTTTCCATGCCACTATCGATCTCAAACTGGGTGAAAGCTGTGCACGTTCTTCAGCCTGCTGCGAGCCCTTCTCCAAGGACCTTCGACGGATTCCAAGTTCAGTGGTCCTCACAGAGTTCATGTAACTCCGAAGGTTCCTGGACAGGATGGCGCTTGAGAGGCTGAAGCAGTTGTTGTTTTGTGGAAGTGTCTTCCCCGTGTGCATATCTCGCATGCACACCAGTCCGGAAGTTAATGCAACTGCGGAGCATCTTCAATCAGTGGAAAAAGAATAGCTTGTAACGATTCCGAGTATAACGTAGAACCCTCAGCGTTTTGTGCACCTGCAGGGCGCTTCTATCGACACTTTGCACTGGATGTGGATAGTGTATGCGCCACTTGAGTGGGCTGCCAGAACATGTTCGTCCTCAAGCATCTCCGGAATTTCCACGGGCCACTCGGATGATAAAACGGCACACAACATGGTGAAAAAGCAGAGAAGCTCCAGCCTGAGCTACTGAATAGGTATGACAAGACCGGCGCCGGTACCATCTCAATTCCAGAGATGAAGGCGACCCACCTCTTGTCAGTGCTCCTTGGAGGGTTGGATGAGGAGCTGCCCTCTAAGACCCAGGCAGTGCTGAGAACCACCACCATCGGCTTGACGGAGAGGGACCTGAAAAGCGTTCTCAAACAGGCCATCACGGGTGATTTGCAGAGATGTGTAGATAGATCATCAAAGCAGCTTTTGATGATGGAGAAGCTGGCAGACGGCACTGCGAGTCAGTGAGATCACTGCTGCTTTTCGTTGTTGCTGTGTGTTCTGCTCTTGCTCCCGCTTCTGCTCTTGCCGTGCCTGTCGCTGTCGCTATGAAAGCAGCATCGCCGCTGCTGTCGCTGCGACAACACTTGCACCGTTTACAGCTTCGTGCCCTCGTCACGAGCGCGAACTGTTTGAGCCACCCGAAAGCCACAGCGTTCCGAATGCGGCACACGCAGCCGTGGCCACCTCGCGAGGCACCGTAGAGAGACTCTAGTCATCTCGCGCCGACAGCTGAATGCCACGACCACCACCACTGATGCCCTCGATTCGCATGCCTCTCCAAAGCCTCTTCGACTTGTAGGAGAAAGCAAAAAGTCGGAGCACCCACAGAGTAAACATCTTGGAGTTTCTTGGAGTCGACTCCGCAAGAGGACGAGGACATGAAGATGAAGATCCTAAACTGCACCTTTGGAGATGATCCGATCTAGTAGACTTGCGCTCGGTGGCATAGAGAGTTCATGAGAGTTGGTGCTCAACTCAAGTATCGGACACCAGCTGACCATCGTGGTAGCTCAGCCAGTACTGCATCCTTGTTCAACTCGCGGCTCATGAGATTGCTAGCTCCACGGATCTGATTGTCGGAACTCGGGTCCTGCTCCCCACCTGATCCGCCTGATCCAGAACGCGTCGGCCGTTGCGTGCGCCCGCCGCTGCGACGATCGGGGTGGGGGTTTGTGCCTGCAAGGTGGATGCTGACGGAGATGGGTCTGCTCTCCCGGCTGGAGTTCTCGTTCCGATCTCGCTTTCATACTGTCATAGAGAGCTCCAGAACTGCTCCTGTGCCAGGTCAGCTTCCCGGAGTACCTGCGTTTGGAGCCTTTCTCAGAGTGAGGGTTACATGACTTGTAACGTCAACCGTCGGAATGCTCAGCGCTGTACAATGAAGGCGCAGAAACTGGTGGAGATGCAGAACAAGACGAAGGCGATGTACACTGGGTCTCTTCTTGCGGGAGCACACCTGACACGAACCGTCAGGGCAAGAGCTCGCGAATCCCGAGGATGTATTTAGAGCCTGCCGCTCTCAAGCAGCATCTCAGCTGAACCTACAGACTGATCGTTGTTGTTCTGCCATGAATTCTGCCATTTGGTCATCGAGACATGTGGAAGCATTGCTTCGAGTCTCTTTGCTGACGAGGTACACAGACCTCTTTGAGGGAGCTGCAGGCGAGGACGGAGCGATCAGCCTCAATCAGCTTCAGGATCGGGATGCTGTGACATGCGGAGATTGATGCCAAGTAGCGACTGCAACTTCTTGCAAGGAGTTTTTGCAGCAGCACAAAATGGCGATAAGCGAAGAGCGCTTGACCAGTATCATGAAGGAGGCTGGAGTTTATCAAACATAATCTCTATGGCGATAGTAGAAGATGCAGGTGGACGACGACGAAAGTGGTGTGCTAGAGCTGGATGAGTTCCTGATTCTGCTGATTAAGGCTGCGTGCAGCAGACTGCAAGCTGTGCAGTCTCGGTTTCATCCGTTCCGATATGAGAATGTATTTGGTGTTCGCACCCATGGACAACGGCCAAACTTGGAAGGCTTTGGGAATCAAGAGGAGGAAGGTGCCTCCCCCGTCGGTAACATGAAAAGTGCTCGCTGGGAGCAAGGCAGCCGACCCCAGAGCCATGTGCCAGGTCGGGCCAGAGCAGAACCCCGCATCGCAACTGCGTCAAGAGGGCTGGTCCGCGGCTTTTCGAAAACAAAGTCCTCGCATGCATCTCCGTGCTTCTGGGCTGTAGCCTGAGCAACGTCTTTGTCTCCGGAGGGCCCTCGGGGAGCTAAAGAAAGTTGGCTACGACTGTGCTGCACTGCGGGAGGCATGTCAGGAGAGCTTGTGCCGAGTCTCGCACGAGTCGAAATGCCTGCGAGGCTGGCTTCAGTGCTGCGGATCTCATGGATGTTTGCACGGTGCGCCGGGGGGCCGGGGGGATCCGGGGGGCGCCGGGCAGGGGCTGCAACACGCGACATAGCAGGAGTTGACCCTGCAGACAGGGCTCAGAGAGCTGCGTAGAGCGCCTGGCATCATTCCACGGCAGGCTCGAGAGCTCTTCTTGGGCGGCGTACCTGTGTGCCACCTCTCAGAATCTCGCGGCCCAGTAGTGCTGTGAGTGCTCGGCTCGAAGTTGCCTCGAGGCCAGAGTTGCTTGCAGCAGGCCTCAGTATTTCGGAGCCGCGAGGCGCACGCTGCCAACAAGACACCTCTCTGGCACTGAACAGGTTGGGACTGTAGACATGCCAAAGACGCGCGACCCTCGGCAATGAACCGCTGTTGGCTTCACGGATGCACAGGTCATCCCCTGCTGCAGCCGCCATGGTCAGAATACCGAGCATCCCACATGCTTCTATCCAAGAGCACTGCTTTTGTGTTAAATATCACCGCTTCCAGGCTTTCACGTAGGTACCACGACCAGATGCTCAATATAGTAGCGCTGCCATGCCAGACATGGCAAAAAAGCCACCCCTGGTATGAAATGACACAGCTACTGGCATGTAGACGCGGCCGCACCAGAAGGAGGCGCAACACCCTCAGCACTTGTTGCAGCTAAGCATGGCCCTGGCAGTGGGAAGCCGGGTAGCTGGGCGCCTGGTTGCCTAGATTTGCCTAGCTTTTTCAGCGAGGCTTGCTGATTGCTGCATGTTGCTTTTGTTGGTGCTCCCGTCAACCAACATGCTCACACATGACCCTCAGGAGCCCCCCTTGTGACGTGGCCAAAGACCAAGGTTGTCCTCGATGGACGCCACTTTGAAGGATTCCGGTCTGGAAGCAGAGGTGCTGGAGCCTCAGAGTCTGAGCTTCCGAAGTGATGAATGTCTCCACAAACGGATCTTGTTCGCATGCTGCATGTTGCCATCGGCATTACTGTCGCAGACCGTCATCGATGTGGATCGCGAATCGGGATGCTGCCGGGTGGCCTTCGACGACAGCCCTTCCGTTCGGCGCTCGACATGCTCTGTTCAGTCAAGTCACGAGATTTAAAGTCGGTAAGGTACCGGTGAAGGTTGCCATCCGCCTCACCGCCATTGCTTCTGTGAAATCATTCTTTGAGTGGTTCAGGAGAGATAAAGAAAGTCCGCCAGGACATCTGGGAGCGGAAGTATCCGGCGGAGGGCCACGCGTTCCAGTGTTTGCCCGAGCCGGCAAGGACTGGTTGCGGGTAGCGGACGCCTGGAAGGTTTCTGTCAGTGTATGTGCTTTGAGGAGCTTTGCGCTGAAGACCAGGCCGGGTGAGTTTCAGAAAACAAGACAGGGAAGCTGGCTGCACTCTGGCTGCAGGCAGGAGATGCTCTGGGAGAGGCAATCCGGGCCTGTGCCGAGGTCGGGCTTTACAGGGCTCCCAACCGTCGCACTTCGGAACTTCGGCGTGTGAGCCCGGCGTCCAGATTTGTCCAACCCTCAGGCAACAACATCTCTGTGCGCTGCAAGCATGATGGAGGCAGCCGATGCTCTCTCATGCTACGTGGGGCTGGATATTAGTTGCAAATGCAGGTGGTCGCGGTGAGGCAAGACATGCGAACGCTTGACAAGGATTTCTTCTCTTGTGAGCTATCTGGTTTGACCGACAACAACAGTCGTTGCGCCACTTCAAAGCGACTGAAATCTTAGTTGAGCCGATTGAGCGTGAGGACTTGCCGTCGAGCGAGCAGCTCGCAGCTCGCATGTCCAGGCGTCTCTTGGAGGATTGAGCAGTTGCGTCGGGTCTCATGCATCCCTTCAGGCTAGAGCAGCGCGTTCAGGCAAGGGCATGGGCCGTTAAAGATTTTTTGCCCCATGCACACTCCCTTACAGGCGCTGGATGAGGGCTTGGGCCGCACTCTGCCAAAGGACGGGTAACCGAGATGAGCCAAATCTTGGAGAAGCACGCACGTACGACGTACGTGTCTTAGTGTGCCTGAGGAACGTGTCGAGGCGAAGCTAGCAGACCGAATTTCCAGGCCACGAGAATGCGTTGTTCCTTCATGTGTACCGAGTTCCACTGATGAGCCATTATTCCTGTGTGCACACACGCTGGCCGGCAGTGTAAAAACACAGAGCTGTAAAGGCGTACGAAGTTGCGGCACACATCATACCTGCACCACTGAGTCGTGTTGGTCTTCGGTTAACGGAGCAACCACTACATTTCGGCTGGTTCTGTCCAGTCGTGGGTCATGACTTGCCTGGAGGCCATCCGGCACACGCCGCTTTCGAAAAAGCAAAGCTGTGTGTGCATGCCGGTATGGAGGCATGCAAACACCAAAGGCTGTTAGGGATTGGCTTCTGTTGTTCAAGTTGGCTCTTGGTTTGTTTTGTGTGCTAGCCCCTGCGGTTTGTTGCGCGGCAAAGCACGCAATCCATGCTGGATTACACTCGGCTACACAAGGCACATGAATTTCCAGAAATGGTTTTTGTTTTACTGGTTGCCGTTCGTCAATGTTAGTTAAGCTGTGCGGCACACTGTGTTTCCCCTGCGAAGCATCTTGAGAGAAAGTCAGAAATTGGACCCAAAGTGCACCAAGACATAGCAGTCCCTGCTGGTGTACACACACTCAAGTGCCAAGAGCCATTCCAGGAGCACCCCTGAGGCTCTAAAGACCACTGCGTGAGTCCAAAATGATCACACTGTGGTGGTCCGACACTGGCGGGAGCTCGACTGGAGGTAGAAGCACGGAACTGTGGAGGGAGCACGAGCCGCACCCCAAAATTCACGCGGCATAGTGGCGGGAGAAGTCGTGCCCGGCACAGCGAAGGGATCGCGATCTGTGGCGAAAGCATGATTGCCAGTTCTGCAAGAATCAAGATTGTTTGTACTGGCTATGGATTTCGAGACCGCGTCAACGAGCTTTGAAAGTGGTTCCCAGATACGATGTTCTCTTCAATCCTTTCCCCCCGAAATCGAATTTGGCACCGCCGAGCGGAATGGTGTGGCCTTGTCGAGACTTTAGCAGATTTGACGGTCGAAAGGAGCACGGGGACTGGCAGGAGCACGATTGACACCCAAAACACGCGTGACACTGCAGCGGGAGCAGGAATCATTCATTAAATTCGGAAGCACCACAGTAGTTGAAGTTTGTAGTTGCGTCTCGGGCGGGTGGTGGGCCCCCCAGCCTCCAGCTTTCTCACCGAACGAGTATACGAGTTGTTTATCATGTTTTCTCCTCCGGCCATTGATTTCTTTTTGCAGGAGCTTTGGAGTAAGTAGGCTGTGAGTGCTGGCAAGGCTGGAGCAGTTGCAAGTTTCGCAACCCGCCCTGGACAAAGTGGGATTCGGTGGCGCAGCCGCTGCTGAGGCGCTTGCAGAGGAGAGGGTCAGATAAGAGCCGCATAGGTGTATTCATCAGGCTGAGTGGCGGATCTGCATCCTGTTGCGCAGTTGCAAGTTGCAAGACAACTTAGCAACCATGAGTCATCAAGCTGAGAGCCAGCACTCATTGTCCTGTAGTCATCGGTTGCAACTGTTCAGAAGATTACAACTCCGCTTACTATGCTCATCGTCCTCTGATTGAACCGATGGCGGCGCGGCCTGCTGCAAGAGTTTGGTTCCATCGCGTGCAGACTTGGCTTTGTTTCCTGGGGCTGCTGCTGTGTTGGCTGCAAACTCGACCACCTCGAATGGCAATCCTGGCATCCGGATTGAAGCCGCAGCGATTCTCCGAGCATGCCAACTGGCTTCTACCAGGGCACCTCATGATTGGCCATGGACCTAAGTATCTGCTGCACTCCAAATCGTGTCGCGGCAGCTCCTGAGGCCGATATCCATACCTGAACCCGGTCTATTGCACATCTCAGCAGGAAGCTGTGGAGCAGCTGCATGGCTTGCTGAAAGCAGGCATCACCACCTTCGTATGCTTGCAGACAGCCGGCCGCATTTATTCCAACGCCAGATCAGAGAACTGTTTTTTAGCGAAAAAGCTTCAGGCACTTTCAGTCGGCAGGCACAGGCACGGCTACAGCGGCTACAGCTCAGGACTGAGATACCACCACAGGTTGGCCCTGGATCAGAAGAGTGGCCGGCTGACGGGGTGCCGGTGGCAGGTTTCCCTGGACGTTTTCTGCCGTACGCAGCAAAAGCTCAGAGCTTGATGCCGGACCTCCAGTTTATGCGGCCGGGCTGTTTACTCTGGTTTTCTTGTTGTCTTGGCAAGTCGGGATGCGTGTGGCCAACCATTGCGTGGCCCTGGTCACGCGCAAGAAGCAGCTGAGGCATTGTCCCATACAGGAGTACTGCTGCACTGCTCTCTCCCACAGTAGCTGCGGCGAGCCCTGAGCGCAGGACTTGAGCACACCACGTTCACGGGAATTGTCTGAACTGGTGGGAGAACTTATGCAACGAATGGAGGCCAACGAGGTGAGGCTTAATGACAGCAGATGAGCCTGTACGGCTTTCTTATGCTTCCTTCAGTGAGACTGTTATATGCCAGGTTATATACGTACATTGCTGGGGTGGCCGAGGGCGAAGTGGTTGTGGACTCGGTTTGATCTGTCGAGGTCTGCAGAGGTCAGCGTTTGTGGAGGGTGCAAAGCATTTCGACACACTAGGCGTTGTAGCGGCCTGCCTGCTGGGAAGCATGTTCCGCGAGATGACTGCTGCGGAATGCTTGGAAGTGGTTCAGTCCGGTTACAGTTCGAGGCCGTGCAGTGTGGAATGAAACTTTCGTTCTCGTGTCTTGACTCGGCACGAAATATTGACACTGCTGAGTGGCTCTGCAGTCGTAGCTTTGAGCTTTCCTCGGGTTACATGAACGAATCGCCCGGCTGCAGGGGCAGCAAAGCTGATGTCGGGGCATTGGCCAAATCTCCGCAGACAGACGAGCAGAGGCAATTCGTGAAGCTGTGGCTTGCCCAGACAAGAGCTGCTGGCGGTACACGAGAGGGTGGAAAGCAAGACGAGCGCTAAAAGAGACCGCACATCAGATCTGTATGGCATATTGGCAATTTCCAGTTTTGAATCAGAAGTTGCTGATCTTCGAAAGGCCATTTCGTCCAATGTTTCGAAAGAGACGCAGCTTTGCAGGACATGCGGCAACAGCAGAGAGCCCTCCAAGACCTGAAATCCCAGCTGGGGACTCGGAAGGTTTTTCACGGCAGAAACCTCTGCCTCTGACGTCTTCTGCAAGGTTTGAGCGCAGCTTGAGCCAGTTGGCAGAGCAGCTCCAGGTCGCTGACTGGTCTTCTTTGTGCTTCAAACCGGCCCAGAGCCAGAGCAAGTTGGACTGCCAGGAGGTGGTGAGATCCCAGAGCCGCCTTCAGACCGAGATCCATTCACAGGCGTGGCGCTGGCCACAGCTTGCCCCATAGTCTGATAGTGCTCGTGCAATTTCTGGTCCAGGCTCGTCCACATGTCGAGCCTGGCTACAGCAGCGCTTTGAGGTCCCGGCCCTAACACTGACTCAACCGAAGCTGACAGCTGATCTGCTGTTTTGCACGTTTCCAGCAGGACGCTGACTGGCAATGTGGAAGACCTCAAAAGCTTGATGGACCCGTGCATGGACACGGTCAGAGATCGACAGATAGGGCATCTCTGTGTCTGTCAGGAGCACTCGCCGCTGCACGGAAGCCCTACAGCTGCAAAGATCTGCAAAGTAACATTGCGCAAAGCCGAAGAGTCGCCAGGAACTCGGATTGACGGCCAGTCTCCAGGCCAAGCTTTGAGCTTGAAATCCCCTTCTCGGAACGAAGACATGCAGGCACCGGCGGTGCAGCCTCGCCTCAGACGCTCAGGACGCGGCAAGTGCTCGCAGAGAAGCAATCAGGAACTAGCCACACATGATAGAGTAGTCGTGCAATCAGGACCAGGAAGCATGTTGCTAGGGAAGCGGTCGCTCCTCAAGACATCTCTTCTTTCGAGCCATTACAACATCGGCGAATCGATTTGGTCTGTAGGAGAAGGCTGCCAGGTGGCAGCCGCAGCTTTGAGTGTCGTGGGTTGTTTTGAGTTCTGGCACGAAGGCCAACAGCTTCCCCGGCGGCCTCGAGCACCGGCGCTTTCCACTTCGCCAGTGCCCAGGAGAGAGAATTTCGGCCCGATCTCGTGCACTCGCCTGACATGAGTTCGAAGCCCCCACAAACGATTTGATGTTTTGTTCTTCGGCCCGCGATCTCATCTTCGGATCGGCTTAGCCAGGCCTTCTGCGTCAAATGCGGAAGCCAGCATGCAGCAGACGAGATCTTCTGCCGCAAGTGTGGCCATAAGAGAGAACAGGCAAGGCCTGGCAAAGAGATGATGTCTTTTGCTGCCCGGCGCCGATGTCACTTCCTGTCCGTTGCCAGGCTTCCGCGCAGGAAGCCGTACTGGTCGAGGCATGCTTTGGCTGTTTGAAGCACCATGGGCATTTGCTGACTCCGCTGTGTCTCAGGCCTCGCCGAGTCCCAGTCTCCTGCGCTCAAGGTGCCGGGATGTTTTGCTGTATTCTGCTCAGGGCTCGGGCCCATACCACAGCAGTCACGCTCACCCCACTCCACAAAACACCAGACTGTTACTAAACTGTTACTAGACTCACTAGACTGTTACTCAAGACACGACGATAGCACAGTTGCAATGCTGGCAATGCAGCGATCAGGTAATGTTTCGTGAAGGCAGGTTTCTCCACTCTGATGTGCTTCTAATTACTTCTACTACTTCAACCAGATTGAGCCATGAGCATTGCAAAACTCTTGCGAAGCCTTCTGGCAATGCAGAAGGTGCTAAGACTCTGAGACAGCCCGTTTTTTGCATCTGGCCGGCTGTCCCGTCTCTGTGTGCATGTGTCGTAGGAACCTAAGGGGCGCGGGATGGAAGGGAGGACGTGAGATATTTATAGCTTTAGCCTTTGATGATCTACATTCGCTGCTCACTCCCTTTTTACCTGATCAAACATTGGCTGGGCATGATGGAGAGAGCAAAGCAAAGCAAAGCAAAGCAAAGCAAAGCAACACAGAGATCGTGTAGACAAGCGACGTGTGACACGTCATGTATGCTGTATGTGCGTGTCTTATGTGTTGACAAGTGCTTTTCAGCTTCGGCTTTCGCAGGTAGAGAGCGCCGACATCGACATCATAGTCTTTGTTCCAGTCACCATTCGACTGCACCAAAGTCGTTTTGGTGACAAGCTCCAGTCGACAAGCCGGAGTTCAGCACTGTGTGCTAAGAGTGCGCCGAAGTGCAAACTCCGGTTCATTCGGCTCAAAGTAGGGGCAGAAACTGGCACAAAGCTAAGTTTGGAAAACGTGATCTACCACAGGCTTTGTCTCCATGTCCTGCAGTCCTTGTTAAATCCTTGTTATTGAATCTTCCCGGTGGCTTGCCCTTCCTTTGCTGGCACTTCAGGCAGGATTTCGACTCGCTGATCTGGCTTCTGCAGGTTCCGCCACGGTTCCTTGCAGCTCATGGCAGAGAATTGCAGTCTTGTTGCCATCATGGAAGGTGCTTCCATCAGGAATTTGCGGACCGCTGGGCCGGGTCCTCAGAATGACATGCCCGTGGACACAGCACAAGCTCGAGCCCAGATTCACTGACGTGGCGTCCGTGCTCGCGTTGAGAAAACGGGGGGCGGGCGACCAAGTCATCTATGGGTGCAGTCTTATGCGATTCCCGAGTCGCCCACCGACCTGAACAGGTGCAAGCGTGGAAGCTGAAACTTGGCGCCTCGTCATGCAAAAGCTTGCTGATGCAGAGATTTGCTGCACTGCAAGCTACTAGCCGCCCGCATGCGCAGATGCAGTCAAGAGCTACCACAGGCGGCTTCACGCTATCAGACTTGCGCAGTGCAGGCCGGGCGATCTTATTCCATCATCTTCCATCCCCGGTTGCATGATTTGCTCCTGAGGCTACTCCAGTGCGGAGCTCCGCTTGGCTGGCTTCTCGAGCGCTGCAGCCTAAGGAACATCGGATTCCGAACAGTCCGTAGTATATGTCGGCATCAGGCAAGTCTTGTGGCCCTGGAGAAGTGCCGCGCGTGGAACCTATGTAAAGCGAACGCAGCAGATGAGGAGCAGCCGAACTAACGGCAAACTCTTCGCAACTCCCAGCCGACAATCGGCTTGTCTTGTAAGCCATTCTGCACAGCTTGCAGAAACTTGCAAAGCTTGAAGCCCGAAGCTGGACCGGACCAGAGTTGAGCACAGTGTGCGAACATCGCGCACAGCGGGAACTCCGGCCCATCTAGCTCAAAGAAAGGGCGAGACAGCTGGCAACACGGCGTTCGCACGGTACGTGACTGCTCGTTGGCAAAGGCTTTGCTCCTGGGCAATCGTGCTGGTTCGAATTCAGAAATCGGTGTGCTGCAACTGCGGCAACTGCAGTTCGAGGAGGGTTGCTTTTGCAGTTTGGGTTTGTACCCCCATATCAAGGCTCCCTCCATCAAGCCCCGGCCAAAGCCAGACCCCATGCAAGTACCCATCCGAACAACCAGTAGAGAGTTGTTTTCTTGCCGATCATTGTCGCCATGATTCATTTACCCCTTTTTTTTTGCAGAGCGCCAAATCTGCAAGATCATGTCATATTCTTCAGGTCGCACACAAGGGGAAAGTACAGGTGCAAGTGTAGCTCTCAACTTCCTTGATTCACCCAGACATCGGACATCAACGCGAGTCTGCACCTCGAATTTCATGAACGCACGTGCCACGGCTTGCCCGTAGCCATTGCCGGCCCAGCACATCCCCAAAGGGGAGTGTAGGAGACAGCTTGGTCAGCCAACTCATTTGAGCGCTCCGAATTCATGGTTTCTGCGCGAGCGGCGCGCAGCATGGAAGCGTGCATGTGTCCATAGAAAAAGGAGTTCAACAGGGGCAGATATGCAGTCCACGCAGAGCCAGTCATTGCCAGATCTCCGAGACCAAGATTTCAAGAAGTCGGGTTTCTTTGCGCTGAAGAGAGGGTCAAAAGTTCGCGACATCAACCTAGATGAGATCAGGCAGAGGCGAGCTTCGATACACCATGGCAACAAGAAAAAGCAGGAGCTCTTAGAGCAAGACGAGCAAGAAAGGTGGGAGCGGCGGCGCCGCGGCCTTTATGGCCTCAGCAACAGTGAAAGGGCCTGCTTTGCTCGACCTATGCCTGCACCTCCGGAAGCGCTCGCACGTGTGAAGGACCTGGGTAGTGAAAGGCCAGATAAGCGCAGCCTCAGCAAAGGTACTCTGCGGTCGGAGAGCGCCTGCTCAGAGGAGGGTGAGAGAAGCCCCAAGCCGCGACGCCGGAACGCGGCAGTGGTGACAGGCAAGGCCCGTCTGACCTCAGTGGAGCTGACGGAGGAGTCCGTGGAGCGCATCCTAAGGCAGGCGATTCAAGAATACTCAAGTGGATGCCGTCCTAAACCCGTAGGAAGAATAGGGTATATAGGCATTACGGTTTGTGTGTGAAAACCCCTAAGACCGCACAAGGGCGGGCGAAAGGACCTTCTGACGCCTATTCGACACTTTTAACAGAACAACCATCAAGTGTTTTGCAGCATTTCTGTTTCGAACCCTACATGCACGTGTGTTTGTGATCTGCTTTTGCCCTGAGGGTCCTCTTTCCCACCAACCCTGCGTCTATGGCACGCGTCGGCAGCAGCTATCGGCGCCAGCGAGGTGTAAAAGCTCTGGCCTTCCAGGCTAACACCGCCTTAAGCGTTCCGGCTTTGCCATCGATCAACGCATTGGGAAGCGATGATTCGGCAGTGAAGCGTAGCTTGACCAGTGTTCTGAAACCCTCCAAGGAGCGGCAACTGCATGAGGCTCGAGATTTCAAGGCTCAGCAGCTCACTCCCAGATCTGCCCTCGACCACTCGCTGAAGAAGACGGTATCGGGAATAGACACAAAGCAGCTCAAGAAGATGACTGATCTCTTGAAGCGAGAGCTGAACATCAAGTTTGAAGCTCAAGACTCATCGGCACCCCGCCGACAACCTCTGTATGTCACTCCAGAAGTTGCTGGAACAAAGAGAGACAAAGAGGTTCTGGGACGTTCCAAATATGAGGCCAGCAGTGTCGCGGAGGTCTGGGAGAGCGCAGAGCAGCCTGACTTCGCGAAGAAGCCCGTCTTCCACCGGCTGAAGAATGCAGCGCTACTGGTTCGCAAGATTGGTGACATCGCCGAGGAGTTGAACAAGGAGCTTTGGGTTCTGAAGCCCCATGGAGAGGAAAGGCCGTTTGCTCCCTTGGTCTTTTGACACCCCTCCGGTCCCCATTCATTGCCATGCATGGTAGAGTGGTGGCCGGGCAAGGCAGAAGAACACAGAATGAATTAGGGAACCACACCAGGGGAAAGACTTTTCTGGGATTTGGGGTTGAAGGTCAGGGTTTTGTTTCACAGATCTATTTTGTGATTCAGACAGGTGGTTTCTGCCACGCAGTGGTAGGCGCCTTACTACTGAAATTGGGTTGTGGGTACGTGCTGCTATACGTAGTTGCATAATAGGCGCTACGATATTAAACTATCACTAAATATTGCTAATCCCACACCCGGCTAGCAGTGCGGGAAGACCGATCCCAAACACGGCAGAGTCTCCGAGACTACCTTCAAGCTGCCCTCACCAGACGAGAAGGTCTAGGAGTCTAGGAGTCCAGGGCTGTTTGCCCTGCCCTCATCAGGGAGGCACTGGCCTGGAGCAATGTTCAATTGGTGTTTATCTCGAATTCCTTGGCGGTCGGAGTTTCGGTTCCTCGCTTGCTTATAGGAAAGGACGCTGCCAGCGTCATTTGTTTGGGCTTCGAGGGCCCCTGACTGCGACCTCAAGAGCTTGTTCCCAGACAACCTGGCATGCTGGTGCTTGTGCAAGTGAGGGATGCGAGGACGAGATGAGCAAGGGAGTCGAGAAGTCTGCAGATTCAGAATAAGGTTTCACGCTGCAGCTTCTGTGCATCTGCAAACGGAGCAATAGATGTCCTGAGATCAGGAGGGAGGAGAGGCTCTTGCAGTTGCACGACGTCAGCAGCCAGCACCCCTGGCAGATGACTGCAACTTCTCCCTGAGAAAGTTTCGCAAGAGGCGCGGGGCAGTTTGCATGTCATCACCTGTGTGTTGGTTGCCATGCTTTCGAGAATGTGCAACAGAACTCCCCGCCAATCGGCACGCCAGCCGAGGCTCCTGGGGAAACACTTGTGCCTCGCAGACGCTTTCCGTTGCCTGGACCTGAACGTGAACCAGGAGATCGGGCCGCAGGCCCGGCACCATTACAGACCAGAGTAAACAATGCGGAGCACTTGTGTGGACAGGCCAACACGTGTTCGGGGATGCTGTTCTGTTCCTGAAGATGCAACAAGCGCATGGCTATTGGCAGGAGTGGGGAGTCATGTTCCGGGGCTCCGGCCTGGCTACGTTCCGGGAGGCGCGCGCAGCGCATGCACTGGGCGGGGCCTTTGCCATCTTTCCGAGACAGAATTCGTGAATCCGACGTTCTGAGAGGACTGTTGCGTTATGCTTGCATTATCTGTTGCACTTGCAGCGAACAGAAGTCTTGAGACAGGCGCGCATCAGCTTTGAGCTCCTGGACTTGAACCGCGACGGCCGCTGTGTCGCAAGATGTCGCAAGATGGTCCTGTTGCAACACCCCATGCTTTCAGCCTTCCTCGCAGGCAGCGTGACCCTTGGTGAGTTCCAGGCAAATGTGCTACTCCTTTGGTGCTCGGTCGACTCGCAGACCTGAGGCTGCCCTTGAAGGCATGGCTGAGATCACAGGGGTCGATTCACTCCGAAAGCGGTTGGTCTCGTTTGGATACACAAAGACCATGCAGGCCTTGAGACTGTCTTGGCACTTGCGGCGTGTGTTCCAAGTCGGATTCGCGTCTGAGATCTGAGAGGCTTTGGAAGCGATGGAAGGACATGGACTTGTGAATCCGGCCAAGCCACTGATTTTGGAGGCAGTTCCTGCGACAAGTTTCTTCTGCGCAATGTGCCTTTGGGAGCCATTGTCGATGAAGGAATTTGCGGCTGCTTTGTGCCCTCGACTCATGCATTGAGTGCCTGCTGCTTGGTCGTGAACTAGACTGCGACATGAGGTCGTATTCACGTTGTCGAGCCTGACGAGCACCGAGCCATCTTTGTTGCTTGACATAGATCAGTGCAGCTGACACCACTTACCGGGTACGTTGCGTGTCGCACTATGTCTTGCACGGGCAACGCACGGAATATTAAGTTGGGCAGCGTGGCCATGGACAGTTGCCATTCTTCGTAGTCACAGCCCATCTTTGCATACCCTGCGGCATCCAAGCACCGAGGATAATGTGCGAGACAGCAGAGACCCCGTCAGCAAGGCAGGGCGATGTTCCAAGCAGGTTGAAGATAAACTCAAAACGACTTGCTTCATGTGGTACCGATGCCTCAGCCTCACAAGCCTCCGAACTCGAGCTCACAGATCTCCAACGTTAGGATGCTTGGTACTTGACATGATCTGTAGGCCTCCCTGTACGACTTGGTGGCTGCGCTCGGAAGTGTCGGTCCTTCCTTGCTCATGGAGGACATTGCCACGGGCTAAGCCACGTCTTTGCACAGCAACGCCACTTCGCTGCAGCAGAGCGAAGACAAGGCTGACCGGGCCCGGCTCAAGTTCGGAAGCAGTGACGCAGTCTGGGAAGGCCCGCACCCAGTATGCGTGATCATGCGTCAGCAGTAGCCAGCGATTGTTGACATGACAAGCTTGTTCGGGAATTCGGGACAACTCACGACCAGGTCTCGGGCCAGGAAGCTCGAGCAAGGAAAACATTGAGCTGAAGGTGAAGCCGACGTTGCTTTGTCGCAAATTCGACATGGCTCGTGGCACGATCGCCCAGGTTTTCGAGCGAAAGCTCATTGACCGGCTAGGCCTGTCCAAGATTGCCGCACAGAAGGCGCTGGCATGATGTTGGCAACGCACTTTGGGAAACGCTTGAAACATGTTCTGCAGGCGTGTCGGATTTTGGATGTGGATGACGGTGGGGATCTGTCACGATCCGAGTGCCAAGGATGCAGAAGCGGCGATTCGATTTGTGCCGTCATGCTATGTCTGAGGGAAGGCCCGGCACGCACTGTAGAATATCCAAGGCTCATCTCCGCGCTGGCACTGTCCAGACCAACCCTGCACATGGAGGACTTTCGGCGAAAGGCCAGGCATTTGAGTATGTTTGAGCCATGTCTTGCGAGTGAATGTGTTGCCCACTGTTGTTGGCAGGTTCAGCAGCGCTATCGCAGCATCGAGGCGATCTTCCGCGAATCCTTTGAGCATCTGGAAAACGAGGCTGCCTGACATGCTACCCATGCTACCAAAGGAAGAAAAAGACAGCCACTTGCTCAGATTCTTATGACTGGAACAGGAGCTCAACAACGATGACGATATGCGGTGCCTCGGATCGGCAGAGGTACTTACTGAAGCATCAGCAGGTGCTGACCCTGCTGCGCTCTTCATTCTTGTCCGCTCATGGCTGTTTGGATTCGTCGTTCTCGTTGTTCTTTGGCATTTGCCCTCCGCTTGCAAGGCAGCTCCTGTTGAATGTGCAAGCTTGGAGCGGTATCGTCAAATTCTGGCTGAGTTCTGTGTCTTGCACTGCCGGAACACCAACATCCGTGGCAACGCTTCAAGTGACCAACCGAGAGTCAACAAGAGTATTCCATCGGAACTCTTGTGTTTTCCTACTTGTAGGACTCAACAACTCACTACTCTTCGATGTACAGCCGTCCAGAAGCCGAAGTTTTCATTTTCCGAAACTTTGTCATGGCTGTGTCCAAGGTTGACCTGCGCTGAGTTCGCAGAGATCTTAGAGGAGCTGGACTTCAGCAGGTGAGGGGGCCACTGCAGCACGCTGCTGTCGGAAATAAGAGCTTGCTTGCCCCGAACTCTTCCGGCGACAGGCGGGAGACCAGTTATTTGTTTTGGTTGGCCGATGCAAACGGGACGACCAAGCTCACTCTGTACGAGCTCCTTTGATCGTAAACTAGCAATTCACTGGTTCCAGGATGTTTGAAACTTCGCCCAGTTGCTTTTGCTTCAGATTATGTGGGTTCCATGCTTGCAACCTGCACACGATCAGATTTTCAAAAGATCTACAGAAGTCAACGTCTGCATGGTTTTCCTTCGAAAAGCATGGCCTTTGTGTCTTTTGTGGCGTACCTACCTGTGATTGTTTGTAAGGCGAAAGCATGGCTAGCACTGACATCGGTTCATCCGCGTCTGCTTTATTGTTTGTTGGGTAGGCTAGGACAGCTACGGAATGGAAGAAAGTAAGGCCTTGTCAAGGCCATGTTGGTGTCGCTGACTTTCCTGAATTGGGCTGACGTTTTCAATCACGGGTGCCAAGTCGTCGAGTTGCCTTGGGCACGGAGTCTTGTACGTGGCTGTGGAGGCCCTGAGGGATGGCTTGGAATTCACTGGATTTCTTACGTAGGTTCTGACATCATCAAGCACCCCTATGTGTTTCATGGTGTGTCAGTGTCGAGCGGATGTTCGGTTACGTGGTGGATAGGGATGCATCGGGCCATTGCTGAGGTTCTTCCGCGGGGTGAAGCTGTTTGTGCCAAGCTGCGTGGTCGAGGGCATCCGCCTGCAGGCAGGCCGTTGTGCAAGCCAGCGAGGCACGTTCTGTACACAGTCGCAGGCTCTTGTCCATCATCGGCGAATTGCCGACCTGTTCCGCAATGCTGGAGTGGCGTGGGAACGGCGCTTGAACTGTCAGGCACAGTGCCTAGCTTGGATACTTCTCACTGGAAAGAACATCGTGCATGCGTTTTTTGTTTTAGAGATGAATTGATGCAAGCACTCGGGGGAGAGGCTTTTGCGCAACTGCTGCTCAAGCTGGACGTGAAGTGTGAGGAGACTGCTGGTTGTGCCATGCACTGCTTGAAACAGCGCTGCGCTCGCCAGGACCCTCAGGTCATCTTTGATTTTTTCGACGTCCGCAGCTGCGGCAACATCTGCATCAGTGAGGCCACTCGAGACATGTGCTTTGTGGTAGCGGCACGTGCTAGTGCAGCAGGTCGTCTCCTCTCTGCAGAACCTCACCCCGGGCGTGAAGGCAAGGCCTCTGTGCTCATAGCAGTCCAGGAGTTGCAATATATGTTGAAATTATTTCCTGTCCGTGACAGATTTGTACACAACATTAATCGACTAGCAAATCCTTCGCTCTCAGAACTGCTTGCTTTGACTTTCAGTTCTGAGGTATTTGCATGTTACCGACATGATTTCACAGCGACAGGAGAAAGATGCTTCACTCTGGCGTATGGGTCGAATTTGCCCAGTACTCTAGAAAATAAACTTTCATGTAAGCTTTGATCAGCTAAGGCTAAATTGCACAGCCTGCAGGAACGCACTACGTCGCAAGAGTCCGACAAGCGGGTGGAGAAGGATTATCACAGCAATCGCAAGATCAACTCGTCACTTGCAGCAGTCAGGAGATTCGCGCAACATTGGCACCGATGCACAAGACGGCGTATTGCTTGAAGTTTTCGTTTCTGGCCGTCGCTCGTGCTTGCGAACCTGGCAGTCAGGTCAACGAGCTGAAGTCGACCATGAAGCGGGACGTGCATGAGGCCGTCTGACATATCGGCAAGGGCTTCAGATGTCAATGTGAACATCCGTCTCTTCCCGTCGTCCGCAGGATGGGAGGAGAGTGTCCGTGTCGGTCCCCAGGCCATGAGTCGCTTCACTTTCTGCTAAGCAAGACGCATGCAGCGCATTGCAGCGCAACAGGCCGGAGAAGCCCCCTGGGCCGGATGCCGAAGCACACGGTCCCTTGTCGGTCCAGGCTGACTGAACTTTCAGACAGCCTTGTGTTTTGCGCTATGCATCGCAGGGACCGAAATGCAACTTTCCCGCCGTGGTTCTCAACGAAACTTTCCAAAGGCTGCCCACGGGTTGTGCACCTGTGTACTGTAGAAGGTTATTAGTCTTGTGGTGGCAGTTCTTGACAAACCTCGTCCTGCGACAAGGATCACTGGTGCACCTGAGGCGCCTGCCCGTTACTCTTGCACGACTTGAAGTTTTTCTAGCCCGGGAGTGGACAGCAACGACTAGGGACGCAAGAAGAACCCGAGCGTCACGGACTACTGTGGCAAGAAGACGGTGGTGCGGCCCCCTTGTTCAGCCATTTTCACAAGAGGCGTCGGCACAACGGAGCTTGCTGCAAGGATGGGCTGTGTGGATACCTGAAATCCTCCAACGATCTCTTGGAGGCTCACAGGCAAGTTCTGTCTCATCACTACAGCAGGACAGTGCGACAGGGCCGGATGACTTCGGGATTCTGTCACATCTTAGCCTTCCTTGAACACCTGTAGGACGGATTGGCACAAGAAGCAAGAGAGCATCAAGGCCGTGCTGAACCGCCGCATTTGAGGCTGGGCTGGCCTCAGTTTCACCGGGCAATCCGCGCGCGCCCAGTGCATTCTCACAACTCTGAAAGAGTTTGAAGCTGCGGTGCAGTTAATGTACAATTGTTGTAATTCAGCTCGCAGCTCAACTGCGTGCCTGGCAATGGCGAAACAGGTCTCATTTCGTTTCCTTAAGTTGATATCCGGTTGATATGCATGGTGAGTGGAGGGAAGTAAACAAGATCGATTCTAAGATCGACTTGTCACAGTACAGAGGAGAACATGCATCAGATTCGGTGCTGTAATCGCGCCGTGGCTAAATCGATATCATGTGACGAGTTTCGAGTTGTCGAAAGGCTTATTTTCTTCGGGAGGGTGGGACCGGTCGTGAAGTGATGGATTTGTTTAGCATACTTTCTTCATGCAGCTACATGCACGTCGAATTTATTCATACGTTCTCCGTTCGAGAAGCAATGTTTCGTTGACATTCACCGTTTGCACATGTGTTCGAAACGATTGTGAGTTGGCTCCATGCGGCGTAGATCAAGTCCCAAACCGGACGGAATGTGGGCATTCTTGAGATATTTGTCGAATTATGCAGTCGGAATTGAAGAAAAATGCTAGCGGGGTGCATTTTTCGTGCTGTCGTGCAGTCTCTTGCCGATGGAGAAGGGCTCCGACTTTACTTCGGAGGAGGTCGTTTAGTCGGAATACTCAAAGAGTTCTGAAGCTGAGAGGGAAAATGACTGTGGGGATGACACAGGGCAGTGATACCGCTAAAATCGGAATTTGCTGTCGTGACCTGACCCTGAAGTCTGGAAGGGCCCCCGACGAAGGTGGCAGTCCCGCCGACCCAGGAGGTCACCGCATCTCAAGTAGAGAAGCACTGAGAAGCACAGAAGTCCCCACCGCCTCCATCGTCGTCGGCGTCTTAGCATCGGCGACGACCACCGGGCTTGGCCAGGGCGGTGGTCACCCTGACGACATCGTCATCGACGGCCCTGATGCCGCCCATGCCCGGCAGTTCTGGACGAGCCAGCTGGCCGCGAGCGGGGAAATAGACGAAATGGATGTTTGCTTCGACGATGTGGTTCGCCCGTGGCTGACGCAACATATGGGACATGGTCATTTGCTAATCTTTCAGCGGCTGTGAGCTTTGCACTTCTTGCTTCGTCCGTCCAGATGCTCAACTCCTTTCAGCAATGCGGCATTTGTGTTGGGGGCCCATTTTGCCGGCAAGTGCGATGGAACCTCAGGGGCACCTGTACATTGGCCGAGTTTGAATTCCAATCAGCCGATTCAATCCAGTTCCAATGCTGCTTGCTGTCCATGCTTCAGGCCCCAAAGCACCCTGCTCAAAGTGAGTTTCATCCAACCCAAAGATTTGCTTATGCCTTTCACATCGTAATGCGCCATAGTCGCGGGAATGGCTACACCTCCGATTCTGCGGATGCACCAGGAAACTCACGATTTTTTGAAACACTCCAGCAGGCCATGACGCAATCCATGCTCCTCCGGAGTCGTGAGCACAGCTCTTCGGGAGACTGTGGCGCATGTTGACACCCAAAGGGGCTTGGCTACAAATGCTGCAGTTTGGTCAACCTTCAGCTTTGCTCCTGGATCCAAATCATCTAGACCGTAAAGATACGGGGCATCCCTCCCTTGCGGGAGCTGGGAACCCTACATCAGGTTTGTTGGGCCGTTCGGCAGGGCGGGCCGCCGATGAGTAAGGCGATCCTCGCACTACAGGCAGCCCAAGCTTTTGACTTGATCAATGTCAAGCTCCAGACGGCTACTAGTACTTGGCCACCTTCGCTAGCTTCCTTGAAATGGAGGGTGTTGTCCCCGTCCCCGGCATACAGCTGATTGCAGGTCAAAGGGAGGTCCTTTAAGGTATATCCAGCCCTGAAGGGGGTCGGGCCTTCCAACCATGAACTCTAGGACTTCACTGGGAGGTGTTTGGTGAAGGGGCACTTGTTGAGAGCTTTCCATATGGACACCCTTCCGGACGCCGCTGAAATGCTCGAGCCAATCCCTCTCAACATCGTTTTGTATTTCCTCAAGCCGCAACTGCATCTCACGGGCTGGAAATGGAACCCCTGCAGCTGCTTTACTTCTGACTCCCGAATGAGGCTGAAGGCATCTAATGCCGGCTTTCAAATTTTCCTTTGAGAGAGAAGGCCGCAAACACTTCGGTGTACACCTGACCGTACAACCTGAAACGTCAACTAGGGCAACCACGAGAACAATTGTTTGAGCGGCATGCGGCGGGGAAGTCGAAAGCCCAAGCCTTAAACCCTAAACCTTAAATCTGAAAAAACCTAGACAACCAGTCCTCCCCAACAAAATTGCAACGCAACTGCCCCAAATCCCGATTCTGCGTATTGAAACCAGTAGCTGCTGGTGTTGGGCAGCCGTTCCTCCGTGGGGCGCAGCAATTGTCTCCTGCACTAGTCACGTCACAGAAGCCCTGTCCATGTGCTTGCCTGGACATGTCAGAGATTTCAGAACATGCAGATCTACGGGAGTGGGGTCTGCAGACTGCATTAGTACAGGCTCGCAGCCTCGGGCTTGCAGAAGTTTAAAGCCGAACAGATTATGGCACGAGTCCGAACAAAGCCCAGACAATGTTAGGCCTCGTATGTCGGCTCCTATCGAAGATGTTAAGCTGCGAAAAGCTAAGAAAGCTTGATGTCGAAGCCGCTTGCAACCATAGCCCACAAACACAGACTACTGTTGCCGTGCAATGACATCTTCTAAATTATAGATTGCAACAATCCACTGGCCAAGCCATGGAGACAGTTGCGAGAAGGAGCTTCAGACAAAGTGAGCTCTTGGCATACCTGCCCCCAACCGAAGCGTAGAAAGGAGGCCGGTCATGCTCTTTCCCAGTCTGTTTGGATATCGCATTGACCTGTGTATACCTATATTGTCGTTTGTTTGCGTCATGTCATGTCCTAGCAAGTGCAAGCTAGTCTAGGATCGTGGAGCAGCAGCTGCATAGAGTGGTGAGTGGTGTGACAACTGTCAGTAACGGCAGGGACCTGACTCGACCAATTGTCAACATCTGCAGGTAGGGTCAGAATGCCCAAGAATGGAGAGAAGAAGAAGGACCTCATGTCAACACAGGCTCAATGTTTTGTGTGTTTCGTCTGTATCGCAGAGTACAGTCATGTTAAGCTAGGTGCTGTTGGCTGCATCGGGCCTGGCAGAATTCTACAAGTACTTCGACCAGGCAAGACCTCCGAGATCAGACAAGCAGTGCTGTTCCCCGGTGATACTTTCATGAGAAATGAGCATGGTAAGTTTACTGGATCGTGGTTTGCTTCTCCGACTGAAGAGTCTGAGTTGAAGGTTGTGAGATTGCTGGCTACCAGTAGACTGCAGTTTGCGAGGCGGGCCACTCCATGTTCGACGCTATGACAAAGATCAGCGACCTGAAGGTGCGACTCCGAAAGCAAGGGCCAGGGACCCTCCTAAGCATCCCTTAAGCAAAGGTGGAGCAGATCCTGCTGGAAGTCGAGGCGCGCTGTGGCGTCACCTTCAACTCCGCGGTGCGAATCAGGCTTTGGAAGGCTGGCACCGCTCTGCACATGCCCAGAGCCGCCATTCCCAGGACAGACCAGCTGGTCCAAACCATAGGAGCCGCAGGGGCCTCGAACTTCCAAAACCAACAGCAAATATAGTCACACGACGATGACAAGAAATCCAGGAAAACACCAGGCAGACGTGCCATTCAGCCAATCAAGCAGTTGGTTTGAATTTTGGAGACACCAGATCAGACTGAGTGAACATTGCGGTTGGGGTCCACCAGAGTTGACCAATGAAATGCTGTCAGATGCCATGATAGAAGGTGGGACAGTTGCTTTTTGGCGGAGCCACCGCGACCTGACATAGGCGCTTCGATATCAGTGGTTCCGCGGGCCAGGCAAGGGTCACTTGGCAAGTTCTGGAGAATGCGAGAGATTTGCTGTAAAGAAACGTGAGCTGGCACAGACTTAGACATTACGTGGGCCGACAGCCGATCTTTAGCTAAGGCATGAAGTTCGTAGAACGGACGGATGTGCCACAGCTGCTGGATCTCAGTATCGCATACAGAGTTGCCTCACTCGTTTGCGTTGTCCGAGAGCCATCAGGCACTTGCCTCCGTTGGAGTGGCAAGAGCAGGATAGCAAATTCAGGCCGCTCGCGTGCATCTGGAGATGTGTCTCGTTTTTCGCCCGGCACGAGTGTGGCCTTCCACGCGAACAACACAGGTTTGCCGATCTGGAGTCAGACAGACAAAGACAGATCGTTCGTGCCTTGCCTGATCTCCGTACGTCGCGAGCCCAGTTTGCAGTCATCATGCCGTGCACAGGAAAGATCAAACAACTGGCGCCTGGCGAGACTGGCCAATCGCTTCAAACCTTCCAATTCGAAGTCCCACGCTTACTGTCGCATTCTTCCTGTCAGCAGTGGTACACGACAAATCAGTTGCCACCTGACCACAGGGTTCCTGGTTTCTGTCGAAAGGTGTACACGCGCACACCCGACTTAATCTACGAGTACAGAGACTTGGAGCGCTGCGTCCAGGCACCGTGGAGTCTCAAGCCGGCCCCAAGATCCCCAAGTCACTGTGCGCCATGGAGGAGTGGGAACGGCGAAATCCACGCTCTATGATTCAGGAGGATTGCCCTCACCGCCTGGGTTTGCTGCAGTGATTCAGTTCTGGTCGCGCATTGCAAGGACATGCGGGAAGAAGTGATGCGAATGCGACTCAAGAGTTCCTAGACAGATTAGCTGTTCGTCATGAGCTATCGGCTAAGCTGGCTGCAAAGGATGCAACTCTTTAGTCACCTGCCTCGCGAGGTTGTATCGACTCTGCGAATGCCAGCATTGCGCCACTTGGATGCGCATACCGCATAACCATAAGCGTGTTTTTGCAGCGATGAGTGCTTGGCCCATCATGGCACAGACTTGCAGCCGAGGGTAAGAAAGGCAAGAGCAGTGAAGTTGAAGAGCTACGCGTCAACCTTGTTGCTGATCCAGCTGCTTGGTGCGACCAGTGCTCCCAAGCGAGAGTCCAGACTATGAGTGGGTCCCGCTTCGAGGCTTGTCATGTTCTCGCTCTGTGCCTTGGCATTCCACAGCCACAGCATGGCGTTTGTCATACGAGGGAGGGGCAGGATAGGCTGCTAGGTTTGTGCGGAGGGACTTGAGGTCATCATTTTTAGGGTTTAATACATATTGAGACATCAAGAGGGATGGGGCTTTGTGCTTTAGGTTTATTCGGGCTGCTTGACAACGAGGCCTGTTGTAAGAAAGCTTTATTCTGGATTTCTCTTCCGGCATGGACTAGGATGGCTTTGCAAAATCAGGTGTTGCAATGCTGCTGACGGCCTTCGCATCACTGAACAACACGCCACCTCAGCCACTTCAATGCATTTCGGCACGGGCACCTGCTTTGTTCAACAGCTGGCTGACTAACACGGCAAGAGTGCAGTAGTTGATGTTTCGGAGTGCAGAGGGCCAAAATACCAAGACCCCTAAATTCCTATTTCTGCGCGTAAGCACCCCTTGGGTTTCCTACACCTCCGCACACCTAAAGGTTGGCGCAAGCACGAGAGGTCATCAATAGTTTGGCAACAGATGTGGAACTGCAAGCAGTGCAGAGACTTGACCCTTGGCTTCCTGGTTTCGCGGCCCAAGGATTCTACTCACCTTTTTTCTATCCAGCTTCCTGGCTCAAGTTGTGTTTCCACCTAGCATTCTGTCAGTGTCCTCGTTCAGACCTGCTGGCCTGGCGAGGCAAGCAATTTCTGTCCTCCATGGTGAAGTGGCCGCAAGATGATCTGCAGACAGATTGGGCGGGGATCGTGCGAGTCGCCGCCGTTTTGCCAAGCTGAGGTCTTCTTCACCGCATCGGTTGTGGCAAATGTCGTGTCGGAGCGAGCACGGGGAGATCCTTTGATTCGTGAACTCAGAAAAACAGCATCTCGTCTGGGAGACATGCCATGAGCAACCTGCAAGAACCGTGCGCTCAGTAAGCTTTTCGTTGATCGGAGGTGGTGCCCCTTTTGATAGGTTGATAAGGCGTTTTGTGCTTGCTCTCTCTGCCCGTCAGCTCGAAGTGGCATCGTGCCGTAGAGTGATGACATGACATGCTGTGATGAGCGGCCTTGAGTCATTGAGTGAATCCAGCTTCCTTCGTGCTTCATGGGGGTTGTGATAATGACCTTCAGCTGAGGTCTTGAGCTGCGAACGTCTCATAGAGCGAATCAGCAACTCGTGGCAAAGGATGTTTTCCGTGCTTGTGTTGTGACGACGGGAAAGTGCTCATCGGATGACTCTGTGCTTAGGTGATTTTAGGATCGCCACAGAGGAGCTCAGGTTGCAGAAGAATGAGGCTTGTCGAAGAAAGATAGCTTACTCATTTGCAAGCCTTGCCTGTGGTTGTCAGGCTGGAAAGAAGGGCGTTCCTGTTGGCCTCAACCTGAACGTTTCTACAGAGCCACGTGGTTGCAGCAAGCGCACAGAAGCGGAAAGTCTCAGACAAGGCTCTAGGCCTAGGTGGGTTGGAACCAAGGGGCGGAGGGAAGAACGACGAGCGACTCGTCGAGCATTTGTACTGTACTGCGCTGCTGCTTATTCTGGCATGTTTTAAGAGCAGCTCGCCCTCGCCATAGCTCCAGGGAGGATGGTGACGATCCAAACCAGGACTGAACGGAGATGCAAGCTCATTCGGCCTTGTTGCTGTTGTTTCATTGCTGTGGAGGTGAGGCAGCGGGCGGGGAAAAGGCGCAGAGGGACATTGCTTGCACGAGGCTCAACGGTCTAAGTCTGACTTCCTGACTTCAGGGGAAAGCAGAAGAAGAAGCAGCCCAAGGATGAAGCGCTGCAGCTTTGGGCGCCGGACGTGCCTGCTCTGCACAGAGCTAGGAGGTCCCATGTCCAGCCTCTGTGGGCGCCAAGCTCTGGTTTGCATGATGGGTCGCAGCCACCAATAGCCGAGGCCGGCAAACTGGACAGCCACCAGCTCATCTTTGCGCTCCCAATTTCTGCGCTGAAGTGGGCAAGGATTGGTATAAGCTATGGAAGCCAGGTCAAGAGATTCAGATGATGCAGAAACAACTTGCCCAGAGCTTCAAGAGACTGGATGTTGCGAGCTTGGCGATGTCTCTAGCCGTCGCAGGCTAACTGCTTAGCTTGCTATGGAATGTAAGGCTCCGCCAGAGGACTTTCAGCGGCCCGGCGGCGATCGCATGCGTACGTTCCATCGTGCGCCCTGCACTCTCTGGATGCTTGAAGATGGCCATACTTCCACGAATGCTCGCAGAAAAGCTCGGCGGCGTGGCGGAAGACGACCTGTGTGTGCAGATCACTAGCAAACAGCAAAAGAGGCGTCAGGCGGGCACTGCCTGAAAGTGAGACTGCTCTCGATGTGTTGCCTGGTATTGAGTCAAGGCCTACGTGGAGCAGTTGAAGGAACAAGCGCTGGCGAAGCTTCCGAAGAACCCCCCTCCACCTTCCTTGACCATGCAGTCCGTGGCGCAGGACGGTGAGTGAGAGCAAAGCGCAAGTGGAGCACGGAGAGCTTTGGAGCCACAGGATGATCGCCGTCAAGCACGCAGAGCTCAGGGATCCCAGGGAGCCCAAGGATCCCAGGCACAGTTACAGAGTGCACAGAGGGGGGGAATGCTGTGCTGCGGCGTGCTGCGCCTGCCAGGCGCAAACCATCGGGCGACAGCTCACCGATCTGCCTTGAAGGACGGAGTTGAAGAGTGAGCTCTGCTGGAGCGCGCGGACGCAACATGAATTTCCCTCGAAGAACTTATCATCCTGAGAGTTTCCATGTATGGACTGGAGGGACAGGCAATGCTTTGCCAGGCGCGCTCGCACAGTTTCACAGCCACCGTCTCGAACATGTCCGGCTTGCAAAATCTGAAAGCTCCCGAAATCAAGATTCCGTCATCCCGGAGCATGATGAAACATGTGCACCTTGCAAAAGGAGCCTGTAATCCTCAAGTAGTCTGAGGCCCCAAAGCATCTTGACAAGCTCACCCAAGATCCATGGAGCTCTGCCACACCGTGAACCACGTATTCCTAGATTCATAGATCAATGTGTTGAAGGCCCGGGGGTGCCTTCATCCAAACAGCTCTCCGACAGACGAACCAAGCAACTCCGATTCAGAAAAGCTGAACTAGGTCTAGGAATCCAAAGCCCTGAAGTCACACCCATGAGAAGATCGGTTCACTTGATAAACTGGATTTACATTTGTGTTGTGGCAAAGAGGCTGGTTGAAGCAGTTGGCGCAACCTACTCTACTTGTGCCCGTGTTGTCTTTCAGCAGGTTGCAGCAAAAGCCGGTCCGGGGCTGTGAATCTTGTCTGAATCGGAGTCAGGTATTAACAGATGTTGATTTGTAGTTTCGTCACGGTTTCTTAGCTCATGAGTTCTTGCCACGAGACTTCGAACAAGCGTTCGGGAGACTGTCTCTTGGCGAATCGGAGAGCTGTCGCTTGAAATCGCAGCTGCATCAAAGTTTATCCAACGGGAGAAGCTTCGGAGAAGGCTGGCATAGGTTCTCAAAGTGGGCGCCAAGCCAGTTAGCAATGGCAGCCATCGGCCTTCGAGTCTCGGGTTGCCTGCTATGCGCACTGCAGCGTATCGCCGTGGGAGGGAATGAATTTGAGGCCGTGACCCCCAGAGATAACATACAGACAGCGAATGCAGAGGGCAAGTGCCACTTAGCCAATTTGTTCCTTCATTCATTGGCAGACGACGACGGGGCAGCGCAGCCCATTGATGTGCGGCCAGTAGCCGGGCAGATGCAAGCCTTCGAAGCAACTCTGGACTACCGCATGGCTGGGTTTCACATCCAAGCCACTGCGACTCCTCGAGAAGCCTGCCAAGTCAGTGAGATGAGTACAGCTGCCACCATGCTCGATCCTGGCGATTCGACTTTGGCAGAAATCTACGTAACGGCCAAACAGGAAGGCACCAGCTTCAAGACTTTGAGATACCTGGTAAACGTCTCCCGCCTCTCAGGAAGCGAAACCGAACTCGGGCATGTGGCCGTCTCCGGGGCCTATTTTGTGCCGGGCTGGAAGTCAAAGAACAAGCAATACACGGTTTTTCTGAATCTAGAAGAGGACCTTGTCAAGTTTAACTGCATCAAACTTGACAATGGCCAGGCAGTAAAAATGACAGCAGAAGTAGAATATGCAGGAACGCACATTCAGGCGAGGCGCCTGCAGACCCTTTCAGAGGCCCCCTCAGAGAGCAAGTCGGTTGGAGAAGCACAGCGCGTGAACTCGATGCTGATGACTACGCTGGATGTGGGCCACAGCCGCGTTGTGCAACTTCAGGTCACATCTGCTGACAGGTCTCGAGCAGGCAACTACTACTTCACAGTTCAGCGCCCGCCCTGCGCACAAGAACGGCGCTTCTTCGACGGAAGTAGCAGGATGTGCACAGATATATGCAATGAAGGTTTCTATGGCAGCTCGGCAACCGGACGCTGCACTCGATGCTTAGACAGCCATTGCGCTGTGTGCGAGGGGAGGAACTGCACATTGTGCTATGACAAATACGAGCTTCAGAATGGTGCTTGCGTGCTAAGAGGAGCTGGCAGTGGCATGGCATTGGTCAGTCAGGTTGAATCAGGTGTTGCCAGCTATGCGCAAAAGCACCAAACCATGATGGTGATACTGGGAGGAGCTTTGTGTGTCATCGCTTCTGCTTGTGCGGCTTCAGTTTTCTGCGCTCAAGGAAGCATCAAGCGAAGGCCTCGGCTGCTGCAGGAGGATGAAGATGAGATGCACGACTTCAGCTACCGAGAAGATTCAGACAGGCCTTGATGCGCAGAAAGGGTCGACAAGGTGTATTCTCGCCGCAGGTCCTCAAAGACACTGCCACGAACGCTAGCCGTAGCCTTTAGTGAAGCTTGCGGGAGTTGCCGTTTGCAAATTCACCTCAGTAGTAGTGACCAAGGTTAGGAGCATATTTCGTGGTTGAAGAATATTTACACAGGGGGGAGGCACTACAAACGGGGACCCGCCCAAGGTGGCGGTGGTTGTACAAGGCGTGGGTGCGGCCCTCTCCCACCTGAAGGTCCCTTCTCCACCATGCTTAGAATGCTTTTGCACAGTGCACATGCAAGTCACTAGTTTCAACCAGCTTCTGCTTGTGCAAACGAAATTCGCCACAACTGTCATGACTAGGAGGCAGAGAGCTGGTAGGCATGTGCCTGCACATACAGTTATCGTTGCAGCAGCGGCAGCACATCTGACATCCACTGGCATCGCAGAACCATGCACTGTAGTACCGGGTAGACTCTTCAAGGCACAAGTGTAGACATGGCAGCGTAGTAGGATTTGTCTTCTTACCCGCTGTTTCGTGCAGGGATTTAGAGATGGAGGCCCGCAGGCGCAACAGTTCCGTTGCTTGCTCCTGCGCTGTCATCGCGGCAGCCGTTTGTTTGCTGAGCGTGTGGCACCGCTCTGTCGCCTCGCCGTCTGGTCTGGAAAGGACCTTCAAACGCCTGTTGACACCTGCCGAGCTTCTGAGGTCATTTCCTTTGCCTTACACTCTAAAGCGCCTCGTCAACGAAAGTCGTGCTGAGGCGGCTGCAATTTTACAGGGCGAGGATGATCGTTTGATTGCTGTTGTGGGCCCGTGCTCCATCCACGACCCGGAAGCTGCCCGCGACTACGCGCGGCGTTTGCGAGAAGTGAAGAAGGAGCTGGAAGATGATCTGTTGATAATCATGCGCACGTATTTGGAGAAGCCACGGACAAGCGTTGGCTGGAGGGGCTTAGTGAGTGACCCGGATTTGTCTGGAAAAGAGGACCTTGGCCGGGGATTGGCTTTGGGACGACGGGTGCTGCTTGACATGAATGCGTTGGGTCTCCCTACTGCCGTCGAATTCCTGGACCCAAATGTGGCACCGTACATCGAGGATGCCGTGACCTACGGCAGCATAGGTGCTCGGACGGTCGAAAGCCCAATCCATCGGGCGTTGGCGGCGAGCTTGAAGATGCCCATGGGTTTCAAGAATGGGAGAAGTGGTCGGGTCCCCAGCGCTTACACTGAGACGAAGCATGATTTCTATCCTTTCTTATGTTAAGCTTTGCGATTTCTTTGGAGTGGTTGCTTCAGCAGCGGCACTGCATAAGGTCCCTAGGTGTTGTTTGAATTACTGTCGCATCGCAGAGCCGCCTGAAGGCGACATTCAAGATGCGGTGAATGCAGCCGTGGCTGCGTCATCTCCGCAGAAGCGGCTGGCTCCGGACAGACACGGCCGTGTGCGAATCGTCCAGGCGTGCCCTAGAGCCCTGCAGCAAACGGCAACAGACCCCTGGGCTGAGGCCGAGGGCAATCCCGCTCCTCACATCGTGTTGAGGGGCGCCGAGAGCGGTCCGAATTTCGGCCGGGCGGCCGTGCTCAGATCGGCTTTGCGCAGAGACTCGGCCTCGGACTTGAGGCGAGGCCTTCGTAGCGGAGGCCGGTGAGCGGCTGAGCAAAGCCGGCTTTCGTCGGGCCCACAGCTTTGCGGAAAGCGGCTTTGGCTTCGGCTTTCTTGATTTGGTGTCGAGCTTTCAGTTGAAGCGCTCACTCAGGCGGTGCGCAAATCATGATCGATTGTATGGTCCCCAGTCCGGGGCTTTGCCTGCCGTTATGTCAATGTGCTCTGAGCAAGGCTCCCATGGCAACTCCCGGAAGAAGTACGAGGGAGAGGCGGCTGAGATCGTTGGGGGAAGATCTTGTGCAAAACGCTCACGGCGATTTTGATGTCAGGTTGTGGCTTGTAGATCCGTCGCCGAGCAGGTGCATGATTCGCCACCATCGCATTGTGACCATTTTCCACATTCATGCCATGAGATACGAGACTGCAAGCCATGGCATTGCCAGGTGTCCGCTGGCAATACTGGGATCGGCGGAGTACAGTCCCTACATCCATCATGTTCATGCGAGCGCGATGCTTCATCACGAAAATTGACGGTCGGAGTGTTTGTCGCCATGGTTCCTGATGTCATGAGTTTGTGTGCCGGCGAGCAGGTGCGATCAATTGTGTGAGCGCATATTCGGTGTACCAGGTTCTCATAGAGAGCTTCCTTGTCGCGGGAAACCAGAAGCTGGATCCAGGCTATGGTAACAGCAGGGTTGAACCACCACAACCTTGCAAGAAAGGCTTTGTACTGCGGAGGTGTGACCAAAGTGGAGGACCTCAAGTATGGCTGCAGTGCGATGGCTTCAGTCTGCCGGGCCATAGTAGGCGCACAGCTTGAGAGTCCCAATGCCAAAGCTCTGGACTCAGGTGACGGACTCATGCATGGATTTCAACTCCACGAAGGATTACTGTTAATCTGCTAATCTCTGCTGCCAGCAAGTCACAAGCATCCCATGTTCTTCATTCTCAAGGACCTCCTTGGTGAGTTGGCAGCGGCGGTCGTTGCAAGACGAGCAAAAGTATCACAGAGCTGGAAGGAGGCCGCCATTGTTGCGAGAATGCTCTCCTGCTTTGTTAGTTCTGGCTCTTGCTTGTCCAGTGCTCGAGCAGGCTTTGCGTGTTGGTTTCTCATTGAACAGTCTCTTCAGTGATTGCTCTTTCTCTCTATCTCTCTATCGCCCCTCCTCCCTCCCCTCCCACACTCCGTCTCCTGTCCTGCCAGAGGCTCGAGAAGGCGAGCCTGTCAAGGCACCTCAGCCGCATATCAGCACTCCACAGTGTGCAGAACGGGAGTCAGTCGGCTTGGAATACAGAGGGATGGACGACCAAACTTGCCATGACACACTTGGTTCGAAAAGCTCAAGTCTCGTAGGTGCGGGGAAAGGGAGAGTGGGTTGAGTGGATGTGAGACATGTCCGTCGACCAAGGCTTGACACCGGAACCATCCAGAACAGCATCATGTCAGCCGTTCTCCTCATAAGACAGAGCATGCTTGCAGATGGACTCAAAGTTTCGCAAGTCCAGTGTGCAGAAAGCCTCTCTGTGAAAATACCGTGAATGCATTGCCGAATGTGATGAGATGACATGGCCGCTTTCACCGGATGCTGAGAATCGAGGTGCCTTGAAGATGTTGCACGGCATGCCGCAGCCATTTCAGTTCAAGCTTCAAATTCAGCAGTTAATGATGCAGCGCACCCTACTTTTTGTACTACCCAGCTGCAGCACATGACGATGCAGGTGTTCATTTGTGCCAAAGAGAAGTCATGCGATGCTGTGCCCGTAAGCGGCATGTGACAGCAAGAGACATGAATTACCTGTGCACGTTGATTCAGCTTACCCGCGGCAAAGTTCGCGACACAGGCCAACGCCAGCGCCATGGGAAAAGTTCGCCCGGCCAAAGCACCAAGGCCGCGAAGACAAGATGCAGGATGGGACACTCATGCGACTTCCTCTTCTCAGTCGACTGGGTTTTTGAGGCCAAGCAGCTGCTTCCAAAGGCGTAAAACGCCGCATCGGCAAGGCAGTTTGTGCCAAGAAGTGAGCGACTTTGCGGAGCAAACGGATTGAGACGGATGGGACAGGCAAGTAAGTCCGGCAACATGCAAGGATCTTCGAAGGCAAGATGTTGTGATTTTGCGGTTGTTTGCGTACTTTGGCCGGAGTTCGATGCATACAGACGCTTGAGGCCTCAAAGACGGTGCTGGAAGTGGCCACAGGCAGGGGTTTCCCGCATCTTTTGTAATTAAAAGATTGACTAACTGTCCTGCTAGGTCCCCAGGCTCGTCGTGCCTTGGTGGCCTCTTCGGCTCGTGCCGGCAAGGCAGGGTCCATAAACGGAGCGATCCTGTCCCCGAGCCTGAGAGCATGAGTTCAGGTGCCTGCGGCACCGAAGCTGGGACCAAGGCCCGACCCTCCCAGGAACCCAAAGCGAATCTATACTCGATCGTTTGCATCGAAAGCATGGCGAGTAGGCTTGGACTGCTTCGGAGCGATTTGCCGCCAGTGCCCGCTTCATTTTCGTCAGGCCCAAGATGAACGGAGCGGCTTGCCTGCAAGCAGCTTTCTTCATCCACTTCGGAACTTCCGGGCCAGAGGTAGAAATGCAATAGATAGAGAGTATGGACAGATTGCTTGAAGCTGGAAACCTTGGCAGCAGCACAGATTCTGTCCCATCAGCGGCTCAGATTCAGGCTCGAATGATGCAGGAAATTGAGGAAGCTCGTGAGCATGCCGAGAAGGCGCGTAGCTTGGCCCCCCATCATGCAGTGTCATCGGCCAAAGATTTAGCTGAAGTCAAGACACTGCAACCACTCTAGTGATTAGTGGCATGCAGTGCAATTCTTCATGGCTCAATTATCTCTCGAGCAAGCATTCTGGCCAGCCGAGCCTGCAGATGAGAGCTAGAAGAGAATCCTTTGTCTTTCTCGAGAGTTGCAGGTTGTATTTCCTCCGCTGAGTGTACCATACATCTCCATTATACTTCAGCTATTGCTTCCTGCAGCCCGAGACATGCACTTCATATATGTGTTGTTTATTGAAGCTTGGGCGCTCATTTCCAATGTTGAGTCTGCTCCACATACAGCATATTCAAACAGGCCTTCTCACCCTAATTATCTGTGTCGGTTGTACCGGGTCGGCTCTAGTTTTCCGGGTCTGCTTGTCCTGGCTACAAAATCACAATCGAAATGGCAATGACGGTTCAAGTACTCGTATCCTAGGCTCCAGCATCACGGTTCACCAGCTATGTGATTTTTCACAGATGTCACTCAGAATCCGTGTGTGTGTGTGTGTGCGCAGCCGAGCCAGCGTTTCCAGGAATTTCCTGGCATTGCGAGGAGAGTCCATCCCCTTGCTTCGCTGCCTTCACAGGTGGCTGCCGTAACCGCGAAACGTAAGCTGGCGTCCCAGTGATGTTCATGTTCTGCCCTTGCAGTCGCAAGCTGTATTCTGTATACTGGCCCAACGAAGCGGTATGATGAGCCGTAGATGGAAGGTCCAGGAGACGGCCGAAAAGCAAGCTGTCTCAGCACAGCCAACAGGCCTGGCAATAGTACGTGAGGAAAGGGGACGGCAAAATCTGTCCAGGTCCTTGCAGCGTTCAATGTACGAGCCGTCCTTAATCACTCAGAAATTCCCTTGTTGATGCAAGCTCTGATTCAGAGCGAAAGGAACATGATGCTCATGCCAAGGCTCCGAAACGCCATTTTTCCCAAAGATTCGGTGATTCGCCTTCAAAGAATCACTACCGCTCTGTGACGGTGGCTGGCAGATGAGAAATGACGAGTGTTCCTGCGCGGCAGTGTCCCAACGAGCACTCACTGAGCTTAGAGCAAGCAAGTTCGTCAGTAGGGGCTGTATAATGTATTGGTGCTCTTTGCCTGTCTTGCACCAGATTCGTTTCGCCATACTCTTCAGCACAACACTGTATCTTGGCCGATGTTGGCATGTGTTGGCTCAAATGCACTGGGTTCAGGTGGGGGAAGATTGTTAGCGACCACAATAAGCCTTCCAGTTGATGTTTGAGTCGTACTTGAACTATGCAATGTAGCAGTTGTTCAACGATGCTGACAACGCGAAATGAGCGGACGTGTGCTTACGCCTGTGTGTGCGCAGCTTTCATCTCGCAACCGATGGCACCTGCGCAAGACTTGCCAGACGTGCTGGACGCTTTCTGCCTTCGAACGAACGAGGTGCGCACGGAAAGCGCAAGATTCGGTACGTTACTGTCGGGTTCTTACCGTATCAGCTCATGTACTTCGAGTTTTGTATAATATACGTCATGTTGTTTTTCCCGGGAAAGCCCACAACACCCAGAGTTTTACTCGGTGCCGGTGCCTAGCAGGATGCCGGTGACGACTTTAGCCCCCAGCTCGCGGCCATGCTGCAAGGCGAGGCATTTCTTTCTTCCGTATCAACTTGGCAATGGAAAATCGCTGCAACGCCGAAGCATGCCGAAGCTCAACAGTGTGATGTTGAACCCTTGTCAGGACAGTGCATGGACTGGGATGAGTTGCCACCCGAAAATGACGAAGGCTGGTTTACTTCTTTTGGAGCCTCGAGACGGGCGCTCGATTCTAAAGGATGCATCGAGTACAAGTGGCGTCTGGGTCCGGAGCACAGCCGCAGGCCCTCTGATTGCCTGGCCCGCCGAAGAATGGGTTCATTTCTTGTCAGCACAGGCGTGTGGCAAGACTCGCGACTACGCCTCAGTGAGAAGTGCTGCAGCTCCTTCTTGCTAGGATGTTTCCCAGCGGCCCGCCCCTTGCACTCCCAGGACGCAAATGAAGTTTCGCCTGGCGGAGGGCAACAACCTCAGTTCCGATATCCCGACGTGATCATGTTATTTCCTTGAGGGCGAATGCTGCTCAAGGCAGTGGCACAGCCTTCTACCTGCTGGGCGTCCGTGACTCTGGTTTCGCTGAGGCAGGTAATGCAGAGCCAGCAAAGAAGCGCCAGCATGAAGACTTGGCCCCAGGGCCTTTCAGCCCGAGAGCACTCTGAAGCAGTAAGTGTTCTGATGGCGGCCACTTTCTCAGTTTCTGTTGGGTTCAGAGTCTCTGCCGAACTTCCTGACTATATTCACTTTGTTCAGGCTGCCGGTGCGGCCGACTGCATCCTGCTGTTGGAGGCTCCCGGAAAAGAGAGCGACAACTCGGATGGAACTCGGCTGTTGTCTCGCACCTGCAGGCTCTGGGCCGTTCCTCCAGGTCACAAAAGAGTAGGCCCAAACACATTGCAGCTGCCTGCAGCGTTAGGGATTGTTTTCGAATCACACGCAGGTGTTGCTCAGTGTGGCGGCTGGAACAGAGGTGCGTGTTCGACTCATCTTTGTCCATGTCTGAATCCTATGGTGCAGGCATGCAGCGGTAAGCAAGCTGTCCAAAAACCTGCATCTTTGTGGGTCCCTTGCCGTGGTGGCCTCATCTCTGTTTCAAGTGCAAAGTGGGTCGAGCTGAGATTCGTGAGGACTCCTGGCAAAGATGCCGCATGGAAGTGGAGGATCCCAAGGTGCAACCAGGGTTCGGCCGGATAGCACATCCGTATCACCTGTGTGCTGCAGGATATGATGGAGTTGTTTGCCTTCCGCTGTGGTCAGAGGTCGTACCACGCATCATCTCAGCAGCACATCATGCTAAATAGGCGAAGAACAGTGTCCTGCAGGACGCAATAAGAGTTGTGATGGAAGGTGCGGGAAGGCGACGATGTCCTTTGTAAATCTGCCAGCTGTTTCTTCCAGACATAGGCAAATGGTCGTGGTTCACTGGCGTTCATCCCATGTGGCAGGTATGTATGCGTTGCATGGATCCTGGTAGGCTGGGTTGCGTCAAGAAGTGCTGAGGATGCATGCTGTTGCACGCAACTATAAGATTTACAGAACCAGAGCCACACAGCGCATGCTGCAGGTTGGACCGCCTAGGCATCACCAGGCAAATCAGTCACCTTCCTCGGTTGGCCTGCCCGGTGGCTTTGGGCCAAAAAGCGATGAGAGGCATTGGCTGTCTGTGTCAGGAATTAGATGCCAGTAATGCCGGTAAGCTGGGAAAGCAAAGTTATCGATTATTGTGCTATTCCGCATTCCTGAAACAGATGCAGAGCATCCTCGCTTGTGCATGCTGAGTGGGCACTTCCCGCTTCCTCTAGATGAGGATACGAGGGCAGGTTTGCACACTGCTTTCAATATTTTTTTCCGTTGCTTATGTTTGTTGCGACCACTGCGATTAGAAGCTGATTGCACTGGCAACAGACGTAGGTGCGCAGGCCTGCTTCTCAAATTGGAAACGGCCAGTCGCGTTCATGTCTTTTGGAGCAATATGGTTCGGACAGATGCCGGCACTTGGGCAACGGTAAAGGTTCGTTTCGGGAGTATGTTATGGTCAAGATTCTCCTAAATCGATGGTCATATAGAACTTCACTATTTCTATTATCCTTCTGGAATCTTAAATATCGGATACGACAGAAATTTGATAATTATAGATTTGCAAAATTTCATTCGAGATTATGAAATATGAAAAAATAATGGTAGAGTAGCATAAAAAGATAGATTATAATAAAGATTAATTCGATATTTGAAAAGGACTAGAAAAATTAAAAAAATATAAATAAGGTCTCAATATATATTTCAAAAATATCTATAATTTATATGACTTTAATTTTTATTACGATATTATAAAAAATTCGTATTATTTATTATTAGAAAAGAGAGAGTGATAGAGATAGAGATGGAGAGATAGAGAGTAGAGAGATAGGAAGAATGACAAATAGGTCGATGGACGGATCGATGGATCGATAGGGAGAAAATAAGGATCGACGGACCGATAGGTAGAAAATAAGTAGATACTGAGTTCTATAATTCAAAAAAATGGCTCTCGTATTATGGTTAATTTTTGATTATAAGATAATTCTAATATATATTCTCTATTTAGAATATAAGATATTAGAAGACTTTATTCGTTCTCTAAATTTTCCGAAAATTTTCGGTATTTAAATTTCTAGAAAATTTAGATAAATGATAATTGAAAATTTTCCGTATATTTCGAAACCGAGGTATCGAGCTACCGAAATTATTAAAAATTGCTAAAAATTATAAGATTAAATCGAGATTACTGAATTGTTAAAATTACAATCCGAGTTTCTAAATTTTGCAGAAATTTTAGGTCTTGGGAGCGTCGTTCTCTCTCTTCTATGTGGTGCTCTCTCTTTTTCTCTGTATCTCATCCCGAATTCTCTACTTCTCTCTGATTCTCTCTTTATTTCTCTTTCTATCTTTCTATCTATCTCTCTTCTTGGCTCTCTCTCTTTCTCTCTCTCTCGTTCTCTCTCTATCTCTCTATCCGGCTATTTATCTCTCTGATATACTTTGTCGCTACCATATTCGGGTCTTGACTGAGATTTATTCCGGCCAAGGCCACCATGAAGGGCAACTAGTCATGCCCAATATAAATTATTAAGAGGTGCTATCAATTTGATGATTGCCTTTGATTCTTATGCAGCCAGGTTGTAACCGTATGCAGATATTGCACCTCTATATCACTACTGCCTCTCCCTGGCTACGCAAAAGACCTCGTGTCTTGCTTATAATTCTGCCCTCGGCCTTCGAAATGGTACTCTGCATGGAATTTATCCCAAGGCGTAGTCTCTGCACCGATATACGAGATTTCTGCCTTCGTTCTAAGACCTGGCGCTCTAAGTTTTTTGCAAATTTTCAGACTTGGGCTGTCGTTATCGGAATACTACTAAGTTATATGGTCCACTTGAATACCGCTGCTGGAAACAAATAAAAACTCATTGTCTTCTCCGTCCCGTGCACAAAATAAAGAAATATAAAATATATTGTATATATATTAAGATTATCCCGGTATTACTCCTTCCCAGTCGCAAAGTAAGGCATATTTCTTATGCTTAATTTATATGAAGAAATTCTTACGAATTTTTGGTATTCCTATTCAATCTTATAATTTTGAGGACCTCCTATTAGATACGTTATATAGTTTGTATTTCTCGAATATCTCGGCGATTTCGAAATCTCATATTGAAAAAAGCTAGCAATCACGTCAAATATGAAAATTCGTTAAATTTCTTATCTTTTCAATTTCGATTATATTTTTATACTTCATTTGATTTTTATTTTTAATTCTATTTTCGTATAATCGTGTGGATCCAGCAGCAAATAAGGACGTGGAATTGCAAAGTACGGACGAAGTGGGTGTAGTGGTGGTCGTGAGTATAGAAAAGGTCGGAAAAAATAAAATCAGAGTATGGGGAATCGTGAAAATAGTCGAGAGAATTTGGAGTCCCATGGTAGTCTGTGGTATTAAGCATATCAAGGAATCTCATAATCGTCTACGAGGTTAGACTTATCAGAAAATCTCATGATAATTTGTAGACTTAAATATTCCAGCAAATCTTAATTTAATCAGATATAAGGCGTTCTATAGAATCTTATGCCAACTACAGAATTTAACACTCCAAGATATAATCTCAGAGAACGAAAATTGAAAATATTATATAAAGATCTAGAATATTTTTTTATCTTAGTGATCCTAGAATCATGAATGAGAATATATGAATTAAAAGAAAATAATCAAAAATAAAAATATAAATTTATGAAGAAGGATATTAAATAATAAATATGAGAAAAATAAAATTATAGAATTATATAAGAAAGAAATTTAAAAAATATCATCAAATATAAAGAAAAAATTCGTAGAGAATCGAATCTATTATCTTATTCTAGCAAATTATCATTTTTCTATTATAATCTATGTATATTATTTATAATTTATATATATACATGAAAATAAGAGAAGTAGTCGAATCCCTTATGAAAAAAATACTTTAAAATCGAGTCTAATCTAAATTATAATTATCTAATATAAAAATAATAATTATTCTTATTTTAATTCTTATCTAGAATCATTTTAGATGATTTTTCGATAAGATCAATATAAAAATCAATTCAGAACGACGTGACACGAAGCCACATTGCAGATTTCAGGTAACACGTCAATTCTATGATATCACGTCAACTTTCACGATCTTTCACGTCAACCTTTGCTTGGCATCATCTATAGAATATAATCGAATATATAGAAACAAAATACCCAATATGCGAAATGAAGCAGGGCTCTATAGCATTTTGAAATAACAGTGAAAATTTTCTCTTGAAATTCAATTGGTCGAAATCTATATTTCTGATTTATCTTTATATGATCTGAGCCGATTGATAGATTCTCCTGCATGCGAAACGAATCAAGGATTTTCCTGCTGCATTCAGTTTCTCCGAGCCTGTCGCAGGGACCATCTTCGACGGTCAAATTTTGATAAATTCCTGCTCCTCGGCCCAATACTAGCTACTCTGACTCTTCTATCTCCTGCACTGCAGGTAGGTTCGATGTTGAAGCTACCACAGATGCTCTGATGGAACCTGAAGGTGTGACAGCGCCATCTTCATCTTCATCCGGAAAGATCACTCGAACAAATTCTGTCAAGTCAACGAAGCCATTGTCATCGTCATCAAAAAGCTGGAAAAGCTCAATGATGCCTCAACGGCCCATATGAGAGCAGAAGGACTCTTGTCACAGTGATTCGAACAATCAATCCCGAAGTTGCAGAATCAAACTGATATCTGCACGCCAGCTTCAAGATTATCCCCTCCTACCCGTGCTGTTGAGCCAGGGTGCTGTCACTGGGCAGGCCAAGCTTCATTTCACTGAGGAGCTCGCAAAATTCCAGAAGATTTAGAGATCCGTCCCTGTCTGTGTCTGCGTACTCAAACAGCAGTTGCACATCGCGACCTTGATAGCCCCACTGCGCGAAGCGCTTGCGAGCCCGCGCTAATAGGAGCACTTTGGCACGATTCTGCCAACAAACTGTGAACTCGTAACCGACAAGCCCGACGGGCATAGCCTTACGACGCAACATGCATGGTGCGGATCTACGTTGTCCTGGGAAAGCTTGGACATGATCGGAGCTTCAGTGTGTCACATACGAATGCATGTGTCGTGGCATGACGAACTCGACGCAGTCGTCTAGAAAGCACGACATGCGCCTTGCTTGAACTTCCTGTTTAATTTTCTTATAATGATAATGATCCTCTGCCAACTCCTCGTCTGCCTGGCAGCGATGAACAGCACGCTTACAACTGTCAGGATCGAGGCGATCACAAAGCCCGCGGTAGATTTCGGCGCGAAATCGCCGTAGCCCACCGTCGTCATTGTTACAATGGCAAGCCAAACTGAGTGTGCCTTGTTTTTGCGGTGGAACGGTGTTTCAGACCCAGGAATCGGTTCGAACTGAACTGCATTCTGCGTCACTGCTTGATTGTTCAGAACTGTTCGGGGGGGCCCGAGACTCGGAGTTCCATTTTGTCTGGAAACCGTGTCAGTTGTGGTTGAGTTCGCTTCGCTTGATCCGCCCCTAGATTGATAGATCTTTTCGCCCATGCATTCTGTGTCCTTCAGTTCCGCACTCATAAACAGATCACAAGATTAAAACCTGCCGAGCAAGATGCCAAGGTCGGAATGTTCGACCTCGCCTCAACCAGGTACAAGCCACTGGCAGAAGCCATGACGATCAAGCCCATCGTGTAAAGAAGAACTGGCAGGGACTCCAGGGAGTTCGAAACAGCATCAATCAGCAGTCGAAAGGAGCTGATGTATCCTTGGTTTCCAACATTCAACCCCTCCTTGCGGGAGGCAAGAACGCATGAGGATGGCCTGCCAGAAGTTAGCTGACGATTTCAGAAACAAGTCCTGAAGTAAAAAGCTCTCACCTCAAAGCCTGCCCATGAAAAAACAAAGTAGACCCCTGCAGCATCAGCCATGTATCTCAGCAACTTTAGCAAGCGCACGACTGGCAGGACGTATAAGAGCAGCGCCTGCACGACGTTGTCTTCTGGAGACGACGATGGCGCTGGGACGAAACCCATGGAGGAGCGCAGAACCAGGCCTGAAGCCGAAAGTATATCTGCCCAGTTGTAAAGGTCCAGGACGTATGTCTTCTTCGACGGTGCGGAGAGTACGCGACACAAAAACTCAATAAAGAATACTGAGTCGATCACTGTCTCTAGAACTGCAGCGGTTGTCAGATCAATCAGCGAGGTTTCATCTCCAACCTGTAGAAACATCATAACGATGCTAGCGACCACGAACAGCCTGAGCAAGAGCGCGATCCACCAAGCCACTCGGCTAGAGTCGGGCTCATCCAGCATTATCCACACTGCGTCACAGCGGCTCCTCTGAACAAGCCACTGCTTGGCAGCACTTGCGTGGGCATCTGCTGGATCGTCGAGAAACCTTTCTTCGGCTCGCGCTCGTCGTCGATATTGCCCCAATCTACGTGAAAGCTGCCTGCGACTGACCACTTCTGCGTTACCGAACTCGTTGTAGGCCATCAGCTGCTGCCTGCAGGGCACGCTAGCCGCTAACTTTTGACTTTGTCGAACCTCGCCTTGCTGCAGTTCCACTTGCAACGCTTTCGAAACAGCAGCTCACGATGCCTCCCGAAGCCGCCGCTAAGCGTGGTTCGCGCGCTGATCCCGGAGGTGCTTACAGTTACTTGCGACATGATGGATGACCGGTTCAATCGGGGGCGCTCCTCCTGTCCGGGACATGCACGAACAAAGGCACTCTTCGGCGACTGCACACAGGCACTACTACGAAGACACCCTCCCTTCCTGAGCAGAGTCGGATGCTGATGATGCCCTCGAAACAATGGAGGATCGCACTGGCGGCGTGGAGGGAACCACCATTGTTTGAGGGCCACGAGCGGGGGAAGGCGCTGTGTGTGTGGACTTCAAAGTCAAGATCTCCGAGAGGCATGCGTCGACCTGCTCGGAGAGTCTATCCAAGCGAGACTGGACTCCGAGAAGGCCATCGCCTGGCTCAGCCGTGTTCAATTCACATGCTTACTGCGTACCCTGGGAAAGGCCCGAGTAGCAGAAATCGGGGTGAGGTTCATGGAGGGTGTGATGGTTCTGAAGCCCTGAGGTGCTTTACATTGCAACATCTTCAAAGAAGCTCCTGGCCAGTCCGTGTCAGACTTTACCATTCCAGGCAGCTCGGGGCTGCTAACGCCAAGCGGAGAAAGCGTTCGAGCGAGTGGCATGGCGCTGGCGCTGCGATCTGGCGTTCGGACTCCAATGTGCACTCGATGCCCCCTGTCTGTCTTCGCCTGGTGACACTCACACCCAGATGTTGTGGTCGGGCGACCCGATCATGCTTCCGGCACTCCAGCTTATGAACTTGAGCTCAAAAGCTGATGCATGTCAACTCAAGCAACTCAGGCTGCTTTCGTAGTGTCATGCGGCAGCAGGCGGTCCAACTGATCGGTTTCAGCAGGCATGCTTGCTCAGTGGCACTGGTATGTCGCCATCCAGGGCATTCCTCACGAAGCACGACCTTCGGACACAGCTGACTGCAGCGTCTGCCGGCAAGCTGCGTATACCAAAAGCCAGCACTGACACTATACCGTGTGCCATGTGCTGTGGATCTCGCTTAGCTCCAGAATCAGCAACGGCCCAAAGAAGCGTTCCCGGTCTGCCAAGGCCCACACCTCGGTTTTCGACATGTACATCTCACTGGTTTTCCGGCACCTTCCAATTGAACTGGCCTCAACACAGAACCCCTGCCAGATCCATCAATATTATAGACATTATAGGCTTCGGTTTAAATGATGGAAACACTTCTCTCTTCGACTGCATGTGTGAGCATTGCCACCTGACGGGAGAGGAGTGAGCGGCAAAAAACAGAAAGTTGCTTTTTGATTTTGAGCACTGTCGCAAAACCCTATTTGTTATCAAAACCGTTTATGGTGTAACAACTATATAACCGGCTCCGTTGTTCTCGTCTTCCCCCACTAAAAAAACACTGTTGATGCGTGCGCACACCGCTGCTGTGCAAGTCGACGATATCCCAGGAAAGGCGAAAACAAAGCCGATTTCGGTGTTGACGCACCGCGTACGCTGACAGTAGGCCGCCCTTCACATCGGCTCAAGTTGGCGGTGGGAAACATCGCTCCGAGTCGAGGCTACGGCGGCTACAGTGCAACACAGCATATCTGTTAGAGAGGGCGAATGACACCCCTCTTCCCCTGTGCAAAGTTAGTCCAGCTCAGAGGTCGCCTGTAGTCTGCAGCATCTGTCTTCTTCAACACGGGCGACGGCCCCCCGCTTCCCCTGCGCGAGCCCGCTCACTGGCAACGTAGTAACGCGTTCGGTAGCTAGATGGCTACCAAGCCTACCTTTCTTTGCTTTGCTTGGGGTTTGAGCTGGGGGGCAGGCCCCCAAGCCCGCGCGTCTCTCTCTCTCTCTCTCTCTCTCGCTCTGCAGGCTTCTGGGTCACACGACGCTGTCCTGCATTATCTCTTCCGGGTCCTCCTGCATGGGAACACGAAAAGACTGTTACCGTGCGCATCCCTGCACGCTTGCAGGGGCTGTGCTGCCTGGGTCGGAACTTGGAGTCTCATCGAAACATCAGCTGAGGACCTTGGCACCGGTGTCTGGGCCGAACCGAGGACAGCCCAGGGCGCATCTCAGGCGACAGCCCAGGGCCCACCTGCCAAAGAGCTGCAAGATGCTGCAAGTAACCACGGGGTGCCAGATGGGCCAGACGGGTCTAGTTACCCGGCTCCCGACATTAAAGTATGCTCAAACTGCGGCCCCGAAGGTAGCGAACACAGCAAGTGTGGTGACGTGGCTGGGCCGGGCCTGCTGGCTAATCGGCACGACTTCGCAGCCGAGAGATCTGCCACTGACCAAACGGAGGCTGGTGCCTTCTGGCCAAAAAGTTTCTCCTGTGTTCCTGCCAGGCTGACTATACAAGAGCAAGCTGTACAACTCCGACACGCCGACGAAAAAAGAGTAGGCACCCAGCGTCAAATGCACAAGAAGTTCAAAGGAGGCCATCCGTTTAGGTGAAGACTTGGCAACCTTGGTCATTCTGAGGTATCATGATATGGTCTCTCCACCCGTGTCGGCAGCTCGCTCTCAGACTGTAAGAACAGCTTTGCGGATTGGCGATTGTATCCTCGTCCGGACTGTATTTGGAAGACGGTTGCTTAGATCATCAGTTGGGCGAGACTGTTGCTCGAAAGCTGCGAAGCAGACCGCCAGCAAGTCAAGGTCCACATCCGAAGGGTCGACACAAAAACTAACACATGCAGCTCTCATCGTGTCATGAACCCATTGCCATGCCCGCAGTTCGGAAAATGGCAAAGCTGGCTGAGGCTACACACTGCATCTCGGATACATGTTCGCACCGCTTCGATGAGTCTTGGCTCCTGCTAAACCAGCTAAACTGTCAGGAAGAACCGCGTCACCACGCCAGAATCCAATAATTTTAACAAAAATGCGAGGCGAGCCCAACTGAAAGCACAGAGGGGGGTTCACTTGCTATCCAAGTTGGTCGCGAAAGGCTGTGCGCGCGCTCGGGCTTTCTTCTGGTCGAATTTCTTGAGCTGTTCACTGGCTTGAGCTGCTGCACAACCTCGTGCTGTCTGTCGGTAGTCCAATGGATCATGTTCACAATCTGCAGCTGTGGAATTTCTTTGCGACGCGTTTGCAGCAGACATCAGCACGACGTCTTGATTGTGCTGAGAACACACGCGGCCGGCAAAAAAGAGGTCTCGAATGGCTTGGCATCAAACGCACGAGCCTTGACGAGTGTGGAGTGTGTGCACTAGCCCTGGCTCAGCATGAATTCGTAGACGGAAGTGTGAATCTGCTCTTGTGCTAAAGCAGGTGTGTTGGGTCGTCGACGACGATGCTGCCAAGCCGGTATGCCTGCAATGGGCTCACATAGCTTTACGCTGGATTCGTCCGAGTCTGACGACATCTGAGCCTGCGCCATACCCGTCTTGGCAAGGTCGGCTGCCCATTCCTCACCGTTCCGCCAAAACTGATAAGCTGCCGAGGCCGTGTTTCGCTTTGCTGTCCTCGGAGATATCACCCACTCTTTCCGAATCTTCCCGAAGCGCCTCACGCATTGGCAAGAGCTCAGAGTGTCTACCTAGCATGCGCCTCCTGCAGGTCGTAGCTTGCGATGTACATACATGCCCCGTCTCAGCCTTGTCACTCCAGAGACGCCCTGGTGCATCGAAGATGCGAGCAGAGGCTTTTTGCTCCTGCTGCAGATGCTGGGGATCATTCCAACTCGGCAAGCTGTTGACACGCACAACTTGGCCTTCAGCAGCGCACTACCTGAAACGTCGTTCTCTTGCTCCAACTCCTTAGTGTTGAGCCAAATCGCGCGCTTCTTTGATTGAGTCCTGGCTACTTGAACCTGGGCACAGGTTCCGCGGGGTTGAGAGCCCTTCTTGCAGCGAAGCGGCGAGCAGGAGCAGTGGACCGAACACGCGGTCGTCTATACTCAAAGCCCACATGGATGCTGGAATCACATCCTGCTGTATGCACATCCGCCATGCTTGCGCACAATGCCAGCTTGCATCTTGCAGGCTACGCAGGGCAAAATGGTGCAGCATTGGCAGATGCCTCGTGCGGCAATCTTAGTCGCAGAGACACCTTGCAATCTTTGCCAGGCTCGACGACCTGGAGCTACCGAAGATGACACGCACTACACATCACTACACATGCATACCCACCGCGGAAGTCGTTCTTTTGCATGTTCTCTTGCGATCAAGATGCCCCGCTCAATGGCAAGCTTGAGATGCCCATGTCCGACCCATGCACAGCCTGCAGCACCGCGGAAGACCTGAAGGAAAGCACTCGTCTTTCGTAACCCATTTCTAGTAGCCCACTCGTGGTGTTGCAAGTTTGCGTGCTCGGGCTGTGCATGGCTGTGCCATGCATTCAGCGTCAGAACCTCCTCTTAACCTTATATAAGAGGCACAGTTGCAACAAGTTGAAGAATTCTGCTGTTGACCTTGTGGATGCTTCGAACTACATAGGTCGGCTTGAGGCGAGGGTGGACGCCGGTCGGATGCCGTAAGAAGGCAGTTGTCTTCCTAAGCGGGCGAGGTCTTACAAGTTTGTTAAGCTGCCCACTTCAAATACCAGTTTGAGACAGGAAACGAACAGGAAGATTCCTGACCGGAAGAACCTCGACAGACGTTGACAAACAAACACACTATATAGTATCGCATCGTCCGAATTTCGATCTGCTGGCCGCCAGCGACAGCCTGCTCAGACTCGAGCCAGGCGGTGGAGCCTGTGTTGGTGATCGTGGCGTTCAAAGTAAGACTGGAGCTCCTCAGGCTCCCCAATCGCTTCTGACAGTCGTCATATGTATCCGCGCCGGAGAAAATCTAGCCACTCTGTCCTCGATGAATGCTTGGAGAACGTCACTTTTCCCAAAGCGAACACCTGCCCCCACGAGGTCATGTGTGCCTTTGAGCTCGAGTAGTTCTGGGAAGCAAGGAGAAGAAGGGGCGAGAGAGAAAGAGAAGAGATACGAAGTGGCACCTGCTCAAGGGCAGGGTGCTGGTCCAGGAAAGCGTGCCAGTCATCTGACACATCACCGCTGGTCCTGTGAACAGACGTGTTGCTAGGCGAAGTTGCGGCACTTCGTCAAACGTGTTAAAACCATCACAGCAAAGACACCGTTGGCTCATTGTGCAAACAGTGTGCTGTCCTCGTGTCAATGCTCACAGAGGGGCCATAGGACCTGGGTGTCTCCGCAGAAAGGCGAGCAGAGAAGCCATGCCCACAGCTTGTAGGAAAACATCAACATTTGCGCATGCCCTCATGAGTTTCCCCTCGCTTGCTCGACAAGCTCAATCGTCCTAACTTGGAAGCTTCTCGATTAACCTGAAAGCTAGAGGTGGGTCCGTGCAATTCCGCGTCGAAGCTTCAGTTGCCGTCCGTGAGCGCATGGTGCCAAAAGCACACAGAAGTAATGTGACCCTGTCCATTCCTTGTCTCCCTGCGTCCATCAGATTGAGCTTATGCATGCGCCTTCACGAACACTCCCAGTGGTTTTCTGCTTGCTTCCGGGGCCACTGCGCGATGGATGCAGCCTGCAAAATTCCGAGGAAAGTCTGCATGCTGGACATATAACATATGTGGAACCTCTCCCTCTTCGTCTTCTGGTTGGCTCATGTCATATATTATAAAGAGCATTGATGTGGCAAACACGAGTGACCCTCTCTCTATGTTGGGAGCAGCAAAAATGCCAGGCCTGTACCGGCCACAGCAAACCACGAACAAAAGAACCCGATGCGACAAAGTGTAAGATGAGTCTTTCTGGCAAAGGCAAGTTCATGCCCCGTCCTTGACCATGCCATGATAGTCAATCGCTGTATCCTGCACTTGCACTGAGGACACAAGCTCCGGAATGCATGGGTTGAACACTCCCTGCACTCGGATTGGAGACCTCAGCGTCGCCCGAGTCAGGCTCTGCCTCTTCCTCGGCATGCAGGCAATCACCGGCCGGCCCTCCCAACTCTTGCTCCTCCTGCATGGTCTCTGTTCGTCACTCATTCGTCCGCACTTCTTTTGCTTCGTGTCCTGCTGAAACACCCTCCTTCGTCCACCGCTCTTGTGCAGAGGTGCTTGGGCAGTCGACGTCTTTGATGATTAGATGTGGAGAGCTCCACCTAGTCTGGGGCAGTGGGCTCGGGCGGGGACAGCACATGACGTTTGACATGAGTGAATAAGATGCGACAAGCTTTAAGTCCAGACGGACAGGCAGTGGCAGCAGCAACCCAATCGAGCACTGCCACCGTCTGCCACCATCCCGCGCCCCGATCCCCCATCTCGCTCCCTGTCTCTGTCGGTGAAGGGTGCTCTTTGCGGCTAGTTCAACGGCTATTTCAGCCGAGCCGGCGTGACGCAAGCGGGGATTCGTTCAAGGGATCTGTAGCCGAAGTCGACGTGCGTTGGCGATGTGGTTACCAGCTTCGGGTTTGCTTCGATTCTTTTTCCACTGGGTTTGTAGCCGAACCTCTGCAACAGAAGAACTACACTATGTAGGCAATGTAGGCTATGGGCACCCCTCCTGCAGCCGAGCTTCTTCCAGCACACCTGCATGCGGCACAATGACCACGACGCGACTATCTCACTGTTTCTGCCTGCTTCAGGATCTTCGTCGGACGAGTCCGAGCGCTGGTCGGAGCTGATGGGAGAGTCGTCACCAGGTGGCACTCCTCCGAAGAAGGAGGCATCCACAGGGCTTTCAAGCAAAGCACAGCTGCCTCCAGAAGCCGAAACCGGCTCAGCTGCAAAAGTCTCCTGTGGGTTTCTGCTCCGGAGGCTCAAGTCGCTGCTGAGACTCCTACCGGTTCTGCGCCTGCACTTGGGGCTCATGGCTTCGCCAGCCTTGCCCGTTTGACACCTCGGTGTGTCCGAGCTGGCCCCAGATCAGAAAGGCCTCAGACAGGAAGGGCCAGGGCAAGTGATGGCAACTGAGAACCACTTTCCAAGACCACTGCCAGCAGGACGCAGCCAGCAAAGGTTGCGATTCGGTGAATCCCGGCTGGTGCTTCCAGCCAACCTGGCGGTGACTCAAAGTGACAGGTCCCCCAAACCTCTGCAGCACCTCCGGCCGTTTCGGCTTCTGCTGTAACCCGAGGAGGCCTCGCTTTCACAATGAGTCTTGCACAGCTGCTCGCCCGCGTCCTCGCCCACCTCGAAGAGGAAGAAATGTTTCGAGGCAGCGCATCCATACCCTCAACATCTTGAGGATTTCCTGCTTCTCCTCAGGAGGGGGGGTGGAGCCTGTGGAGCCCTGGAAGGCAGCTGGGTACGGCCCACGGCCTCGACTTCCACTTTGGCCCTTCGAGAGGCGAGCCCGGCGCTGCTGTGACACGGTCTGGCCAGGATGGCGGACGGAGGTCGGAGCTCCCCGAAAGGGTTTAAGAGTGCATGCATGCCCCTGACCTCGTCGCAGTTGCTGTTGTGGCTGATTGTTATTTCTTATTCGTGTGAGAAGGGGCCGGTTCTATGCATAACAGCAGTACACACGCACTGGGCAATCGTGAAGCACCCTTGCTCAGACCTGGCGCTGGCCACGTGCCTTGGCCATTTCATCTGACCAAACTCGTTGCCCACGCTTTGGTGACATGACATTGCTGCCCTCGCACTTCCTGCAGTTCACACACTGCGGCAAGGCCCGCATTACCGTGAAGTTTTGCCGGATTCGCTTCTCAGCCACTTCTCAGCTTCTGGCTCCATCCGCCGGCGCAGTTTTGCTTCCAGCTCTGCAGTTGTAGTGGCCATGGCTGGGAACAGACAGAAGTTCCCTGAACGGTCTCGCATGCTATATTATACAAGGCTAAGCACTCGTCTTCAAGCCGCGACTATTCAAGACCCTACGGCACCGAATCACACATCCCTAAATGAGATCTACACTGGAAATGGCAGCTTTAAGGGGGGCAACCTCCCAGGCATTCCTGCTTCGACGCTGGCAAAACGGCAGTTCATTCGTCTTGCAAGCCATGCAATAAGAACTGTGCAAGGCCGAGGGCAGCTCCTGCGGCTTTTCAGCATTATGGATGCTGAGCAAGGTGCATTGTTTCTGCTGGACACACTTTGGTGCACGCTGGGTGTATGCTGAGCTGAGTCTGAAGGCTACTACAGCTCTCCGGCCTGGGCTGAGACACGTACACTCTGACAGTCACCACCGCTCTTGCATCGGCGGAGTGCCGGCATGCGTGGTCAAGTATGGCTGCAGACACGACTGCTAGGCCTCCGACATGTGACCGAATTACCACGTTGTCTTCAAGCCACTTTTCGTACGCCTTGTTCGCCCTGATGGGCATCCACTCAAACTCCAAGCCGCCGAAGTCCACCACAACTTGTTCCTGCTCGCAGGAAGTCTCTGCCTATGGGGCTTCGAGCCTAACCCGAGCTTCCTTGCTGGCACTGAGCGTCTTCAAGGTAATGTAGAAGTCGTTTCCAGAGTCTCCATGTTTCTCCACCTCTCTTCCAGGATTTGCGCAGCAAGGGTGCATCTGTTAGACTGTCTTGATTATGAGCGAAATGCCTGTGCACACGCGGCATATTTCACCTGGAAGGGGGCAAGAAGGGGGCAACACAACCATCACTGCATTCGTCGTGCCAGCAGTTCGTCGCCTCGACGATTGATTTCGCCAGCCCTTGGGCAATTTCCGCAGTGGTTCCATTCACCTTGTCCGGTGCAACGGTTGGCCCCAGCAGGCTGCAACTCTTGGGTAAATATCACCGCCCAAGACGGACACCAACGCCATGCCCATGACATACTTCAGCTCAACTGGTGGCGCATCTGCAGCCGCTGCCTCCCAAAGCAAAGTCGGCCCAAAGCAAAGCTGTTGCTTTCGACGGGGTGTAGTTCTTTGGTTCCACTGCCATTTTTCTGGTAGATCAAGGACTTGCCAGGATGACTGAGCATTTAGGCTGTTACTTGGCTTAACAGCTTTATGAGCTCGGACTCGCCAATGATTAGCTTTTAGATGCGCAGCGGGCAGCGACACACAGGTGCAAAAAGTTCTTAGGTTTATCTTTGCAAGTGATGCTACCAGGGTGAATTTTGACACTCACACTCGGACATGCCAGGCTTTGTTCGGGTTTCATCGGTTTTCAATCAAGCTCACTGGAAGTTTTTTTTGTCAGCTCTCGTACACTGTATACAGAACATCAGGAAACACGAAATGGGAGATGCATGTTGCTACTGTAAGGAAAAGCATGAACACTTATACTCTCGAAACATCGACCGACTGGACACAGAAAAATGAGGTCCTCCAATCCGACAACAAATCCCGAAGTGCCTCACCCTCAGGTTGGGGCGCGCTTGATACAATCATGGGCAAGTCGTATGGGTGGTCGGCCGCTATGGCTTCCATGAGAGTGGCAAACGGAACCTGCCAAGGCTCATCTGCTTTGGCGATGTCATCAGAGTGGCCCCAAACTGGGCTGAGGCCTCGGAGTCGATGGTCGCACGAACTTCCTGGTCTTCCTGCAGGGACAACCGAGCAAGAGCGCAGCGGACCCCACAACGCAAGCAGCCGCAGTCGTGCCTCAAGCTTCGAGTCCCACCAGTAGAAGGAATGAATGTCTTCCATGTGGAAATGCTCAATGGTGTGGGATTGAGCTTCTAATCGCTTCCTGGCTGAGCACGGCCACACCACGACTTTCCAGCAAAAGTACTGTTTACAGCAAACGGCCATCTAACGAAGTGCCAGTTGTGCTTGACGGCTTCTTCCAGCGTCTGCCCTGCCGTTCGGTTGGCAACCGTCGTCGACCTGATGGAGCACGAAGTGGACATCGGGGGACATCGTTACCTCACAGCTCCTGAGGCCCCGTCGCCCAGTCTGCTTGGGCACCCGCTACCAGGACCAACAGCAGGCAGTGAGACATGCTCATCTTCATCGTTTTACTTACCATGCACGGCTTCAGGATGGCGGCTCTTGGACTTCCCTGGGCTGTGCTGCGCTGCGACCCAAACTTACAATTCAGAAGAGATTGAGCATTACGGCAGAGACCCCATAGAAGCATCGATGTCCAACCCTGCAAGGCTTGTGCGAAAACATCCACTTTTTTGCAGCAGTGCCCACTTCTCTCTTTTCACAGGTTTGGGAGGGGCCGAAAACGATGCCATCTACTTTTTATCCTCTCTGCGAGAGCCACAGGCCAAGAAGTTGAAGTCATCGGTGAAACCTCCGAAATGAAACTCGTCGGAGTTCCCCTAAAGAGCAACTCGACCACTCGTGGTGAAACTTTGAGCTTGGGCTCGGGAAAAGGGATGCTTGGACTGAAACTTTTGGAGATACGTCAGGAGCTTTCACATTCTTGGAAGTGCAGCTTATGAGATGCACCGGACACTTCGAGAAGAACACAGGCTATGCCAAGAACTCCCACGTTCATGAGTACACGTCATTACTACCCTCAAGCCCAGGACACTGACATCAGCCCGCTGTTCAGACTGGCTGCCACCCGGCCTCAATCTCATCGGAACCATGTTGCCACACATGTGCCATTGTCAAGCAGAAGCCGAGGCACCGGCTTAGTCGTCTGGGCCAAATCCTCTCGGGATTTTCATTTGACCTCGAAACCGATGCGTATGGAAGCTCTTGCCATGCATGCTTCAGGAGCAGTTGAAAACAGAAAAAAGCGCCATGGCGCCTTCTTCCCAGCGTCGGCCTTTGTTGTTTCATCCTTCGGTGCGGGGTCGCCCGTCGCATCCTGCTCGTCCTGATCATGCGGGCTGCAGATTCAAGGAGCAGATGGCAAGCCTGCAGATTGAATGAGGATGAAGGGAACAAGGACAGAAGCGGAGCCCTGAGGCAGCAGCATCTGAATCCAGCGGCTCCAAGTACGAATTATCACAATCCTGGCTCATCCGACAAGCAAAATAACACAGAGCGAGGTCAGCCAGCCTGCAACAGAAATGCTCAGAACTTCAGAAATCTTCAGGCCTTCAGGGTCTCGTTCTCCCAGGATTTAGTCAAAGCCACCACTTCAGCCTGTGCTTCCTGCACCTGTCATAGACAGCTTCAACGCTTCTGGGAAAGATTTACAGGCAAAGCACGGCACCCTGGCCCGGGGCCTCAAGCTCCAGCTGCTTCTGCTGGTAGGATTTGATGGGAGGTCGGGACCCTGGCCGAAATGCGGCAGTCCAGCTGCACACGCGGAGCAAGAGTTCGAATCGAAATGAGTCGAAGGGACGCGCCTGTCGACTCCATGACGACAACGACACTGCTGCTGTTTCGCCTAGCAAAGGCACACAATGACATCTGCCTGCTGTCCTTAGGACTTAGGCCTAACAACTCACATCCGAGCGTGCTGCGGCTGGGTCTTTTTGCACATGCCACGGTGAAAGGTGCTGCCGGCGATTAACCCTCCGGCCTGGCTTCTGCTCTCCCTGTACATGATAGTACGTGACAGTCTACCCTCTGGCCTTGTAGAAGCTTGGCTCGTACTCTGGGAAGCGAAAGGACTTGTCACCTGGCATGCTGCCGTGCTCGGACGTCCTCATCCTGCCGGTCGGGTGCACCACCTAGAACTCGGCAGTCAATCCCATTTCGTTGGCCGTGCAAGTCGTCGATTCGCGCCTGAGAGTACCAATGACGTTGTTGACTCGCCGACATGGGCAGCGCATGGCAGCGCTATGAGCCTTTCGCGCCATCTCGGTGGTGACATCGACCTCTAAGGCCTGGCCAAAAAGACGAAAGGCCAGGGCCGTGCAAAGGCCCCGCTCTTTACAAGGCACGAGCTGGTTGATCGCTTGCACGCAGACCATTTTCTCGGTAGACCGTCCTGACGACGGCTTGCGGGGTACGAGAGCTAAAAAGCTCTTCCATTCGGAACGGACTCGCACCAGCTGCGCGCCTCTTGCCATTCGGCTTGTCCTCGGCATTGGCGCAAGTCACAGCAAGCCGAAGCTCAGAATAGGCAACTCACAAGAAAGCTTTAACAGCTGCCTGCTGTACTGTGTCGAAACAAAGACAAGAACCTCGGTTTTGTTCGCATCGTTGTCTGCTGACTGCTCGTCTGCCGTTTCAGGTTTCGTGCTCCTGGTCGTCGAACCGTGGCTGGGTTACCCGTAGCCGCGAGGAGAGGGCCATGAAAGAAAAGCCGAAAACGTCGTGAATGATTCCGTGGCTCCATCAGATTATGATCCGGTAAGGTGCCAGCCGAGAACTCCGCTTTAGACTCGACCTGCTCAGGATGTGGCAACTCTGAAGCCGAAGCTCCGAAATGCTGACTACAATTGCCTGGCGAACATGGCGCTTCTCCGTCATCGTGTAGACCTGGCACGCAGAGTCGCAGAGCACTAACTCTACGTGCACGTTACCAGACCTTGGCCGGGTGCTGCTCGACGATGCCCAGGCCTTCCGGCCTGGCTGGGACGCCGGCGACATGTTGAAAGCACTGAAAGCCTTTGCAGCAGTTGCAACTGCGCCAGACAAGCTTTTCCACATGGAGCCTCGGCAGCAAGGCTGAATAAATCGTTTTGTGATTTACGGGGGCCCCCAAACCCAGAGGGAGGCCCAGGAAGGCAGGAGGGGCTCCGCATATTTCCAGGCATGATGGGTTCATGGTTCTGAAGGTGGTTTTCTCATTATTATAACATATCCTAACCAAGACAGGATAACCCCTGCGCACCTATCCGCCGACTCCTAGGGGGTCCCCCTGATGGCGACTGCCATGTGTTACCTTGCAGCTGTCCTTGGTCAAGATGAGGCGGAAACAGCCCAGGTTCTGAAATCTGTCGTCGCCCAGGTCGCCACGCAACTGCCTCTCGTGAGAGTCTTATCGTGTGTCTTATTGCGGTCCCTGCTAAAAACATCATGCTTCCAACAACTTGATCCTTCCTTTTCAGCAGCATCCCGCATTTGCGAGAACAGCCGTCTACGAGTGAAACGCTTCGCACGACGCGATGCAGCTCCGGCACGACTATGTCACGCGCCGTGGCTTGTGGGCGGTGAGGTCCCGGGACAATGAAACACCTGCTGCCTGTCGCAGCACAGCAGGAACCCCACCACTGGCTCCAGTGTCTGGGACAGCACCGCTGCGCGGACCCAGAGCCAACTGCACAGCTCCTGTCACATCTGCTGACTCGTTAGGTTTGTTGTCCAGCATGTACTCTTCTGCTGGGCCCTTCATCGCAGCGGCCATGCGAGCTTCTTGGCTGATTATTTCGACGGTTCCACTCGAAAGGATTTCCACCAAGCGTCCGCTGTCAATCAATGAATTGTTGCCAATTTGCCCGCTCATATTGGATCCGTATGCACCTACCTGGCCGAGGGGACCTACAATCAAGGTGTGGGCATCACCTGCGGCTATAGAGAAAGCGCCATCTGGAAACTCTAAGAGTGTCGGCTCGGACACACTGTACCTGGCAGGGCAATCCAGAGTGCGGTCGTTGGCTGGCAGTACACCGTGGCCCCATGCGCTGACATGGTACGCGTCGTTTGCACACAAGCTGTGGCTGCCACCGGCAGCAACGATCGTTTGCTTTGTGCACACTGCAGTAGGTGCTGCTTGAAAATCTAGCAAACCATTTCCCACCTGGCCGTGGTCATTGGCACCCCAAGCCAATACGGTGCCGGTCCTGGTCACAGCCAAATTATGCGTGCTCCCTGCAGAAATCATGCTGACACCAGCTCGGATGACCTGCACGAATTGTTCGCCTTCTCCGCGCGAAGTGCCTCCATAACCCATTCCAGCACCAAGAACTTCGCCAGTCTCTGTAAGCACGAGGCTGTGATACCAGCCAGCTGACACTGCTGCTGCTTTGGCTCCATCAGGAAGGAGGGTGACATCAGGTTCACGACGTTTTCGGGTGCTGCCGTCGCCCAGTTGTCCGTAGTCATTGTTGCCCCAACTCATGAACTGGCCATCTTCGCATACGGCCAGTATGTGCTTCCAACCACCAGAAACATGTTTGATTCGCCGGCCGCCTGTATCCAGTTTGACTGGCACCTGTTGTTTTTCGATTGCTGTGGGTATGCCCAAGATATTGTCCTCGTTGCAGCCCCAGCCCCAGAGCCAACCGTCCACGTCAATCATCAACGAAAACGATCTTCCGGCAAACACATAGCGGGCACGCCCAGGGTCCACCACGACTGTGGGATTCAGGACGTCTTCTAGACTTCCGTTGCCAACTTGACCATGTGAATTGCTTCCCCAAGCCAGAACGTCACAACGTTCAGTGACAAGCAGACTATGCGCTCCCCCTGCTGCTACCCGGCAGTAGCGATGCAGCGAAGAGCCCGGGTCCATGCTCTAGAACAGGATCAGTGCAGGGCCGTCCGCACTTAAAAGTTCGAGCAGCATAGCGGCATAGCAACTCAAAATTAGCCACAGCTTATTCACCCGTCGTTTCCCTACCAACGCTGAAATTGACAAATGGGTTTCACGCGCTGGGTTTGGCGTCGCCTCACCTTCCGATTGATGGCATAGCACACATTGGCCAAATCCTGACAACCCCAATATGTAAGGTATCTGTAGAAGGCCTTCGTCCCTGGCCCACATAGACGACTCGCTGCTGTTTGCAAACGTGCGTGGAGCCTCTGCCACAATTTTGAAAAATGCGTACAGGGATGCTTGACACGAATGCGCCGCATACCAAACTTGCCGCCCCTCTCGTAGCATCGTCCGTGCCTTCTTCCTCCCATCCAAGCTGCGACGTTCGCAAATTGTCCCCCACCCCCCCCTTGCCCCCTTCCCCCGCATTGCCCAGCGACACTCCGCCCGCCCAGCAACCACTGGCGTGCCAATCGCCCGCACTCTGGCTTTTCAGGACGCAAAACAATCGCCCATCATTCGCCAACCCGCAATGCCACGGTCGTTGCGGATGGGCAGCGGCGCCCACTGCATGTTGCGGTGCGCCAACTCCACAGCAGCAAGGCGGTTGCAACAGCACTGAAACCCCTGGTGGTGGTCGGGTTTCCGGCGCATCAAGCGCCGATAAGGTCCTGACGGTGTCGTGCGGGACTGTCCACCAACAATTGCCGAAGCTGTTCATAGTGCTGGGCCGTGAAACCCTGCAGACGGCATGCGTCGCAGAGCGGATGTCTGGCACAGGGGGCAAAACAAGTCGCCGGGTGCAGATGCTTGGACGCCATTGCGCCAAACACTGAAGATGATTGGTATGGTGCAAGCCGGCCAGGGCACACGACGCAGGGATCCAGTTGCGCCGGGAACCAAGTCGTCTAGGGATAGGCAAATGCACACGCCCGATGCCGGGGGCGCCGGGGGCGTGACGTCTCCGAGGACAGGGCACGGGCTGTCAGCCAGCACGACTGGCTCTGCAGGTTGTCTCCGGCTCATGGAGGCCAAGGGGCGGAGGTGTCACGACAGTTCCTGCTCGGAAGCACTCGGGCGGCTGTATAGCGCGCGAAAGTCGAGGCGTCTTGGATCTACGCATGCTGGTGCAGCGGCCAAGTGAGGTGCCGCGGCTTCCCGCAACACGTGGCTGCAGGGTTTATTTGTCTTGGGTCCCCCTGGGCGGTGCATGGCACGAAGCGAAACGAGTGCGAAAGTTGTGGGCCGCGGAGCAGTTACGATTAGCAGGCAAAGTGCCTAGCAGAGTCGCACTCAACAGAGCCAGCCCGAGGCACAAGAATAAATTTTGCGGCAAGCCAAACTTTCCGAGGGCAAGCCAAACATTCCGATACTGTAATACCACCCCAGCAGGAGAGGATGCATTTCGCGGAGGTGAGCAAAGCAAAGGCGTGCAATGTCATGCTGCCAGCCTTGGCACCGCTTGCCTGGTTCAGGATAGTTCAGGCAGGTCGGAGTGTGCAGGGCAGAGGCCGTCGTGTGTGCCTCTCCAAGTTGGGCGGCCGGACATGGCCGGTCTAGCGCGCGGCCCGCCCTAAGCAGCACACAGGCAGGCGGCAACCGAAGCCGGACCCGCAACGAGCTCGGCGAGACGCCGGGCTACCTGAGCCGACGCCTCGCAGCACAGTCGTACATCCGGGTTTTGCGCGATTCAATGGACCTGGTGACGACGTCCAGTGCCTCACTCGCCCGTGGCACCCCGTGGCGGCGTAGTGACAAAAGTATACGTCGACAACGACTAGCGCGTCGTGTTGGCAAGGGATGGCAAAGGCATCCCCTTGTTCGCACATGCGCTGCTGGCCTGTGGAATCCTGGCCACCAGACATACGTGGACAGCTGCCCGCACTACTAATTGTTGCGAGCATTGTTTCGGCTGCATCCCCCGACCCACCAGCCGCTTTTGTTCACCTCTTTTTTTGTTCGAATGCCCTTGCTGCTGTGCGCAGCTATGCCAAAGCCGCAGGGGTTCTCTGCTGGAGCAGCCTCATGCCTGCCCGCCCCCAGCACTGCACGATCTCCTTGCAAATGCTCGCTGGCAGACGGCTCCTCAACCCAGCCGCCTCCCTGCACGTGCTTGCCGCACTACGCCACACTAAGACCTGGACCCTCTCGGACAAGATTGGAAGGGTTGCAGCGAACTGCATAAGGTAGCCCGTAAGTTGTAGTGGACGACAAGAACCATGAGGAAGCAGGACACCCGAGGATGCCTGGCCCACCGTTCACCCAGAACAAAGAGCCCAATTAACCTGTCAGACAAATGTGTCTTACATATTGTTACATGATGCCGTCACCGCGTACTCCGACCCCAATAACGACGAGGCGCGCCCGTCGCGCGCTTGCGAGCTCGGGGTAAGTTTGGCGCCATGACCACTTCCGGGCGGGGGGAGGGGCGTGGGTGGGTCGGCAATAGGTACCGGTACTTATTTCGACCGTGTGTTGAAAAGGGGGGTCACATGTACTGGAAGGACCCTCCGCGCTTTTTCCGACGGCATCAACGAGTTCAACAGAGTCCACGGCAGCCTACGGTGATTACGGCGAGCGTTTCACGCGGCGTGCAAGGTGGGCGCCGGCAAGCGGCTGGTCGCCGGTGGGAAACTGCCCCGCACGTCCGCAAAGACTTCGTGCAGTTCCGGTGCCTCACCCGCGACACATGCCTCGCCGGTGGGCGGAAGCTCAAGCAGGGAGGCGGCATAAGCACGCATCGCAACAACAGCGGGCATTCCGGACCACTTCTGCAGTCGGGGCCTCGGGGTACGTTTGCCAAACGCCACACGGGCGCCGTTAGCGTCTGGCCGCATCCTGCGCGGCGGCTGCGGAGCGGGTGTCCGCGCCAGGCCGTGCAGAGCCGGTGACCGGGCTGACGATCGTGGCATCGATCGCGAGCTGGGCGCCACGCCAGATTGGTAAGCCATTGGCGACTACCTCAAGCCGACGTGCATCGCTGACGGGCACGTCGATGTTCATGTCGGCAACTTGAACGTTCCGTGCTACTTGCGCTCCCGCCTCGCGGCAAACGCGGGCAACAGCATGCTCCAGCGGAAAAGCTCGGGAGGCAAGCACGCCGGACGTGGCACAGGCCGAGCGAGGGTCGCCGAGTTGGTCCAGGTGTCCGCGGCAGGAGCATGTGCGGGGAAGGGGTAGCCGGAGGCCCCGCAGGAGCAGGACGCCGAGGTGCGCCGATGGCACGAAAACTGCTGGGGACGTCGGGAACGCGGTGACTGCACGGGCTGCATGAGGTCCAGCTGGCGAGAGCAGCAGCGCGCGAGAATCCCCCTTCACGTTTCCATGTGGGGTCACCCCCC